TTTTTGAAATCGTTTCCCCGTTTAACCAACTATTCCAAAAAATAAAAAAAATAATATGGTGCAAGGTGCAACACAAATAAACAACCCGATCACCTACTTATAACCTACACTTTACCTTCCTAATCTAACCTTACTTCAAAACACTTAATGTAGTCACGAATACTCATAAACCCCGACCTACCTTCCCCACATGCCTAAATTAGATCAGTGTTCACTGTTCAATCTGCGTTTTATTAATAAGTGTAATAACTTACTGTATCGTCGATGTAATTCAACATAATATAACCTGTGAGGTATTATCGGATTAAATATTGATTTCGATGCGGTTCGATATATCGCTTATTAAATCCTTATTTCTAACATTGACTGTTTCTAATCAGCTGGCAACACAAATAAGGTGCCCAAGAGTAAGTAGTCACTGCGATATGCTCCGCGCATTGAGAAAGTAGTTCCGTCTATTTTCGCAATTTGTAGTGAATTCCGTGCCTTAAAAAATGTTTTAACGGTATTTTCTTGTTTATTAAGATCACAGGAATGATTTAAAAACGTTTAAAAGAAAAGTCTAGAAAGTTCAGAAATACCTTATGATTCTCTTGTTTACATTTTTCTTGTAAACAAAAAACTGTCATATGGCTACTTTAGTCCCATAAGCCTAATGTTAAAAATTGGAAATTTTAAGTTTGTTTTAAATTGCAATAGCATTATCTAATTGAAATTTGTTTGTTTAAAAACCATCTCACTATTAGTCTAAGTAATTTTGTTAAGTTTGGCTGAAATCCGTTCAGCCGTTATTGAGTGATGTTTCTCTATTTGTTGCATTGAAGTTGATCCCAAAGAGCTTCGCTCGCTTCGCTCGCTCCGCTCAATAATATGTATCCTCGGAGCTGTAGCTTCACTTGCGTGCAATTTGAGCCCAGTCGGTTCAGTACTTTTTGAGATTCTCTCATACAAACACACAGACACACACACACAAACACACACACACCACCTCTTCTTTATAATAGTATAGATAGATAGATAGATTACTATTATAGTATTATATATTTTCTGTGCTATGGCTAAAATACGTTTTTGAGCGAAGCGAGCGGAGCGAGCGTAGCTCACTTTCCCTCACTTTGTAACTTCTTTGTAAGAGCATCAGAATGTAATGGCTTGACCAATTGATATGAAATTTGGCCAACAGCTAAAGAATACTGAGCACAATGTTTTGGTAAAAAATATTTGCAAATTTCCTTCTGGATTTTATTTTACAGGTCACGCAATTTCGCTTGTTATTTTAATGTAAGTTGAAAGAAAAATTATATTGGGTTTATGACATATGGGTTTATCTTGTTTTATTTAAATAAGATAAACATATGTTAATTGTTTGTAACTGTTTTGTTTACATTTCAATGTTTACTTTCATCCTAGGTTAAAGTTAGTTTATCAATGGAAGTAACAGTTTTGCTATATTTGTTTTGAGCATGGCTCAAAGACCACGTCGTAATATTAGTCCAGTAAATAAGAGGTATGTTAACTTACAAACGGTCCGGTAAGTCTAAATTTGTTATATGTTGTCTAGGATGGTAAGTAGTTGTTTAAGGCTGCGCTCTACCCCGTCTGGCGCGCGCAAATGTAAGGATATTAGTTCTTCCTGTTTGTAGCCCCAATTGTGAACCGATTTAAAAGATCTTGGTGTCATATTTTTCGTTAAATGTTATTGTAGGTATCCCGTTTTTTAAAATTTTGATAATTTAAAAAATGTTGGGCTCACGGGTTGGTGAAAAATGTAAACAGATATTTAAAAACGGATTTCGGCATTGAAATCAGCGTGAAAATCTGGTTTATAATGATGGGTCACAACGTTATCATTGCATTTGATTTTCTTTATTTATATCTAATATGGCGGATTCAAGATGGCGGCCAAAAATGAGTTCCCTATGTAAATAAAGTACTAACCACCCAATAAACTTCGGTGGTCGTCCCAAGTCAATATCTCACAAAATTTTGAATAAAATATTCATGTGGTATATTTTTTTCAAATTTGTCCAATGTTGAGAAAAGCCGCCATTTTTATCGTGATTTTAGGAGAATTTCTGTAGACCGATTTTTGGCAACTTTTAGTGCGTCACTCTGCAGACCCATCACTACAAAATAAAACCATAAAACGTTTTCTTCCAATTTTTTAACGTTCCCTGTGTCAGTTTTTTTAGTTTGCTTGGACTAATAGAGATTTGTCAAAATAACAAAGAAATTGACGTTTTATTGTACAAAAATTTAAATATTTTCGTATCCATAAGTCTTAGAACCAAATTGTTATACTTATTTTATAGGAAATCCAATTGTCTACAACATTGTCATTACATATATTTCGCTAAAACGAACCAAAACGGAGATATAGGCGAAAATCTCTAGAAAGTACAGATTTTATCGATTTTTCAATATGGCGGCGGGCGCGGAGGGTGGAGAATTGTGCATTTTTCATTTTAAACAACTGCTTACCATCCTAGACAACATATAAAAAAATTAGACTTACAGGACCGTTTGTAAGTTAACCCCCCTATTTTTGTCTCTAACCAGATTGATAGGCAGTTAGCTAATCAATTCCAACATGAATTAGATGCACAAAAATGTTACACTTGCACTTACTGTCATCGCCAACAACTAACAGCTTCAAACCAATCACCGATTTGTTCGCGTTGTCGTTCAAATGCAACTAAATTCACGGCGTTAAATAATATGGATGAGTCAAGTGTCCCGAACGAATTAACTGACCTGACGATTGTAGAACAAATGTTGATTGCACGAGTACATCCTGCTACGCCCATTTACAAAGTACAAGCAAATAGTCAGGATGGCCAGTTTCACTACAAAGGTACAGTATGAACTATCAGATAAATTTGTCATTCTTTAGAACTTAAATAATATCGGGCAAACAGTGAATCTGTTGAATGGGAACATATTGTAGGTTGTTAGCTGCTTTAGCCATTGACAATCTTTAAATAATGCTTCGCTCATTTATGCGTCTAAAGTGTAACGGCAGACCACCCTATTTATTACTGCATCAGTTGGAGACACTCTCTGAATATCTGCTTCAACCATTTGTTGTCAAACATTGATCTCGTAAAATAGTGAAATTATTTTTCGTATGCACTAATAGAGCAAGGTTTGTACTAAAAGAAAACCTTCTTTTAGTTTAAAAAATACATGTTTCACAGGAAACATTTTTAACCATTGTAGTAACACCATTATAGCTTAAAAAGTTGATAAGTGATAGTTTACATAATATTTAGCACATTTGACGGATAAACATTTTTTGAATTCGTCATATTATAAGTGTATGAAAATTCATATATCTGTGTATCAATATCTACTTATCTCATTTCTGTTCAATGGAAGTTATACAATTTCAATGATACCGGTACTTAAATGGGAAGTCTTACAGCTGTTATAAAACTGTGCATACATTTTATCTTACGAGTAAATTTGCTACCAAGTGATATAGTATGACAATTCTATTCTACTGCAGTACTTAGAATTCTACCACTACTCACATTAAACCTACCATATTTACTTTTGGGCTAGTGATTAATTTATTGTATTAATCATACAATATAGTGAATAGTATAGTCATTTATTTATTTCGTTTCTATGACATAGCTCTATTTTGTAGAAATCAATTATGCAATCATAACAACAGAAATACTGCATCACTACATTTTACGGTGACATAGTATTTATTTTACATATAAAAATTTAAGCTAATACAATAATTAGTTCAATTAGAATCATTGAATATTGAATAATTTAAACATTAATCGAAGACGAAGCGGTTGACAACTTTCAAACAGTTGACTAGGCCTAGTTGCCTTCAATAATTGCAATACGAACTGTATGCACTGAGGTCGGCAAACAGTGTTCACAGTGTGCAGGGACTTTGGACGTCGTGGCACTTGGACGTCGTGCAACAGTCAAATATTGATTGGACGTCGTGGCACTTGGACGTCGTGCAACTGGCAGAGGCTTTGGACGTGGTGCAAATGATACTTCTTTACAATCCTACAGTGCGCTGTTTCACGACGTCCAAGTGCCACGACGTCCAAAGCTTGTAGAAAGACTATATTTTTGGCAGTTACTGTACTTTTGGACGTCGTGGCACTTGGACGTCGTGCAACAACTCAAAAATGATGTTTTGGACGTCGTGGCACTGGAAAAATATTATTGGACGTCGTGGCACTTGGACGTCGTGCAACACTCCCCTGTGAAAGAGGGTGTGGTATACAGTCATAAGATAAGGCAGTGCTATTTCTGATTTAAGTTTTCTTAAAAGACAGGTGATGTGGGAAAAATTCACACATAGGCTACCTTTTCAATGTGGGAATTTCAGGTTTAAATTTAGTGTCAACCCAAAAGCCAAGTAATTTCACTGGTCTCCTCCACAGTTTTGGGCTACAAATCAGAGATTGAATTTTATCCTCATTGAATTTATGATGGCTAGCATAAAACCAGTCCATAGCCTGGGATAGCAGGTGTTCGGTCTTAAGTCGCAGCTGAGTTAGGTCTCGTAAGGCTCGGGTCATTAATATTTTATTTTGGCAATATTTATCACTGAACTGTTTATTAATTTTGATTAGGCTATAAAACTTAACTATTAAAATAAGTAGGCTGTTTCAAAACTTTAAAAACATTTTGCTATGTAGGCCTATGTTAGCTATTAAATCTAGACATTTTCTCGTAAAACATAACAACGTCACTGGACACAAATTCATATCAATGTCGCCTTCTCTACTTGGAAAATGTTGCTTAACCAATTTAATTTGTTATTGAGTAGGTATACATTTGTAGGACAGTAGTGATTATGCCAGCGGTAGCTGGTTGTGTTGGTAGTCTAGTAGTTAGTGTCTCAGACTTTTGTGCGATGTAAATGCTTATATCCATAAAATGTTTGATTTGTTTGTAGGCCTACCGCTTTTCCTTACTTAAGGGTTTGTAATTATTCTTTAACAATTGGTTGATTCTAGCTGGTTGTGTGAATCTGAGGAGAGGACAACAACCAACTGTTGAGAACGTGTGCGCCAACCTGAACCCTGATCAGCAGCTGATTACGATGTTCTCTCAGAACTACGTCCCTGTAAACTGCCGCTCAAGTCTGGAGGGCGTGTGGCAGTTTGCCTATCAGGTATGGTACATACACTACATACATAGCCTAGTCCGTCAAAACAAATCGCTTAGTGTGGAAACATCCTTGTAATTAAATTAGTTACAGCGTGCACATAGCTTCCTTGATCTGCTTGTGGCTTAATTTAATCTGCAGTAAATCACGGTATCTTAAGGACACTACTTCCAATCTCATTTTATGTTTTGCATCCACTAGGTAAAGAAAAAAGGAGAGCAAGCTAGCTGGTCTTATTAGAGTGCGGAACTTGTTCCTCAAGGTCTTGGGTTCATATCCTGCTAATCAAATCACTCGGGTTTTGATAAGTAAATATTCGTTTGTTTTGAAATTAACATGTTTCAGCTGATCGAATAACGTAAATAAACATTTCAAGTTTAGATTAGGCCTACTTGCAGAATGATATAATAGATTGTTTTTACAAAAAACTACAGAAAAATTAGTGATTTGTATATTTTTTCGGTGTAGTGGGTAATAAAAGCTTTAAAATAACATTATGGGAATTGGTGAAGAATTAAGGAAGTTATGGCGTACTGGAAAAAAAAGTACAAGTAGAAATTAATTATATAATATATTAACATATATAGATCGTTAATCTTTTAACTCCTCAAAGTAACAGTTCCTTACTTTGTCAGACAAATTTTACCGAAGGTCTACACTGAGACTAAAGGCCTTAGTTTCTTAGAATGTGTCCTAGAAAAAAGGCAAAATATTAACTGTCAGATTAGTTATCTACTACAGTTTTAACCATAGGAAGTTGTGAATCTTAGAATTAATTGTTTCGTTTTCTAAATTTAAGATTGCTACATGGCAATGTTTTTGTAATCTTACCAACATTTATTTAGTATTAAAAGAATGAATAAGGGCCTTAGTACCTAGTAGAGGCATGACTAGTCTCTTTCTTTTGAAATCTTAAAGATTCGCCAAGGAAAATAAAGAAATATGCACATATTAGTTCAAACACAATGTGAATTAAGAATCTTTTACTTTGCAGAACCGGTTCCGTTTCACAGGAGAATGTAACCACCCTGAAGCTCAGATTAGATCTTGTCAACAAGCTGGGTCTCAGTTCCTCATATCCAACCAGAAGTTCAACATCACATACAAGGCATGTCCTGGCATGACTGGCACCTTTGATGGAGGTAAAGTAGATAATCTGCTAAGTATGTACGGTACATGTTTCTGTAAGTAAGGCCAATGAATCCTGTCGGATTTAGTAAATTTGAGGGTTTTGAATTTTTTAAAGAAGAACAATGATCCAAAAAGTAGGCTTCGTGATTTTTATCAATTGGAAGACAGTAAAGCTATCTAAGTGACAAAATTAATTAGTGCTACCAGTTAATGATACTTTCCAACAAAGTTGACGTTACATTTTATAACAAGGTCAAAGTTTTGACATTCCCTTAAAAAAAAAAGATTGTAATAAGACTGTTCTTTTACATAAAATTTTATTGGCATAAAAACATAAATAAATAATAATAAAAATGATAACTTTAAAGAAAATAAAGTGATATGATGTAATTGTAAGTTAATCAGGCAGTGGTCAATGGTTGTTTGAGATTGTTATTTCACTTACATATCTTTTACCAATTAAATTGTGGTGTTATTTCAATTAAATATTCAAGACTACTCTGAAAATAAAACTATACTTTGTTGAAGCTTCAGTAGAAAGGAAATATGTAGATCACAATTTCAGTTGAAAGTTGACGAGAAGTTAATAACTAATTTAAAATGGGAAATTTCTTTAGAATCTTCTTTTATATGTTAAGGGGCAACCAAATCCGTAAAATTCTATAACATTTGTCTTTTCACGTAACAATTTTTAACACAGTTTTGTAAGATTTATCAAGCCAAAGTTTTATCATTGGTTATCAAATTAGTTGATTATTATTTTTAGCTTTTTCAAATTACGTTTTATCAGCGCCTACGTAAAGTTTACTGCACCAGTCTTGTTAATATTCCATCACTTACAGTGGTTGAATACAGCTGTCTGGGAGACTGGTTTGTGGACAAGAATCATTTTTTTGCCGTTGCAAACACCAAGGAGTCACGTAAGGAGGAGAAGTACCGATGTTTCCTGAAGAACCGAGATGATGACTTGTACCTTGGAGTCTCCATTACAGCCGAGTGCAACACACTGAAGACTGTGGAGAAGAGTCCTGAGAGGCTGCATGTCAACCCAGGTAATTGTCAACTTTCAACTTTGGTATATACTTTTAAGGAAGGTCAAGTGGCTGGTTAAGAATTGTTTTAAAAACCATACAATCCAGGGGCTAATAGATGTACCCAAAAATTCGCAAATCATTGATTTTAGTGAATTTCCCTTTAGGGAAGTAGCTATTACCGTAAGTGGCACGGTAAGACCTAGGCCCGGGACCGATTTACTTTTTCATTTTGATGTCCCCAGAGGCCAAAAAGACCATTCGTTTAAATTTTTATATATGTATATATATATACGTCCGTGAACGCGATAACTTGAGTAATTTTTGTCAGATTTTGATGAAATTTTGGTTTAAAGGTGTAAGGCGGGATAAACTTGAATGAGTTTGCGAACCAGCATGATAGGACCAAGGGAACGGGGTTTTACGGGGTAAATATTGGTTTTTCTAATTTTTGACCCTCAAAACACAAAATTTCCCAATTTCTCTCTAGACTTTTTAAAAAAGCTAGCACAGTCTCATTGGTGGAGTCATTGAGAACGGTGCTATTAGTGTTCCATTGTGTGAGCTTTATACGTTACACCTTTTATAGATTATAGTGTTTTGTGATTGGTTATTATTTGCATGAGTTGTATCATGGCTTTCATCATGATTTTTGACTGCTACCTCCTGAAGTGTATTCCAGCTTAAGTTGGGCGTTTGTGTATTGTTAGTTGTAATGTGTTAGTTAAGTTTTTTCACCTGAGGACGGGATCAGATCCAGATCCCGAAACGTTGTGTATTGTTTTTTTTCAATCGTGATGGATAATGTCTGCAATAAACCTTCGAACAACATAGTAGATAGTGTTCTAAAATCTGTATCCTTTACAGTGAAAGCTGAAGTAGTAGAGGCTGGTTGTCGTCTGCCTCAGAACTTCTCTGGAAACTGGATCAACACAGCTAATCTGGACGCTGATGTAGTCATCAACGAGACTCACATCACAGAGACATGGTATCCGGATCAGGGCCGCTACCGACGGACCATCTACATCTGTCGGGAACAGCGAGACACACGCTTCATGATGGCTCGGCTCACTGTAGATGGATGGTAAGTGTAGCCACATGGTGATTGAAAAGTTTGTATATTTTTAACAGTAATAGTGGAGTTATTGACCGAGAGATGTTAGGTTTGAGAGCCTAAAGTTAGCCACAGCTTGAGATATTCTGTGTTTGATCTTTAACTACCAGACTTTCAGTGCTATATGATCCTCACTGAAGACGATAAAGTACCAAGAAATAGAGTTATATTTCTGTGAGGTATTACTGTACACTGTAGCAGTTACATTGAAACAAACCCCTTTTACTGTCTCTGTCTAAATAAGCGCCAGGCTTCAGGCATTTACTTTGACTGCTGATAATGTACCACATAGGAGACAGTTTGTCACCTCCTCTTTCCTGCACCTCTCAGTTACCCGTCACTGTCTTAGTCACAATGCAAACAATGACCTATAGCTGTATGGACGAATAATGCTTTACCTCATATTTTACAGTTATTGTTAATGGGGTTTTTATATTTAGATTATTTTTTCATCATTTTTGATAATAGCTTACAAATAGAAAAACAGCTGATAAGACCGACAATGTACAACAAAACTAGTTCATTCTGCATCCTGACCTTCACTGCCTGTGCATTTTAGTAATAGGCCTAAGCCTATTAAGTTTTATTCGTTTCGTAAGTGTCGTCGTCCCATTAGTGTATGTGTGTCTGTATGTTTATGCATATTAGTAAACAATGACAAGGATTTCTTTATCCAACTGCAATGTTTTGACAATGGCGGATGTAAGCCGAAACATGTAAAAAATCTTCTGTAATAGTTGAGCTTTTTGTCGTAATTATAAGGTATGTAAACCTATTTATCATATAGAAAAAAACTTGGCTAGCTGTAAATAGTTTCTATGGAAAAAACTGAAAGCATTGAATAGGTTTACCAACGGAGAAACTTAACCAATTTAATTATCTCTAACATCGTTACTGAATTAATGATGTATTTTAATTACAGCCAAAAGGATTACATCTGTTTTGACTTCGTGCCACGCCATCACAATATCATCAGGTATCGCAAGGGAGTGGCAGTCATCACGGACGACTTTCACACTGTATGTTCCTGGGTGGCATTCCAAAACAAAGAGCAGTGGAAATACGACCTCTTCCTTGGTAAATATGTCTCACAAGCTCAATATAATAGTCAAGTAGTTATTTAGTGTTATCAAGGTTAACTTGTTTGGTTATTATTTATTATATCTTATCTCTGCCCTTAACCTAGATTTCAAGCCTCTTGGTTCTTAAATTTTGGCCCAGATGAAGTTATATAATAAAGTTTACGAATAAATTACAAAAGTAATCTGTGAGTTTATGCAATGGTTGTTAAAATGCAGAGCAAAACTGAATATTTGTCTAGAAATCAGCTGTGTCAAGCATAGTGTCAAAACATTTAGAGTGTAATACTGGTTTTAGATAATTTGGACTGAAGTCCAAATTTATAGTTTATTTTGGTATTACCCTACAAAGCTAGAGCTCAGGGACATAAATAAAAATAAATGCATATAAAAAACTATTGGACCCAGCCTTTAAGTAATTTTATCCACCAAGTTATTATTAAAGTTTCAATGGAGAGGTATTTTCTATCTTATGCTACTTATATAGGTAAAGATCCAGTGCCTGTTAGATGTCCTGTTGCGGGCAAGTTCAACTTCACTCAGCGAGGAGACGTCCCATTTGAAACTCGTATCCTTGGAGGAGTGACACTGTCACCTCGTCCAAATGTCTACTGTAAAGAAAACATTTCCGACTTTTCTGTCTGCGACACTGACCAAAAAGAGATGAAAATTGATGAAACCTACTGTCTATCAGTGGACCACCTTGGACGACCTATAGATATTTACAGTAAGACTAGTCTATACTTTTTTATTACAACTTTTTTTTGCATAATATTATTAAGGTTTAATGGGTAAACTTAATAAGAATTAATCTATTATTGTTACAAAATTGTTTATTTTAAAATCTAATGTACAATTTCCAAAAATAGTTTTTTTTTTCATGTTCATTTTTGAGAGGCTTAATTTTAGTTACTGTAGCTTTTTGTAAATTTGAATACTAATTTGTTGACCGACTTTTGTTTACAATTGAGTGAGATATTTAAAAGACACGCCTTTTTTCTAGAAAGGTAAACAATGTATTCAGTATTCACAGTTTATCTTTGCTGTTTGTCTTCAGGTGACCCTGATTACAAGCTGAAGTGTGTTGGATATTGGAAGGAGAATCTCAAGTCGTACTTGATCACATTTGACGAGCTGGACGCCTTCAGCAAGTACCGATGTTGGGTGTACCAGCGGGCGGATCTGAACAGAGTGCTCATGTCGCAGGCTATCGGACCCTTCTGCGACCTCTCACAGGACGTGACCAGCTGGAACTACACCGAGGGCGCTGCCGTCGCTCTCGAGATGCAGGAGTACGAGAGAGAACGTAAGTTTGCCGCTTTGTTTGATTTTGAATTTGCGCTTTTTTTGTGTTTATTTGAAAATAAATAATTACCAACATCACATATTTGTTGCAATCAAACTCCCTTAGAAGTCATAATATTTCGTAGCTTAGAGTACATTTAGTTTTTAAATTTGTTTGTCAAACATTCAGGGATCAATAAACAGTAAACACCTTCAAAATTTACTTTCAGCAAAGTAGCCTACTGCCTTTTTAATGAAGCCACCTTTTATCAAGCTGCTTTAACTAGGCATATCGCAAATTATGTGAATAGATAAAGGCATCTCTTCAACTGGTTGTATTTGAGAGAAAACTTACTAAAGACCTCTAGCTCATGGCCACGCTGTAAACATTATTATTATTATTATTGAAATACAGATTTTAGACGTTTAAAGATAATATATTTAATATACAGTTTCTGTACTAATTAGAGCTTTACATTGTTCATGTTCAACCACTACTGTTGTTTTGTAAAGTGCACAGAATGTTTAGTTACTTATGGTACCTTGGTATGTGTTGAATTGAGATGTATGATGCTCTGATTTGCATGTGCATGCTTAGTCTTAAAAAAATAGCGGAAATTGAACGATTAAATATAGTAATTATATTTTATTTTTGAACCAAAGGTTATTCTTTACTCTTGAAAATTAGCTTTAGAAAAGCTAATTCGCTTCAATACATTACAGGGGATAGGTGTCCAATGCACTTTGACGATGGATCCAACCCATGGATGTCCTCTGAGAGTTATATCCATGTTTTTCACTTCAATTAGAATTAGATTATCAGTTAAGAAATGCACTAACATAACCATCATTCCTTATATTGTCCTTGACATAAAGTAAGAACAAATTGCTTTTACCCACCAATTAATTGTATGATTATTGTCCTTAACATAAAGTAAGAAAGATAGTTTTTACCCACCAATTGTATAAATCTAGCTTTTATTGTGCCTTGAGTGTGAATTTTATTTTTATACTTTTATACTCAAATACAATTAATTTTTACCTTAGTCCTATCTTTATTTTACCCTGACTCGAGCAGTTGAAATATTCTTTGAACTATTTTTCCTGGTCAAAATACTAGTAAACCAACATATATCAAGGAATCGTGTTATTCTGATACCACCAATCAATTACTTCCTCATTATTAGTGTGTAAAATTGATTGTCTCAATTTGACTGGATTCTATCTATTCAGAAGGGCACTAAGAATTTAACTTGAAAGAGGTCATTAAGTTCAGACCATATTTCCTAATTAGGCTAGGCATATTAGGAATATAAGTGACAGTTAGAGGAAAGTTTAGGTACAGTCCTAATCATCACTTTCCTTTATGTTTTTTGGGTCGCTGAACTTGAATATGAAGTTTGCTGACAGATATTTTGCCCGGAACATTGGTTATTTTGTGAAAAACCTTAAAATTTTGGCACTTTTTTTGGTTTTTCGGGCAAATCTCGGTTAGTATGGGATTTTGAGAAAATCCTGCTTTGTAAAATTAAAGATGACAAAATTTACTACAAGTTTCATATATAATGTTTGTTTCTACGACGAACCGTTTCGCCACTAGAGCACGCTAAAAAAGGCCAGAAGTACAACAAATTAAAAACATTGCTAAATGCTGCCGTTTTACATTACGTTTCCATGGAAACAACCCATGTTACGATAATTTTAACTATTTATTCATGATAACAAACTGAAACACACTTAAAGATACCCCCGCCGCAGCAAACCTGCAGACTAAGCGAATTTCCATTTCCCTGATTGTATTTACACTAAAATGTCTCCTTAGAAATAATACATTTATTCCCTATTTAAATAAACGTTTAACGAGTACTTAGGTTTGCTGCAACAGGGAGGGTAAAAAGGTGTTTTTGAAAAATGGTAATAATTTAGTATGAAATGAATGCATTTTCCAAATTTGATCAAAATATGTTCATAAACAAGCAAACTACAACAGTTTACTTAGTCTCCATAAGAATAACATGGACATTTTAAATTTACAGATTTTTGGAATTTTCTCTGTAACCATTAGGCGCATAACAACGCTTTAATATACTAAACTTTTTGTTTTATGTTGTTTGTTGTTGTTCCGGATCGGTTGACAATTAATAAAAGGTTAAATTACCTGCAAGACGTTACTGCAAGACTTAAGACGCACCTAATGGGGAAGACCAAGCTCTTATATTAAGGACTGATGATGGCGATTTAACGTCGCCGAAATGCATATCCTACAATAGGATTCTACAGGATCGACCGGCGGACACAGGTAATTTAACCTTTTATTAAACTTTTTGTTTTTTTAAGCTCTACAAAATGGTATGGAAAGAAATCGCTAAATTTTAAGTTTATAGGGTCAAAAATATTAAAAACCAATTTTTACCCCATAAAACCCCCCATAAATCCCTGTTCTTATTGTCCGATTATGCTGGTTCGCGAACTCGTTCGAATGGACGTAGGTTTACACCTTTGTCCCAATTTTCATCAAAATCGGATGGTTTTTGCTTGAGTTCTCGAGTTACGGAGAAAATTCCAAAAATCTGTAAATTTAATATGCCCATGTTATTCTTATGGAGACTAAGTAAACTGTTGTTTGCTTGTTTATGAACATATTTTGATAAAATTTGGAAAATGCATTAATTTCATACTAAATTATTACATTTTACAAAAAACACCTTTTTACCCTTCCTGTTGCAGTAAACCTACTCGTTAAACGTTTATTTAAATAGGGAATAAATGTATTATTTCTAAGGAGACATTTTAGTTTAAATCCAATCAGGGAAATGGAAATTCGCTTAGTCTGCAGGTTTGCTGCGGCGGGGGTATCTTTAAGTGTGTTTCAGTTTGTTATCATGAATAAATAGTTAAAATTATCGTAACATGGGTTGTTTCCATGGAAACGTAATGTAAAACGGCAGCAGCAATGTTTTTAATTTGTTGTACTTCTGGCCTTTTTTAGCGTGCTCTAGTGGCGAAACGGTTCGTCGTAGAAACAAACATTACATATGAAACTTGTAGTAAATTTTGTCATCTTTAATTTTACAAAGCAGGATTTTCTCAAAATCCCATACTAACCGAGATTTGCCCGAAAAACCAAAAAAAGTGCCCAAATTTTAAGGTTTTTCAAAAAATAACTAATGTTCCGGGCAAAATATCTGTCAGCAAACCTCATATTCGTGTTCAGCGACCCAAAAAACATTAAGAAAAGTGATGATTAGGACTGTACCTAAACTTTCTGCTAACTTTCCTAATATGCCTAGACTAAATGTGCAAGGATAGCAACCTCTTGAAAACATTAACCTTGCCTAAAAATTCTTTCCTGAGGGAACTGGTTTTGTTAGTCATTGTTAGTTTCTTGCAATTTAATTGTTCACTCTCTCAGACAATCCAAGAGAGCATTGCTAATACTTCAAATACATTAGATGGTTGTAAATAAATTATATCAGGAAAGACAAGGTAATAATTATTCTAAAAAAAAACTACATTGAGCAGCATTAAATTAAAATACAATGATGTTGTATTCAGTGTACAGTCTGATTCATCCAAATAATTGGCAACGTCAACTTCTACTTTGCTTATTGAGTTATGCTTTTGTGTGCTTTTTTCTGCTTTGTGCTCTGTTCTGCTTTGTTGTTGGTATTTTTAAACGTTTTTGTATATTTACAGTATTTGTTTGAATCTTGAATGTGCAATAATAATCAAAGTAAGGTAATAATGATATGGTGTTCTATCAAAACGTATTTTAGAGGGTCTCTACTTTATTATACTAATTCAATAATTAAAAAATCTGTAAAAGGTCAATATTCTCCTTAGTTAAAAAAATATATATATTATTTGTGTTTAAGAATTCTTTTGTGTTCACAATCTCTTGTTTTATCCCACTTTTGCACTTATCCTACTTTTGCACTTATCCTACTTGTGCACTTATCCTATTTCTGCACAAGTGGCATTCCCCCGGTCTCTGTATTTCTCTATGCTCTTATGTCATTGCAGGAGACAGATGTCCGATGCATTTTGACGACGGCTCAAATCCCTGGACCCAATCCGAGAGTCACATTCATATTTTCCACTTTGACGGAAGTTCAGCCTCTCTCAGCCCAATCAATCTGTTTTTGACATTCATCGTCGGTGTTTTATTGGTTGTTTTACATAATTGTTGACCTGTGAATTAACTGATTGATATACAATCAGTTATTCAGTTTGGGAGGTTGTAAAAAAGAGAGCTAAAATAGTTGTAGAGAGGTTTTAGTTTTCGTAACATTTCTAATTCCTGCCACAAACTACAAAAAAGAAAGTATAGCATTTCTTGCTTGTTATAGCTTAATTTTAAACATATTAAGAACAAGTTAAGGTAGTGAGATTTAATAGTAAAATGCCTTTGTAACAAATTTGCCTTACTAATCTACAATATATGCATACTTATTTTGTAAATCTATTGTCTATTTTATAAGGTGATAGACAAAAATGTCTTTTAGCAAATTTCTCTTAAAGGGATAAGCTATTACCTAGGTCTCATGGTAAGACCTAGCCCCGGGACCGTTCAATTTTTTGTTTTGAGGTCCCCAGAGGTATGTAGCGTTGTTGTACGCTTAATGGTTTTGGGGAAAGGTTAAAAGAATTAAAATATAAAATTCCCATGTTCATCTTAGGGAGAGCAAGTAAACTGTTGCGTTTTGTTTGATTATGTATGTAATTTGAACAAGTTTGGCAAATTTATTTCATTTCCATAACAAATTTATTAATATTTCTTTAAGAACACACTTTATTACCTCCCCTGTAGCAGCAAACCTAATTGTTCATTAAACATTAAACCTAATTTCATTAAAAAAACTAATAAATCTGACATATTTAAGGGAAAATTTTTCCCTTAAATCTTGACATTCCAGTTGCTTTCAGCTGTTGTACTTTAGTGTTTTATTTTAGTCTAGTAATAGTGTGTTGTGCGTTTTATTTATTCAATTGAATTCTGTATTTTAACAAAAGTACACATCTATATTGCTTTTACAAATTAGTTTCAATCATTAAGAGTTTATAAAAGTCTTGATAGTGTAGAATAGAAATAAAAATCAATTTACATTTTTTAAGCATAGACCTATTTATTTAAAAACTTAGTTGCTGTATTAGAACATTTTTCCAATTATTGAGAAATAACAAAAAAGTGTTATTGCTGAGAAATGCTCGCCTGTGCCTTTACCTTTAGATATATCATATTTTTACATTACTGTACCTGTATCTTTGTATTTTAAAACCTTTTATTGCTGTGATTAATGTAAATGTGTGTCCGTCCATATTTATATGTTTTTTAGCCACTAGTTATATGTATCAAAGGACTATACTGAACAATACACTAATATTTTACAGCAATAACATTTATACATATCATTCAGTGTTGGATGAACAGGTTGTGACTTGTTTATTATGTGTATCATTAAAGATGGCTGACCGAATTAATCCAATCTCTGAACCAAACTAATTTGAACGTTAGGCATGAGGGAGTCTGCTTTACACAATCTCAGTGAAATATCTGAACAATAGATAATATCTTCAATATCTTCAACTTTTATCTAATATTTAACAAATTTAATTTTGTTTAGTCATTAAAGCAGCTTAAGAGCATGGTGATTATTTGCACAAATTAGTATCATAGATAAAACCATAGACAAAAAGAATTAAATATAGACAGTCAGCTGAGCTGCGGTTACCATAGGTTCTGGCGCACACCGCTGGGAGCGCCATTCAGTTACGGCGTACACGCTATGTAACTACACGGCGCTCCCAGCAGTGTGCGGCAGAACTTATGGTAACCGTAGCACAGCTGACAGTCTATATTTAATTCTTTTTGTCTATGATAAAATATAGATATGGGTTAGTCTATGTTAGTACTCATTGCATATTGTCATAAGGTTCTAGCAGTTAGCATCTGTCGTTTAACAAATCTGAATGAATCTGTTATATGTAGGATATTTTGTAAGATTATACAATTAGATATTTTGTATGCACTTTTTGTTAAAATAATATCTACAATATAATATAACAGATACAGTATTACTTTTTTTACCCAACTTTGTGACGAAACTTACACTATTGCTCTTCAAAAAATATTGACCACCTTTAAATTTATGGTCTCAGTGAATACCAATTAATACCTCCTGCAATGCCAATGACTAGAATTTCTGGATAGACTGTGTCAAAACTAAAGATACTATTTACAATGTTATTTGAGCAAGATGACGATGAGCCTATGCTTCGGCCAACACATCAAAATAACCATCGACACAATACAATGGTCGATCGACAAGTCAGGCTTTGACGGATTCTTAAAAAACAGACTGTGACACGTCTTAAAACTTTGGGAGAGATCGTTGAACATCTTCAGAGCCCTAATCCGGAAACAGTTTTATGTTTTGGTCAGCCTGCAGTATAAGGTATGTGGAGCTGGTCCCTGTTATGGAGGTTGTGGGAGTGGTGGGATTCCCTTGTCAGGAGCTGGTGCAGATTATTCCTCTCACATAACCGGGACGAAACAGGATGTCATTACTGGCTGAAGATGTTAAGGATTTTTAGTCTCCTGCGAAGATTAGCTGAAGTTGACATGATCAACTGAAATTTCAAAATTAACTAGATTTTAAAATCAACTTTAGAACATAAATTAATTGTTGATTGGACAGTTAAATCATTAAGTTATCTGCCTCAGGAGGTAACTTTAAATACATTAACTGAGACAGGTACAATTCGGCAAAAACTTCTGTGCCCGCGGATGGGTTGCTACTAGCTGAACTAAATTTTTTTAAAAAACTAAAAATTTCAGGTACCCCTAGTCTATATTTAATATATACTAGGGGTACCAGTTATTCGCAGAGCTGGGGGTAAGGATGAGTGAGACACGCTGAGTAGCAAGACACAACTTTTTCACAAAAGTACCCCCGCCAACCCCCTCACCAAGACCCGACCAGTTCTGGCTGTGCACAGAAACGTAATAACATGAATATATAAAAACATGTTAATCCAAGTTAGCAGCACATCATCACTCATCAGATGAGTGCATTGTTTATAGGTTTTTTCACGACACGGAATAGCTTTTGAGCAGATGCAATGATAGCACTTTCAAAATGTTTGAGGATGCATCGATGCATGGTCTGCCTCAAAAGGGTACTAGTACTACTAAAAACTAACCCCCTGTTCCTGTTATTCCAAAGCAGGATCCACACATAGATATATAATAACATTATATATCTATGGATCCACAGGACTTTGACTTACTTTTCCCCAGCCTTTTAAAAATTCCACCACTAGCGTAAGTTATACCATGGTTATACCTACCATAGATAAAACATACTCCTCAATGAGTATGTTTTATCTATGGTTATAAAATCGAAATAAGGAAAAGAAAATCCACTACCACAGTGAATAGTGATGAATATCGAGGACATAATAAAGCTCAGCATTGACCACGGCCACCTCTCATTGACACTCGATTACAAATTTTTGCTATAGTACAATCTGTACAATACAATTAGACGTTATTGGAGTTGAATTAAATGACTTAAATACCTTAAATTACACATTTTAAAAATTGGTCACGTCTCACGTCTTATTCAAAGAATACGGATGGTCCAAAAACTAAATATTATAAGACAAGATAACCGATACATTTTTTTGACAGGACATAAATCTTTGATTCTGTTGGTACGATTGTTTATGAGCACGAACTCAGCAGCAAAGCAAGAAGAAATTGTCCAGAAAGATGATGGCAATCTCTGTTGGTTATTATGTTCCGCGAGTGTTAGATTAAGTTTAATTTGTGTTAAAATCACCTCAGATTATCGAAGGGACTAAGCTATAATGTCTATAAGTGTTTCTTTGTGATGTTGGTGTTACAAAAAGGCTCAATATGAGCCGCAGGACCCATTAAAATAACCTCGAAATCGTGAAGCCGCTAGCCATCAAAGGATCAACAAACAAAGATAAATAAGCAGTTCTTCATTAAACTAATGGGCGCGGTTTGTATTTAGGTAATTGAGAATTAAACCCATATTATCATCATTTATTTTATGTGGTATCTATGTTTACAGCAACTCGTCTTTTAGTACACACTAAACCGAGCTTTTAATTAATTAGCGTTGGCTTATTGTCTTCAGGCCTAATGGCCTGGATCTTAAAAATCTGCATGGATAGCAAATAACTTCAAGGCTAGCAAAACTTACTTATTTTGTTTTATAATTCATTGTTCCCTATTGTTATTAATATCTGATTTAACTTAATGTTGCTTGTAACCAGAATAGGACTCTGACCTCTTATTAAGTTTTAAGTCATAGAAACAAAGCCCAGCAGCCCAGGTTGAACTGTCTTCAGACAAAGCCTAGGTAGGCCTAGACCTAATACAATTTTTTTACAGGACACTTACTATCATAAACAGACATATTATATAGGCTATGACCATGTTTCATTGTCCTCTCAACATTTGAGTTCTTGGGCCTAGGCCTAGATTCAGTTTTATAGGCTAGGCCAAGTAACTTGCTGGTAACTTTTGGCTTGTTGAGCTTCGGCCTAAGTTATCAGTTTGGATGACGTTGAGAATTTTTTAAGGAATATCGTAGGCCTACTGTAATTGCTGAAGGTCTTCTGTAAGGGAATCTAAAACATAGGTGTAAGCCTATTTATTTTATTCCATGACATCTCCATTTTTAACTAGCCTAACTTAAATGTAACAAATCAATGCAGTACAAAAGCTCTGGATGGCTAATTATTTTATAAACATTTACAAACAATAGGTTGAATGATTCGGATGTTTGAAGTTCGAGTTGTTTCAGGGAAAAACGTACCGTAGCGTAACTAAGCCTGTTCTGTGCTTTACTTAAATCTAGCCTCCTCTATTTTACTTAAATTTGTTGTTGTTATTGTCTAAAGCTTAAGCCTAATTCTATCTAGGCTACTTACATTCGTCCGTAAATAGTGTTTACCCGTAATTTTACTTTGGTTACCTACCGTCTTTACCTAATGTAGCCTAAGTTAACTTATGGTAAGTTATCTGGTATCAAAGGGTATTTTTTAAATATAACTTACCCTTCATGCCATTCCACACAAAATTTTGTTTTGATATAGGGGCCTAAGTTACCCAGGCCTAAACATTCCTCCTGAAACCTTAAGTATCATTATTTTATCATTTATGACTTAAAAATAAGTTTAACAAAATATAATAAATACCTATCAATATTTAAAAAGGAAATAAAATACAACTATACCTACTTACTAGGCCCTGAGTTGGAATTTATTTTTAAACAGGCAAAAGGAATGAAAAATTGATTATAATCTAGGATGTTAATAGGAGCAATGCATTCCGTAAAAAAAGAAAAAGAATAACAACATAGGAAAGCATAACATGAAAAATAAAATAACCAAACAATGTTTGCCGATGTTAGGTTAGTAACATAGATTAGCACCATTTTGTTAAAAATAGCCTAACTCCATTTTAGCAAATTTCCTCTTATAACTGTAGTCCTCAGGATTAGGTGAACTTATATGTAGAATAGTTGAACTCAAATTCCATTAACTAATGAGGATGGATCACTACTAGATAAGGTGTGACAAATATTTTCTGCACGGGAAATAATGTTATGTGCTCGGTCGCAAACGTTTGCCAAGGATAGATCTCAGTCTACAATTCAATTCAATTCAATTCGTTTATTCACGGCAGAAGCCATTGTACAATAATGCCATTACAATGGCTGGGTGCCTAAAATTTCAGGGTCTATGACAACGGAAACCACTAGGCCAAAAGCTGGTTCTAACCAGTATAAGGCTGGCTCCTACATGGGCATGTAAATAAGTCCCCAAACAATCGTGCAATAATCACCACCAGACCTATGCCGATTCTCCGCTCTCCTAGGGGCTCGTTGCTGACTTTTCATCTCAGGCTTTGTCGTTCTCTCCAATAATTAAGCCCAGAGTGCCTAAAACAATGTGTGTGATGCGATAACTTGCCAATAATAACCTTAACGCACGTTATCACTAGATGGGGTCTACTTGGCCGACAACTCACACCACGCTATATCTAGTAATGCCTGTTGCACCAGTGTTAAATTATTGAGCTACTTATTAGCAGTGTATTTAACTTCTTTCCAAACACTAAACAAATATCTGAAAGCCTGTAGGCTACTACAATATCCAAAGCTACAAAGATAACATGCCGGATTAACAAACAAGCGATCTAGTTCAATTCAAATCATAAAATAATAATATTCCTGAAAACCAGTAAAAGACTACTACCATCAACGTGATATTAATTACCTGGGCTTCTATTTTGTAGGCTATTAAAGTTAACTTCTAGTCTACTGGCCACATGCAGTCAACTATACACGCCAAATCCTGTAGGCTAGGTTTGACAGGCCTCTTGAGTTTTAGTAAAATAATTGGCTAAAACACAAGGCACCATAATAATTATCAAAGATAATATAGGCCTAGTAACTATATTATGTGAGCTTTGATGCTTGCCCAGAACCATCAGGAATATATTTTAGGATTATGCCTGACACTTGAAAACATAAGCTATGATTTAAACCAGCACGGTTAGAACTCTAGTCTACTAATAAAACAGGGAATAAATATTATCAAGATATTATCTATGACACTAATGCCCGAAGTATAATGAAAGTCACTCACTAGCGGGTCTCTAGCCAGCTCAACTCTAAAACGCTTCTCTCTTCGACACACTCCCATCACACACCTTTTTCTCTCCTTACTCTCACACAATCTCCTAGCTGAACTTCACTCTTCTCTGTCCACAACTCAAAATTTGAGGTGGATTTAATGTCCCTTATCTTCTTATCTTCAATCTAACAGAGCAGGCCAAGACCATGAAGAACTTAATCCGAAAAGTTGAATTATTGCGCACCCCAGAAAGTTCTTTTATTGATAAACCTTACAGATTCAGGCATCCGATGAACGCCTGTAGCCTACAGTAGTCTTCCAATTAATTCCTCATCAGGCAGGTATCTACCTCTTACCAAATTACTAAGAGCAATCCTTCTAGCATCAGAGAGCTATTCACAATCAAAGAGCAGGTGATCGGTTGTCTCCTCTGACCTACTGCAAGACTACGGATCAGATTGCCTTCAAACAAGCCCAACCTTTGTAAATATTTCCTGAATCGCCCATGGCCAGATACCAGTTCTACTGTTAATTTTGATTTTTCGTCTTAAAAAGTCAGAGGCAACCCGTTTAGAAGGTGTGTACAGAGTAAGCTTGCTAACCCTAAGGAGGGGTGTTTCCACCCAATGTGTGTTTCATTGGCCCATAACCCAATAGAGGTGCTCACACTTTCACACATATAAGTTACCACAGAAAGGTTGTGTACCAATCATTGTTGCCGCTGAGGCAGCATTTGCCAATCTATCAACGGCTTCATTTCCTTCAATGCCTGAGTGTCTAGGCACCCAGCAGAGCGTTAGGTCATTCCTCCTACTCAATTCACACACAGAATCTAGACAATCCCACACGGGCTTTGATTTGAATTCGTATGTGCTTTTAAGGTAGCTTGACTATCAGTGTAGATTAATTATTGTTTTGTCTTTAATCTATTTGTTAAGATTTTCTCAAGTACAAACCAAGATAGCAGTGACCTTCGCTTTAAAAACTGTTGGGTACACTCCCACAGGAAGGCTAACTCCAATGCCTTCTCTATTCCAAAGTGCAGCTGCATCGGTGCCCCCTTGTTTAATCTTAGAACCTTCGGTATAGCATTCTAAATCACCTGCGGGGATAGGCCTCGAATGTCCCTGATCAGCTTGTCCTGAAGTTCCAGGATACTCGAGACTTATTGTAACTGATAAGCCGGGTCAAAGGGTGCTAGCTCGCTTTGCCTAGCCGCTTGCTGATCCTAACAATAGGTACGCGGTTATAAAACAATAACTTACCCCCCTGGAAAAATAGCTCGTTACAAAGGAGTATTACTGTAATTAGTTTGCCAGTTCAGCTCTCCTATTCCTATAATGGGACAAAAATTCCCTTTAATTTAAACATTATTGACCATACCTACAATCACTTAGAAGTGATAGGCTTAGTTAGTCAATGATAATTTTATTTTAATAATAATCATTAATTCAAGTAGGGTACTTAGCACCGAGCAAGAGAGTTATAATTTTATTCATATTAGCCTTAGTTTACTTCAGTGCAATTACCTAGGCCTACTTAATCAGTCACTTAACTTTTATCATTTTAAAATAATCTCATCCTCCTTCAATATTTTTTCTGACTATAGGCTAGGCTACCTACATAGTTACCGATGGGCTGTGAACTAGTTAAATGCTGACACACTAGACCAAACAACCCTCACATAGCCTATAATATACTTTTACTTTAAATGTCGCCACCAGGGTTGCCCACACCCCGATTCTGTCGGGACTAGTCCCGATTTTGGTTCCTTATGCCCGTAGGAGGGGGCCTCTGCATGCCTACCACTAGGGTACCCCAGGCTGGGAAACAATGATGTAGACTAATACTAATGTGCTCATTAAGACTAATATTTTTTACATGAGACTGCTCATAAAAATCGATATAAAACCTTTTTTATTGATTTCATGATTTTAACATTAAATATAATTTTATAAGGAGAAATCTGAAAAGTGCCGTCACTCACTTTTTTAAAAATTAGGCCTACCTTTAATATTCATAGTTCAACTTACTTGTTAACAATCTCTAATTTTTGTCAACACAAGGCTATTTCCTATTTAGTAGGCCTACCGTATGTCTTAATTTTTGGAAAAATAGATTTTATTTTGATAAACTAACAGATGTCTTGTCGGTAGGCTAAAAATAAACCTCCACCACTGAGTTCAGAGTGATAGATTAACTTTTACTTCTAGAGGTTTAACTTAAGGATATTAATATTTAATACTTGGATTCAATCATAAACCTAAAGTTTAACTCAATAATGGTCACTCTCCTTTGCAATAACTTTTTTCTAAGTTTGTTCTAAGTTAATTGTTTCAGAAGAAATTTACATTGATAGACCTAGATTGTTTTATTGTTTGCTTAGCTAATAATGTAACATAATTTATATTTTGATATCAACTGACATGACACTATAATTAAATGTAATCTGTTATTTAGTCCATTGTTTATATCTCATAAAAACATTATCTACAAAACAGGCCATTATAAAATTGATACTTTTTTTTCAGATTTTATAGCTTAAATCGCCAACATGGATCCATACTTGCTAACAAGAATTGGAGATGTCACTATTCAGAGAGTCCTGCCAAAGCAAGACCAACCGATCGCAGACAACATTTCCCCAGCTGCTGACAGTCCCACAGTGGAACTAGACCTGTCCATGAAGCCTCGGAGTAGTATGGACAAAGGGGAAGACGAAGGTGGGGGAGATCTTTTGGGAGAGATGGAAGGCAACAAAGAATCCAACTTCTCGGACTCCAGTGAAGAAAGCGACATTAGTGAGGAAATGGATGAAGATGAGCAAGACGCTCCTTTGAGTTTAGTCACTAACAGGAGAGACAGAGACGAAGCGACTAGTGAAAATTTTAGCAGTGTAGTGAACATCGAAGTGAGCAAAGGGGAAGGTGACTATAGTGCACAGGAGGGTAAACCAGTAGACTTTAGCGAGGCGGGGAGCAGCAAAAAAGAAGACGACCCTGTGCAGACGACAGCGGACGATGATGATGACGATGACATGCCCCTCAGCAGGCTGATGGCAGAATCGGAAAACATGGATGAACTCTCAGATGCCGGAGAGTTTGATATCCCAGATGATAAAATACCTGAAACACTAAAAAAGATTGTAAGTTTTGTCACGGATTATCTCTGCCCACTTAACAATTAAAAAGTATGTTCTGTCAATACTTTAAATTTAAATGGGAACCATACGATGTATGTTACCTAGTCAAAACTCCATTCTGAGTTGACTCATATAACTTATGCAAAACGATATTAAAACGGCTAACAAAAAAGTTAACATGATAACTCTAGTTAACTTGTATTGGAGTTTTCCTAAAATAGGCCTGGTAGTGTTGTTCTTTTGGAAAACAATTCATTCCGGTTTTTCGGTTTTTCAGATTGAGCCATATCTTATTCATTTATTTTTGGTTTGGCCTTAAAGGATCTTTCTCTCAGCACCTCTTTTGTCTTACCTAATTCCTTTTGCTTTCGTTTGGGTAAAAGAAAGTTTTAAGTTTATTACTTAGTCATTCTTTTTGTTACTGTTACTTTCTAAAATTGCACTAGGCCTAGTTGTTTCAATACTGACTTTAATTATGTACTTAAAACTTGATTTTAACAGTGTGAAGGTGAATTTGAAGACAGCAATGAACCTGAGGAAGATACAACTGAAGCAGGACAATTTGATGATGAAGAAGCAGACAGCAAAGTCAAAGAAGAGACTGAGCAGGACGAAGAAGAACAAGAGGACCCAGACAGGGAAATGATTGTGGTGAAGCAAGAAGTATTTGAAGAGGGAGACGAAGAATCGGGTGCCAAAAGGAAGGCCACAGGCGACGATGGGGATGGGGAAGGTGAAGATGGCGCTGCCAAGAAAAAGAAGGAATCAGGTGTGTTAAATAAAAGGTTTAACATAGATTAAAAAAAAAAATGTCCATATCAAAATCAATATAGACCTATGAAATAAATTATTTACTTACTTACTACTTACTGCCGTGGCTCTTGGTACCCAAGGAGGTACTTTGCCTCGCCAACACACTGCCTCCAGACTGCACGATCCATTGCTTCATCCTCTCTTCTTCCCATTCTTCTCAGATCTCTTCTCACTTGATCTCTCCACCTCAACTTGGGCCTTCCAGGAGGCCTTCTACCCTCAGGATTGTTGTTTAGGGCGTTTCTCACTAAGGATCCCTCTTCCTTTCTTAACACATGGCCTGCCCATCTCAATCTCCTACTTCTCACCTCAGCCACAATATCTGGGTCCCTGTACAACTCTCTCAACTCCCTGTTGTGCTTAACTCTCCATTCTCCGTTTTCAAAGGTTGGTCCAAAGATTTTCCTTAGAATCTTGTTTTCGAACACTATAAGTCGTTTCTCAGTTCTCTTGCTTATCACCCAATTCTCTGAGCCATATAGTAATACTGGTCTTATTATAGTTTTGTATATACGGATTTTAGTTTTCTGTGAGAGTAGGCGAGAACTCAACAATTTGTGGCATGCCGATAAACTTTTATGAGCTGCATTTAATCTTTGCTGAATTTCAGAGTCTTCCTCATTATTATTCGTCAGCATTACTCCTAGGTAAGAGAAATTGTTTACTTTATAAAATTTGTGTCCTTCTATTTCTACATGATTTTTATTATTTAATTGGATAGCTCTTCCACATTCCATTATCTTGGTTTTGTCTACATTGATATTTAAGCCAACTTTTTTAGTGTGGTTTATGAGTTTTGAGACCATAATTTTTAGTTCTTCTTCGTTTTTGGCCACAAGTGCCACATCATCTACTAATTATTTACTAATGTAAATAATTGCTATATTGACAATACAGTTGTTTAACAACAATCAATGCTTCTACAGTCACTAACATTTCAAACTAGGTCTTCTGGATAGGGGTCTCAATCCCCGGCCTTCAATCCAATCCCGGGATTTTCGGGATTCGTCTCAGCCGATCCCGGGATTATATTGTTTATGATTTTAACTTTTTAGCCATTTTAAATGAGCAAGAAGTCCCCTCGTTGAGTCTTTTAATGTTTTAAAAATTTTAATTGGCCTTACCAGTGTTACACGTTACACTGCGCAATTTTTCCGTTTTCTAAGTAAAGAAATATTACCACATGGAACTTTCATCGCCCGACTTTCTAATTTACAGTGTATAAATGTTGATTCACTCTAGAATATAATAAATACATTTAAAAAAATTATGAGCAACCGCACTTGCATGTAGCCTACACATCACACTTATATGGAAACTAAATAAATCAAAATATAAAGATAAAAATATAAAATGGGAAGAATCACGAGTAGCATCGTAAAAATGATATTTTGACTGATACAGTAGCAATAAAACAATATAAGGTACCGGTTTATTTTCCGTAAGTAAGACTCCTCAAATTCACAAAAAATAAATATAAACATAGGTTTTGCAATCTCGTTAATCCCGGGATTTCTAGGTATAAAAAATCTAACCGGGATTCGGGATCCCGGGATTGAGACCCCTAATCATAGTCTGAAACTGATGACGAAGTGCTGACGTTTGAGCCTCATTAAGAGTAGTAGCGCTTGACACATACTTGTTCCGGTGAATTAATTTGAAGATGACCAGGCTGAAACGTCAGCACTTGGTCATAAGTTTATAAACTGGTTGTTCGATTTGTTCTGATACATCAACTATGTATTTTTTTAAATTTCATACTTCTAGCTATTTAATGTAATAAATCTAGATTTTTAATTTTTTCAATTGAATTTGATTGATTTACCACAATAAGTAAATTTAATGTTCAAGAATTAATAAATACAATAGTTGATTTATTAATGAAGCCAGGCTTTTAAATTACAAATCTATGTATAGACAGGCAATTTCAATCTTATTGTTTTTTAAGGGTCTGGATCAGAGTCAGGCAATGAAGATGACAGTCAGAGTGGGATTGATAAGAAGGATGCGGAAAAGAAGTTGATGAATCTGCGGAAGAACATCCGAGAAGTAATGGACGAGACACAGCTAGACGAGGCGACATTGAATGCACAAAGACAGGAAATGGAGCGGTTGAGACGAGTGCAAGAACAGCAGAGAATCATACGGGAGGTGGGTGTACTGACCTAACCTATCATAATAATGCTGGTGTAACACAATAAGGCTCACACTGTAATATGATGTATAAATTTAATGAATAAGCAATAAGCATACTATGAAAGGTTCTGCGGAATCATTTTAGTGTACTGTACAGAGTGAATCAGACCACCCTTGCTCATACTTTAATGGGATATACAGCCACTTGTGTAACTCACTGATTCACTGATCAGGTATATACATGTTTACTCACTTCTAGAATAGCTAGGGATTTGACATTTTTTGTGGAGGTCCGTCTTGGTCCCAAATTAAAAGTTAAAAGTTACATTTAAAATTACAACCCCCCTGAAAAATTCCCTCAAATCCTCCTTTTTGGAAAAAACATGTTTTTTTTTAAACTGCTATAGCTCAGAAACGGTAAGAGCTATAAAAGATTTTAAAGAATTTTCATGTCAAGGAATTAAATTTTCTAAAAGACACTCTTAGGTGTTTTTTTGAAAATCACACTTTTTTACCTTCAAAAAACGCCCTACTTAAAAAATTTGTAAAATGTCCTGGATGTTTTTAGTTTTTAAAATTACTTTTCGGACACATATTTAGTACTTTTAATGATCCCAACATTGAAATAAAAATGTCTTAAGTGACATTTTAAAATAGTAACCCACCATCCACAAAAAAAAAAAATTAAATGGGATCCAATAAAAAGTAGTTTTTTAACGCTTGTTTGGCCAAACCGTTGTGCACGGGTGGTCTGAATATTGACCTTTACTACACATAAATATCAAGCTGATATTAAAATGGTATAGGAGCAAAAAAGGCAAAACTAGAAGGCTTATGGTATGCTATAATAGTCGAGAGTCAATACTCAGGGCGTCCAGCTGACTGGGAAACCGAGAAAAGTACAAGAATTTTTTTGATTGGGAAATTGTGGCGTTTGCATATTAGTTTTGTATGGTAACTGGACATTTTAAATAATTGTGAATAGCCTATGGTCTTGCATCCATTCATAAACGTTGTTAAGTTTGTCCTCTTTTGACATTGTCATCTGTGGTAAGAGTATCACACAATAGTAGAAAATTATCAAGGGTGTTGCTGCGAGCTGCGACCATGGAAAACCATTACACGGTTGTGGTGATAGCGGGAAATTATTCTTATGTTTCCTTGATCTATGGAAAAAAGTCCTTGTTTGAAATGGGTGGGTATTGACCTCAGCGCGCTCTGTCAGTGGCTCAATTAATCTACTTTCATTTTCATTCTAAAACTGACTATCAGCTTTTACATGTAAATGGAATGTCTAGTTCATACTCTAACATGTGTTGGTATTGCAGGTGAACAGACAGATTAACCTGAACCGCCAGAACACCAAGACACAGACCAGGGTGATCTCCCTGCTGCAAGGCGGTGGTACAAGTCTGCTGAAGGCTTCACCATCCACTGCCTCTGCCAGTCCCAAGAACACTTCACCCAACACTGTGTTGGTCAAACTGAGCTCCGGCTCAGGCCCACCGCAAGTGGTCAACAAGAAGGTGAGCAGACAGTATGTTTACTTGTAAGTTATTATTTATTCAGCATTGTCTCCAGGATTGATTTGAGACAATATAAAATAGGTTTACGTCAGGATTGACGTAAACCTATTTTATATTATAAGTTATTACTTTAATGGCTGGTTTATATTTGCAATGAGAATTATTTTTTGGGGTTTGTTTAAAGAGGGTTTTATTAAAAGAGGGTTTTGGGGTATCATCATAGCTACTGAGACTAGTATAGACCCCTCGATTCAGTACAACAGCCCTAGACTCTCAACTAATAGATCTGTTGTAGAACACTATTTTTTCTGGTCCCAGTAATGAAATCAGTTCTTAACAAAGAGTCCTTGGAGTCTGGCTGTGCTGGCTCATAAAACAATTAAAACAAGTTAATAAATTAAACAAGTTTTGGTGAGTCGGTGGCTCAGTTGGTAGTGTCGCGGACTTCGGGCCCAAGGCAGTAGTGTCGTGGGTTCGGATCCTGGTCACTGCCAAAAACTTTTATCAGTACAGTTCACCTTTGTACTGTATCGGCTCACCCCCTTGCTTTGCTGGATACGTTCCACACACAGATCTGTGGTCTATGTGGACGGGCAAATGCAAGGTTTAAAGAGGCCGCCAACAAAACTAAAAAGAAAATTTTAATCTCATAGTGCCCTAGATATTAAAATTATAATCACTTTTATATACTTAAGGATGATAAATAACATTTCAGCGGCTGTTTGAAATTAACACGGCAGACAAATCCATGATGGTTGCTAGCCTCCAAGGACTCTTAAGTGGTTGAAACACAGAGTCAAACAAAGAAGATTCACTTGTTTTTAGCATTCCGCCTTGATTTGTAGGTCCTTGAGATACTGAAGAGTACCAAGAGTGCTGCCAACACAAGCGCAACGTCTAAAGCGTCTGCACTTGCTAACAAACTACTCAACAAGCCTCACAGTCTCACTCCATCAGTATCCATTGCTCCGGTCAAACCTGGCTTGACTATCAGCAAGGTCGGCAAAACATCTGTCGATGATGATAAAGCTATCATAAAGAAAACCGGAGGGAAGATGAAAAAGGAGAAGGGCAAAGGTGAGTTGTTTTGACTTGGTTGATTGTAAAATTTTGCTGTTTCATCTTAAAAATGTTTGATTGGTGTATGATTTTGAATTACTGTGATCACAAGAGATGCTCACGGATGTTGCGGCATTTCTGCTATTCAGGCTTTTAACACTTTTGAAAATCAGTTATAAGTTATTATAAGTTTTTGAGGATTTGTTTAAAATAAAGTAAATCATAATGTGAGTCAATTTTCATAGAGAAATCTTCATTGTATTTGATTCGGGACCCAATCTTATGTGTTTTTGGAATTCCAAGATTTGACCATACACTAGTTTTATGATTATTGTTAAATCGAAATTGAATTGATTTAGAATGGTTGTAATACATAGTAAACTTTACATAGTAAAATTTTTATAAAGATGTAATTTTTCAGCTTTATTTCACTACATTTATTCAGTATGTTTTGCTTCTAATAATTCTATCACCAAGTGATTGCCAGAGTACATTTAAATGTCCCCAAACATTTTCAGACGTGGTGATGATATCGAGCAGTTCGAGTGATGAGGACGATTGTATTCTGATCTCGGGGGGAGAAGAAGAGGAGGAGGAGGAGGAAGACCCCACAAACTCCGGGATGCACACAAACGACCTGTACAACGTACCTGATGACCAGGGTAGGGTGCTGATCAATGTTGGGCGACCTGAGAACGAACCTGAGGTGTTTCTTGCGCCTCAGATAGCGAGGATCATCAAACCTCACCAGGTAAAGGCTGACTTTTAATTAGCCATGTGTTTACAACCGAAGGTATTATGAGTCCCTTGCCAGGAATAATGCTCAATCAAGGATTGTGAGGACTTCAAGCTTCAAGCTGAAACCAGCTCCATATTTATGTAGGCTTATGTTTCTTCGCTTCATCCACTACTAGAACTATTCCAATTCACCATCAGTATTTTTTCAAACATTCTTTTTAAAAGTCAGTCAAAAAGCTTCAAAAATGACTTTAGAGAGACGTCGAATTTTTTTACTGTATCCTGTTTCTCTTATTTATTTATTTTATTTCATTTCCCATATGGCATAGATTTGGCGTTTCTTTAATATTATCTAGCATCCATGCAAGCACGTAACAATTAATTAATTGTTAATGATCTTACTCTTAATATAAAAAAGAACCTTTATGAGATTATTGTTTATTTTGAAAGTTAGCGATACACTTTGCAAAATTTGTTTGCCTTGATTTTAGATTGGTGGTGTGAGATTTCTGTTTGACAATGTCGTGGAGTCCTTAGAGAGGTTTAAGACTTCAACAGGCTTCGGATGCATTCTGGCTCACTCAATGGGTCTTGGGAAAACACTTCAGGTAATTGTGAAGTTAAGCTACTTGAAACTATTATTTAAAAATCTAATAATGTTGGGTTTCATTGTATATTTACAGAGCCTGTATTAGTTTTTAAGTGAGTCTGGTATACTTTTATTTGTAAGCATTCTTCAATTCAGTGTGCTAGCATAATCGGTGTTACCTAAAACAAATATCTGAATTTTGTAATGTCTGATTAAAAAGCATCTACCCTCACTAAACAACTTCCAAAAAGGCAGACCATTAAAATTAATCTTTATTTATGCCTCTTTGTTTATGTTTCATTGTGAAAAAAATAAAACAATCAAAGGGGAAACATTTAAAACTAAACAGTCAATTAAATGTCAAAACAACAAATGTTTTCTCACAGGTGGTCTCTTTCTGTGACGTGTTCCTGAGGTACACCGAAGGAAAAACAGTGTTGTGCATCATGCCAATCAACACACTGCAGAACTGGCTGTCAGAGTTCAACATGTGGCTACCTGTAGACCCAGCGTCATCACCGTACGCAGCACAGGGCGACGTACAACCACGCACGTTTCCGTTGTTTGTTCTCAACGACATGCAGAAGTCAATGGTGGCTAGAGCAAAGGTAACTGATCACCTTGAAACTGCAATACAAAAGTAGGTTTTGCTATACAGTCTGTATGTGATTTGCTAACTATATTTTTGTATACAAGAGTTTCCTCTCGATATTTCGTATAAACAATGTACAAGGTACAAAAAAGACCGGCCTGGAACAATAAAAACTAGACTGCAGTCTACGGCTGTAGTTTTTGTCTTTGTTTACTGCCAGTATGTGAGTTACAATTTTCATCGCTTTCTGGTTGTCAGTAATAACAGGCAGTTCTGCACTTTGAGTGATCAATTACTGTAAAAGAAAATTTTATATTGCTGTTGTGGAGTTATTTTTATAATAAAAGATCACAAATACTTTTAACCATATTTTTATTGAATACCACAACTTAAAACATTCAAATATCAGGGTGTCCACCGACCGGGAAAATCGGGAATTATGCGTGATTTTTTTTAATTAGTTATGCGTGAATTTCGTATTTTACCGATAATTTTCAAATTGCCGCAGTTGCGCATGATAATGACGTTTCCATGACCGCGGGAGACGATGATGGTGTCTAAACTGCCGTGGGATTTGTTAGTGATTTTGCCACGATCGCGCATGACGATAATGACGTATCCGTGACCGTGGGAAACGACGATGATGTTTCCGTGACCACGGGAGACGACGATGACATTTCCGTGACCACGGGAGATGACTATGACGTTTCTGTGACCGCGTGATACAATGATGATGTCCAAACGGCCGCGGGATATGTTAGTGATTATGCCGCCTATATTCTGTAGGTCATTTGAGAAACAACCTAAAACTTCAAAATTAAATACTATATGAAAGTACAAAAAGACCCCTGTTGGTGTAGTAATCCTTCAGAAAATTTGGTAAAATTGAAATTATCAGTTTTAAGAATCTATTTTTCAGGTGTCTGTACAGAGATTCGATAAATTTTAGTTAGCGCTAAAACAGCATTGCGGGAGTTGGCGCAAAACACGTTGGAAATTTTAGTATAAAAGTATGACCTGAACTACCTGGAATTTTTTTTTACTCATGAATTTCTTCTGTTTCTGGCCTGGTGGCAACCCTGAATATTGACATCTGTTTAAAGACACGTTGAAGTAAAGTCATGAAAATTACACAGACAATTCTTTTAATTCTTGACTTCTGTCTTTAGGTTGTGATACAGTGGGCTAAGGAGGGAGGAGTGCTGCTTATTGGATATGAGCTGTACCGTCAACTAAGTCTTCAAAAGGCGAGAAAGCGAAGAGTAGAAAGAAAACGAAAACTTAATCCAGACGATGACATTGATGATGAGAAAAATAAACACCTCCTTGAAGGTAAAATCTGTCCTCAAAAGAACATTCTTATACAGGACCCATTGTTTAATTTGAATTTTGAATGTATTATCCATTATTGGATATGTCAAAAACATGTTTAATAATGTTTAAATAATAATAATATTATTATTAAAGGTTTAATTATGTTAGTTATCTGTGGTCGAATGAAAGTTCTATTTTGAATTAAATGACAACCACCTATTATTAAAAATTGGTGTAAATACCTGCTTCTTTTAATCCAAATGTTGCTGCTATGACGCAACTAGTTTCAACTTCTCACAAAGTCATCTTCAGGCGTCCAGGGGATGTAAAATCACTTCATCAGAAGGTCTATATAATATAATATGTGTATTGACGACACGTGACCATGTTCGTGTATGTTCAATTTCATATTATGTTCATACACGAACATGGTCACGAACACGAACACAAACACGAACATTGAAACGAAAAAGTACAATTTATTTTTAACAAGTGAATGGCTAAAAATGGTAACAACGGTGAGGATGATGCGTCACGACCGGATGGATGTAGCGTCTAGACTGCCGGTCAACGTGGTTGGTTGGTGCTGTGACGTCATTCCTTTGTTCTTGCTATCAGTCAGCTGTCCCCATTCATTCCCGACTCTCTCAAGTACCTTAATGGCCGTGTCATAAATATAATTAGATTGGAAGGATAGTTTGTCATCACCTATTATTTGTTCAACAGAGATGCATGCAGCATTGGTAAAGCCTGGCCCAGACCTGGTTATATGTGATGAAGGTCACAGGATTAAGAACAGCCACGCTTCCATCTCCCAAGCTCTCAAGCAGATCCGCAGCAAGCGCAGAGTCGTCCTCACTGGATACCCTCTACAGAATAACCTGCTGGAGTACTGGTCAGTATAGTTGTGAAGATGAAGATAGCTCACATACATTTCTTTTGAGTATTTACTCAATCTTTGTATTTATCAATATTAAAATTAGTCAGGACCACTTATAAAAGGTCTAATGATCAAAAACAGCTGGATTGAGTTTCAAATTTTTTCAAAAACCTGCTACTTTTCTGTTACGGCAACCTTTTGATTGTCAGGTGAGTACTGAACTATCCAGCTGCTACAACTAGGGTTCCTGCTTGAGGATAAACTTATACACACCATGTAAATGTAACATATCCAAAGTTGGCCAAAAGGCTGTGCCAATTTCAGTCCTTAAAAACACTAATGCTTTAAAATAGGGCCTAGCTGTCTTTTATCGTTTTGATTTTTAATGTAAGATCATGGCGATCAAACTAATTGATACTTATCAGTAAAATTTTAAAAAAGATAACTTTATACCGATGTTGGTGTATGTTGCTAGATATGTACAATATATTTAAAATCTATCCCGATTATGATAGATAGTCATTCAAGGCAAGACATGCATAAAAACCTAGATCTTCTTGGCAGCTGCTTCCAGGCTGCTAACAAAATTTTTATTCTGTCTTTTTACACCAGTGGGTATTTATAACAAACCTAGACTTGATCTATTGTTGACCATTTGTTGAATAGCATTCATTGATTGATAGCCCAATAACAAATTGACGTCTGGACCCTGAATCAAAATCCACTTAGGATCAAACCAGCATCAAACCAGCATCTTCAGATTTGAAGGCAAGAACTATAACTACTCGGATACCCAAACAATCTACAGAAAATTTTACATAGTCACAGCATGGAAAGATATTTCATTTGATTTTTCATTGTTTTCATACTTTATCTTCTTGGTAACTTTTACAGGTGTATGGTAGACTTTGTGCGGCCTAACTACCTCGGCACCAAGACGGAGTTCAGCAACATGTTTGAGCGGCCGATACAGAACGGACAGTGTATAGACAGCACTCCGCAGGACATCAGACTGATGAGATACAGAGCTCATGTGTTACATTCCCTACTGGAGGGGTTTGTGCAGAGGTATGATGGGGTAGTGAAGATGATAGGAGGGAAGTGTAAAGATCATTGAATTTTTGACACCATATATGAAATTGTATAAAATCAAATAAAGATAAATATAAATGTTAGATAAAATTTGAATAGTAGCACAATGATTTACAATACTGCATCTTTTATAAAGCAGCTTCGGTTTTTAGTAGGGATGGTCAAGTCTCGAAATTTCGGGAAATTTTCAATCTCGTTACACGAGACGAGATTACTTTTTGGCCGAGATTTTTATCAAGACGAGAATAAAAAAAAAAAAAAAAAAATTAAAAATGCCTGCAGAAAGTCAATGCAATACCCGCAATACAGGAGCGTGTTGTAGTTGCGTTTCCTTTTCGAAGGCGTTCTTATTTAATTAATTCTTTTAATGTAAATATTACTTTCATTATTTTAATAATATTACTTTAATAACATTTGAGAAGTTTTGTTAAGTGTAAGCAGTGTGAGGAATATTTTATTACTATAAAAAAAGTCAAAACAAGTACAGTCCAACCTCAGTATAACGAATCTGAAGGGACCGAACTGAATATTCGTTATATCAAGGGTTTCGTTAAAACGAGGTTCGTTATATAGAGGTTATGTTTGCAGGAATTTCGCTAAGTCGAGGTTCAGAACCAGCGTCGGTCAATATAGGTCGGGATTAGACATCATTAAAACACAATTGGGTCAAAATTTGAATAAAGTACGATTCTAAGTAGTGATTACAAAAAATATTTATTAATAGTTATTCTAATGACAATTGCACTTTTTAATACTGGTAACCTATAGAACACCACAAAATACGTAGAAAGCACTAATAGATATATATGTCAATGGTAGAGATAGTTTTATACTGAAAATTCTCGTTTTGTGTAACAGAGGTCACACTAAGATAAATCTTAATTACATGATGAAAAAAATGGGAAACCCAATGTATTTTTTATTTTTTATTGCTCAAATATACTGTTGTTAAATATATTACAGCCCTGTTTCTTTTGTTTTACCTATATCTTCATAAAAGCTTAGAAAAGATGTAATTATTTTCCAAATACGAGTTTTACACAGGTTTTTTAACCTCATAATGTGTGTATACGATTTTATAGTCATGAAAATCATTGTGTACTAATTTAAAATCAAACTAAATTGAAAAAATATAACAATTTATACATATTTACACTGTACGTATTTTAAAAATATAAATTAAAAATGTGACATTCTGTTACATGTGTGTGACCTCCGTTACATGTGTATGACCTCTGTTACATGTGTGTGACATCCGTTACAGAGATGAATCAGAATCTCACACTATGACATAAAGAACAACTATCTTAATATTTAATATGTCCATAGGCATCAAAAGAAGATTGAAATAATGAAAAAAGAATATGCTAATAATAACAGTTCAAACTAATACAAGTAGGTTAGTCTTCCAACTAAACGTTAGAAAAAATTTTCTTTATTTTCTCCATCTCTTTTTTTTCTATTTGGTAATGGCGTTGTGACACTGGATAAGGTGGTTTGGTCACACACATTAACCCAGCAATGGTAACTTCCTGTTTGTCTTCAGGTGTAGGCCAGAAGAATTTATTGCCACTTTTGGACATAAACGCTACCACCAATATATCTCCTTCTTTCTTCTCCTCCACAACTCCTAAAATTAAAAAAAAAATTCAAATTATTTAGGGCAAACAATAATTTTTACCAAAAAGCAATGAATTATTTAAATTTTTGAATGATTTTTGGCCTACTGTTATAAGATTAATGTAAACAAAATTATAAAAAGAATGTAAAAAATTTGTTGATTTTTTAAATTGAGTTTAAATTTTAGTTACCTGGATACCAGTCGTTGTCATAAATGACACAAACCCAGCTTCCCACATCAATGCGTCTTGTACGACATAAATTGTCTTCTTGTGGGTCATCCAAATTGTTTTCCAAGCTGGGACCATTAGTTGTATCCAATAGATTGTCTTCTTGTGGGCCATCCAAATTGTTTTCCAACGTGGGATCATTAGTCTCAAGTGCATGTACTGTTAATTTGGCTAAGAAAAAGTATTTTAATAATCTATTGGGAAGATGGTCTTAAAATTATGCCTGTTTATTAAAAATACATTGCTTAACAAAGAATGTTGTTTGATGTTCTTACATTTTTGTCTTTTTAATTAAAAGTCAAGTTTCAATTTATAAACAAGTGGACCTAAATTGTCCTGTTGCCCAATCAATTTATTTACATTAAATTTTTGAAACACAAGTTCCATTAAATCACACTTCCAACAATCTTTTGTAAATAATGGGTTATAAGTTAAATAAATTGATTTATTATTGGCAAATATGTGTTTTTAATAACTTACAAACTAATGTTAGTTAGTTAAGAAAAGCAAAATAAATTAGTGATAAAGTAAAAGGATACAATGACTTTCAACGATGTGGTATGGAGGATTGTGCGGATGATGCTTACAAGCCTTGTTGAAGGCACAGGTAAAGCAACTAAGCCTTCTGAGAAAGATTTTGCATGGTTCGTCTTTCCATGTAGCTTGTTGAATCTGACTAATGCCAACAACAGCCTGAAGCTTTTCAGGCCTTTTCAAATACATCTCATCAATGTCTGTAGATTTAATCTTTATTAGATTTACCTTACTGCAAGTTTTGCTTACACACTTTATAAATGAGTCTACATCTGTTACATCATTGCCACATTTCACCATGAGATCTGCACTTCTTTTCACCACTCCACCGATTCCATCGGCAGAGCCTTTGCCGTGCCCACTAATGGAAAAATTCCATGTCATGGATTTCAAATTTGGTACATACTCCTTTATTCTAGACATGAAAAATATATTGAACCTATTTTTGTATTGTGATGACGGTCCATCACTTAATACATGTAAAGTGTCAATTTCAGGGCTTTTGTTTATTTTATCGAACAATGGCAAAAGATGAGCCCAGACAGCATGTGCCTTGTGATCAGTGTTGTCGGTTATGGTACAAAGTGATTCCAATTTATTTTTGGAGTACATAACTACTGTGTGGAGTGACAGTTGCTGTTTTGAACCTCCAAAGTGGCAGCTTTGGATTTCTTTATAAGACTTGCATAAATAGTTTTCAGAGAAATCAATGTGGAGCAAACACTCGTTTTCTTTAAGTGATTTCTTAAGTGTGTCCATGGCATTGTATTGGTGTGTTATTTTAGATAAATGTACTTTGTAAAGATCTAGCTGTTCTTGTAGCTTCATTGCTAGTTCAGAAACAGTGCATTGAACTTCCTCTTTGATACTCACCCTCATCAGTTTAGGATTTTTGTCAGAAATCGGTTTTGTAATCTGTTTCCACTGCAAGTAATTTACTTCAGATTGATCAATATTTGAAGTCTTTATCCTGCTTGACTCACATCTCGTGCAAACACCTGACATGCAATCTAGGGATTTCTTGTTACACACTGTCTCTTCAACTAATTCATCTAATGATTTTGTCACAATCTTTGTTTGAATACATTTTTCATGTACAAGGATGACATTGCTGCAAATTATACATGCACATGTATCAAGATCGTTCAATTTTGGGAATACAACCCAAAATGGCCTCAGTTTTAAAAATGTACTGTAACAAACTTTATTGTTTGGATGTTCTTCATTGAATTTTTTGTGTAAACCTTTAGCTGTATCTAGTAGAAGTCTTTTTTGTTTTTTAACTTTGCGTCTTGTAATGCAATCTTTTTTACCAGGGAGTTGTTTACTGTTAATGTCCTGGCAGTAAAATCTTCTGACTAAATAGATTGTATTACGAGGCAATCTTCTTTTATGCTCTTGCTTAGTTTTTCCAATTCTCCTATAAGCTTTGTAGCTTCCAACTAGATTTTTGGCCTTATTTATTAGTTTTCTTTTCCTTAGTAAAGGCGTTGAAACCATGGCGTTGAATTCACTAATTTCTGCTTTGCTTTTAAGGGTGTTTTTCTTTTGAATTAAACCTTCCTCGATTGTTTCTAAATAAACCAGCCGCCTTTTTACTGGAGTAGGTACTTTTCTGTTATTTGCCAGTTGTGTTATTTTTTTCGTTGGGGATGGGGATTTGGTCACAGAGTTTTTATATCTTTGAAATCTTTTCTTATATCTTTCTGCTTTTCTCTGTGCAGATGCGAGCTGTTTTTGTGTTGAAAGTAGGTCTCTATAAACCTTAATGGTTTTTTTCGATTTTTTCCTCAGTTCTCTTTTTTTTGCACTGTGACTCTTTAAACTGTTGTTTGATATATTATTTAAGGATTCATTTTGGATATCACACTGTATAACAGCCTCATTTTGCCCATTCTGAAGTTTTTTTCTTTCTCTGCAGCGTTTTACTCTTTCTCTAACTAATTTTCTGTCTCTTCTTTTTTCCCTTTCATTCATATCTTTTCTCAACTTCCAGGTACCAGCCTCTTTTCTTTTCAATTTATACTGCTTGTCATACTCTCTCTTTTTTTCCAGTTGTTCTTCGGTAAGCTTTGCTCTATGTTTTCTCTGCCTCTCCCTTTCTTTCAAACGTTTCTCCTCTAATGCCTTTTCACTTAGCTTAGTTCTGGGTTTATTGTTTGATTTTTTAATCGCCTGTTTTGAACTAACCGAATTTTTTACTGTAGCAGGCTTAATTGGCCTTTTACTTTTATCGTTAACTTGTGAACAACTAGGCTTCACCAAGTTCAAATTATCTGGAGGGGTACTGGTGGTACATATTTTCTTTGGTGTTTGCACAGCTTTAGTAGAACCAGTTTTAGTTACTTCTAAATTATCTGGAGCTGCAGTACTTGAAGTATTTATAGGCGTACTAGAAGTCATTGGTCTAGAAAGTAAACCTCGGTCATGTTCCAACACACGTCTTCTTTTAATTTCCGCGTATTTTCGTCTTTGAAATTCTGCATTCTTTTTCTTTCGTATTGCAGATTTTTCTAATTCAATTTTTTTTCTACGGACCAAAGCCTCTTCTCTATCTTTTTTCAATCTTTCTTTCAACAGAAGATCTTCATCTCTTCCATCCATGGTCTGGAAAATTAAAGAATTTGTTTTCTAGCAAAGGCCTACTTAATGTCATTACAAGAGGACAATAGGATTAAAAAAGCCTAACTGAATCTTTAGTAAAAAATACTTGTAATAATTCTACACCATGACATATTTTTAGCCATCTTAGCCATCTAAAATTATTAAAAAAAACGTTTAACTCAAATTATATTTATGATTATAAGTTTAACTTTTCATGAATGCAAACATTAAGCTATTAAATCAAGGCTTTATCATAAATTTAATAAATAGGCTCAGGCCTAATTAATGTAGACCTAACTAATGTAGAGAGTAAATAAAAAAAACTAAAAAAGTAATAAAGCAAACCCCTTCCCCTATCTTTAATAAAAATTACAACACATAAAATCATTATTTTTCAAAAACCCATATCAACTAATTTCACAACTGCAACAAGTACTAAATAGTCCTAACTCAATTTAGATGCAAACATTAAGCTATTAAATCAAGGCTTTATCATAAATTTAATAAATAGGCTCAGGCCTAATTAATGTAAACCTAACTAATGTAGAGAGTAAATAAAAAAAAACTAAAAAAGTAATAAAGCAAACCCCTTCCCCTATCTTTAATAAAAATTAAAACACATAAAATCATGATTTTTCAAAAACCCATATCAACTAATTTCACAACTGCAACAAGAACTAAATAGTCCTAACTCAATTTAGATGCAAACATTAAGCTATTAAATCAAGGCTTTATCATAAATTTAATAAATAGGCTCAGGCCTACTTAATGTAGACCTAACTAATGTAGAGAGTAAATAAAAAAAAAACTAAAAAAGTAATAAGTTAAAGCAAACCCCTTCCCCTATCTTTAATAAAAATTAAAACACATAAAATCATTATTTTTCAAAAACCCATATCAACTAATTTCACAACTGCAACAAGAACTAAATAGTCCTGACTCAATTTAGATTGGATAAAAAAGTGGAAAGCAGTTCTAGAAATTTGCTGGTTGCAATGAAAACTCACGCATAATTTGGTCTTTTTCCCGGTTGGAGGCAACCCTGCATCATCATTATTTTCATCAAAACATTGTTTACTAATTCATTATATTATATTCCATGTCAAAATCGAAAATAATAAACCAACAAATAAATCACCAACAAGATCAAAACGTATATCAATCAAATGAATCAGCGGTCACAAAATGTATCGGATGTCACGTTTAATTGTGCATCATTCGTGACCGGCGATTCACAGACCGGCGTTACAATTTCATACGTCGTGTCTGCTAACCTCAAAATGGCGGATGCTATCGCTAGAGGCAAGTCGGCATTTGGAACCGGGCCGTATTACGCAAAACTTAAACTAGTACGATGCATTGTGATTTATATTTTATTGACAATTAGTCATGTACCGTTGTTACACTTATAAATTATACATAACAGTTTCAACTAACAAAATTACTTACCTCCAAGTCCAAATTATCTTGAGAGCACAAACTACTAGCATTATTGCTGCTCATCGCCATGACACTTCTGTTTTAACGCCGATTTCCGCCGCTACTCGCGCTAGTCTCGCTGTGCGATGTGAAACAGACTTCACTACCGCCGTTACCGCTGATGTTAGGGACACGACTTTTAACTCAGTTTGGCGTTTAATGAGTATTATTTCATCCGTAATATGCACGTATTAGCCATCTTTCGTTATTAGAGATGATAATAAAATGTTTTATATTCACTTTTCTCATTGGTAAAAGTATTTAATTCGTCTCTTTAATGGTAAAACTCGTTCGGGGGACGTGTGACCGTCGTTACTTTGGCCACTATTTTCTCAGTTTAGTTCCAAAACCTCTTAATATTTAACAAATAAACTGTATATACAGCAATATTAAGGCCTAAACTTCCAAAATAAAAGGTTTTTAGCAATAGGTAAAGTGAGCAACATTTTTTTATTACTAAGGGACTGTTATTGTACCCAATTCAAATTTTGACCCAATTAAAGTAGCATAGGCTACAATACTTTACAGTACAGTGTTTACTTGTTTACATTGTACAGTAGAACCTAAATTATCCGGCACAATAAAAGGGAGGGATCTTGAATATTGCGCAATCATAACAATGGCATTGACCTTGGTACAGGTTAAAAAACTGTAAGTTTAAAATCACAGCTTGTTCTAACCCTCCTAAAACCTAGCCAAACACTGTATTGCGTAGTCATAAACCATGTAAAGAACAAAACAAAACAGTAGTAGAAAGTTTTGTAAGCTACTGCTCGTGATAGGCCGGTAGGCTACTTACAGGACAGTACTGATTTATCACAACAGAGGAATGTTAATAATAATCATTAACTTAGCATTGGCGTTGCTAGTTGAAACAAATCGTATTGAAAACAATACAGTAAATTATTAGACAAGACATTATAAAAGTGTATAATCATAGCCAACTTAAAGATAATAAAAACACTCGAAATAGGAATGTTAAAATAACGATGTTGCTATTCTTTCTCTTTGGTTTTGTTTTTATATTCTTTCTTAGGTTTCTCTTCATCCAAAAATTGTATAATTCACCATAGTTACTTATCGCCCAATCACAGCTTACTAAACATTACGTCGTCATCAGTCCTCAGTGAATGAAATCAGTTCTCAGTTGCAACATAGCGCGCGCAGCGAAAGCAGACAGAGATGTGTAAAACCACGTAAAACGGAGCAGACGAATGTTAGCGCAAGCGATGACGTCACCTTTCCATTTCATTTGATAAAGAAACAGATTTTTCAAAAACAACAATGGGGTGGGGGATTTGTTATATCGAGGGAAAGACGTAGACAATTCGTTATGCAGAGGTTAAATTCGCAATGTAGAGGTTCTGACAATGATAAATTTGTTATATTGAGGTGTCTTATTTTAGCCGAAATCACGAAAAATTCGTTAAATCAAGGTCGTTGTTATGGTTTGTTCGTTATGTAGAGGTAAAATATACATTGTGTCTTATGGAGAGTTCTAGGGGATTTAAGAAAAATTCGTTATATCAAGGAATTCGTTGTATCGAGGTTCGTTATATCAAGGTTAGACTGTAACTATTTTATAAAAATTAATATTGCTTTTATTTTATGATTTATTTTATTTTAGGATAAGTTGAACTCTATCCTAACTGATATCACCATGTTTCCTAATCGTAGGCATTTTTAATAAGTTAGGCGAGATTAATAAAAAAATGTTATGCTGATGTTATTTAATGAAAGATTGTAAATATTCTTGCCTATTATCATTATTTTAGTATTTAAACAGTCATCTAACAATGTTACAAAATCAGGTAAAAATTTCGAACGTGCATTTCCTGTTGTGTATGAGAAGAGAAATCTCGTCTCGATCTCGTCTCGAAATTTTATGAGAAATAAAAAATCTCGTCTCGTCTCGTCTCGAACTAAAAATCCAATCTCGTCCATCCCTAGTTTTTAGAGATAAAATATTAATATTTGGCAACAACTATATTGTTTTCATTAATTAAATTATTATTGTCAACTGGTTCTGTTATTAACCTAAAACAATTTACTATTTTCAGACGAAGCCACTCTGTCTTGACGAATGCGTTGCCCCAGAAAGAGGAATATGTTATTCTGGTGAGGATGACAAACTTTCAACGAAAGCTGTACGATACATTTATGAATGAAGTCGTTCGCACAAAGGCTGTTCCAAACCCTTTGAAAGCATTTGCAGTTTGTTGCAAGGTGAGTTTTGGAGACTGTTTATCACTCAATAAAAATGTATAATTTCTTTGTAATAACATATCTGTGTTTTTACTATAGGAAAAAGTAAAAACAAATTATAGTTAATAAATAAAAAACACAACTTAAAATTCATTTTTTTGTAAATTGTCTTAAGTTTTACATTTGTTTCTCTCCTCAGTTGAATAGGTAAAAAGTCTATGCAGAAAAAAAAGTACGTATGAGAAATACTGCCCTAATGGGTTAAATGATACCGGTACTATTATTTTTGTCACCTGTTACTTCCTTGTCAATTACGTTTAAGCCGGGTTGCCGATAATATAAATACACACTCAGTGTTATTTTACTCATTTGTTCTAACAATTCAGTCGATGTTACAAAAATAATTAGTGAATTCTCAGTAATCTATTACCAGGGTAATAGGTGAAACTTCAGTGATTGTATTATTTATACAATTGCTTTAAATAACGACAACTGCTTGTACATAATCAATTTTAGTTTTAGAGCACTTTTAACTTTTAAAATTTTTGTAATTAGTGTTAACGACACTCCTAGAAGTTTTTCAGGCACATACCAAGGCTCGTAAATTAATTTTCTACTCGTGTCATTAACACTATCTTTACGGGATTGTTGCGTTAACTACTATTATATATTTTTGTGAATAATTCCAGTCCATCAATTAAGATATGTCTTTTTCTTACAAATATTTTAAAACTAAATTATTGTGATGTGAATTTTGCAGATATGGAACCACCCAGACGTGTTGTACCATTTTCTGAAGAAGCGGAATATGGATGCGGAGGCTGTCGATTTGGACCTGGAAGAGGCTGCAGCTGCACTAGCAACCCCCGCCATGACCCCTGGCACACCAGGGTGTCCCATTGCCCCCGTTGCCCCCACCAAGCGGGGTAGAGGCCGCAGCCCCAAGGGTACCTCACCTAAACGAGAACGCAAAGTTAACCCGCGCAAGGTTAGTTTTCATAACTATAGTTTAAATCTGTATTAAATGGTCCATCCAATAATATTAATTACCTATTGATAATGGTGATTACCATGTCATAACTTCATCAGCGTCGTAATGTCAAACTGATTAACTTAAAAAATAGGTTTGCTGCAGGAATTAACTGGTAGTTTTAAGCAACTATCCTTGTATTTTACTTGTCATATTTTTACCCCAACTTAATTTATGGCATACATTTCTTTTTTGTAGTGTGGTGTTTCCTTAAGAGTGTTCACAATCGATTTTGTATGAATTATTATTTGGTTGTTGAATTTTGGACTAGAGTCTTGGCCTTCAAGATTTCATTGGCATTCATACTGAAGTTCAATTTGTGGCTAATTATTATCTCAGAAATATTCACCCTTACTTTAGAATACGTTATGTATTAACCTCAGCATTTCATGGATGATTAATCTGTTCTATTGCCTGTTTCAGCGAGGAGGAGCAGACACTGAACCACCTGGTAAAAGTCCGATGGTTGCAGCTGTGATGCCCAACACTACAAATAGTAATCAGCAGCCCATGGACCAAACATCCATGTTGTCACACTCCCAGCAATCTCAAGATACCAAGCCACTACAACCTTTCTCCCAACAGCAGAGCTCACAATTCCGACCAAACTTCCCCTACAACAACAGCAACAATAATCAGTTCCCTCCTGCGTACTCTGGTATGAACCAGAACTATCCCAACTTTAACCCTCAACAGCAAGGTGACTTTCACAACATGCCTCCTCCATATCCTGGCTTCCACAATCAGCAAGGCTTCAACAACCAGAACATGTATGGCACTGGGTTCGGAAGTAATTATTATCCGTCTCAGCAAGATTCCACATTTGGCGGAAGTAATTATTGGAACAACCAGTTCTTCAACAATGATCCCAACAGTTCAGGGGTGTTCCCCAACTTCAGCGAGGGTGATGCAAACAACTCTAACTTTTACAATCAAGAAATGATGGGAGCGGACGGATTCAACCATGGAAACCGAAGTTATAACAGCGGATTGGGTGTGAATCGACCTGGAATGAGTGGTATGAACCCTATGCAACATGGACGGATGGGTATGAACAATCCTTCCCACGGAATGATGGGTATGAACTCCAATATGAGTGGAATGAACATGAACAATATGGGCATGCCTGGGGGACTGAATAGTATGTCTGGCAGTAATATGTCCATGAGTCAGAACAACTTTGGTATGAATCAAGGTGGATCTCACGGGATGAACACTATAGGACAGAGTAGTTTGGGAATGAGTTCTCATGGTATGTCAGGAATGGGTATGGGACAGTCAAGCTTGGGAATGAATCATCAGTCACAAGGAATGGGTGTAAACCAGATCACAGGCATGGGAGTTATGGGATCCCAAGGTTACAACAACATGAATGTACCTTCCTCTCAAGGGCCCATGAGTGGCTTGCCCGGCATGTCGCAAAACAATCCTATATCATCTGGAATGAGCAATCAAAGTGCATCTTCAGGAAGTATGCAAACAATGACTAATTCTCAAGTAAACTTAATGAGCAATGCTTCTAACCAATCCTCGATGGAGAGCCAACAACAAGCTGCAATAGAAAATATCGCAAACAACTTGATGATGTCTTCTCAACAAACCTTACAAGCACCTCAAGGATTGTTGGGTGGAGGTGAAAATAATTCTGTCAATCAAAGTAGTTCACAACCTCCCCAGAACTCTCAAAGTCTTATGAACCCTCAACACCATTCATCCAGCCTACTAGGAGATATGCTGGGAAATAGTCAGGGAACTTCTCAAAACCTAATGGGAGGAATTCAAAACCAACAGAGTCAACTTGGCAATATACCTCAGACACAAGTGAGCTCCACTGCAGTAACGTCGCAGAACCAGCCCAACATGATGCCTCCATTACAGGGCTCACATATGATGGCAAACATGATCTCAAGCTCATCAAGTACTCGCAGCATAACAAGCCAGCATGATTCTTCAAACTTGGGATCAATGCAAGGCATGGGAGGTTCTAGTCTTGATAATCAAAACATGATGGGTGGCAATCATCTATCTCAAACGATGTTGAGAAATTCTCCTAGCTCAACAGTCACATCAAGCCAGCAAAATGTTGGCAACATGCAAAACCAACAAGGGCTTCTGGGTAGTCAGTCTGCAATGGACACTGTTCGAGGTTCTATGTTTAGAAACCCAACATCCAATCAAAGTATGTTTAGTCAACAAAATATGGGTGGTAGTACGCAAGGGATGTTCAACACTTCAGCCCAACCTCTTTTAGGCAGTTCTCAAAGCAATATGATAAATCAAAACATGTTGCATAGTCAACCAAACATCTCTGCTAGTGGGAATATGTCTAGTTTTGATCAAGCTAGTTCCCAAAATTTGATGTCTAACCACCATTCAAACATGATGGGCGCCCAAGATCAAAGTATGCCCAGTGGGAGTTCCTTATCATCTACAATGACCTCGCAACAGAACATGCCTAGTGCTCAACAAGATAACCAGATGTTTGGAAACCAATCCATATCAAATAATCCAATGAGTAATCTCCAGTCTATGCTAAACAATCAAAACATGATGGGTTCGCAGAGCGGGTCTCAAAGCTTTATGACTAACAAGAGACCAAATGATAATTTAAGCATTGGCCAACAAAATGCTCAGGGAAATCAAAGTGGAATGATGATGAACCATCCAAGTGGAATGACTGACCAGATAATGCACACAAGTCAACAGCACAGTATGTCCACATCAATGGACAGTTCCCAGCAGAACATGTTTGGAATGAATCACAGTCAAACATCTTTAAACCCAATGGGTCAATCCGGATTTATGAGTAATCCAAGTATGTTGGGTCCTGGGATGGGTAATTCTAATGTAATGAGCAATCAAACAATAATGGGTTCTCAAAGCATGGGAATGAATAATCCACATGGGATGTATTCCAATAATCAGATGAATCCGAACAATGATATCATGGGCGGAAACACTGGAATGATGGGTAATCAGATAAACAATCCATCATTTAATCCAAGTCAAATGGGAAGTTCAAACAATATGATGGGTTTGTACAACCAACCAGGAATGATGAACTACCCTGGTGTGATGGGAAATCAAATGAACAACATTGGTATGATGAATCAGTCAAGCATGAGTAATCAAAATCCACCTTTCGGTAATAACATGATGAGAAATCCTTCTCCAATGATGGGAATAAGAAATCCACAATCAGCTGCAGGCGTCAATCCCGATATGAATCAAGGATCAATGACAAGTAATTTTACAAACCAGAATAATTTTGGAGCATTTGGCAACAGTACTGTGACATCTTCCAGTAATTTAAACCCCAATCAGAGTCAAGATATTAAGGCAGGGCCAAATTCTTTCCCCAGCACCACAAGCAGCAATTTGTTCATGTCTGGTGGAGAGTTTCACACTAATAATACTAACAGTCAAACAGGGAGTCAAAATTCTGGAAACATTTCACATAATAATATGAATAACGACTATAACAACTACAACATAAATGAGGATCAAAAAATGTGGGATGATATTGCTAGTAAATGTGGCGACAAACCATTGGAATCTAAAACAGAAAATGAAGAAGTTACCAAAGAAGGAAATGCTGTGAAGAAAGAATCGGAAATTTCAAAAGACAATCAGTTAAAACTTGATGACAAGTCATTTAATCAATCAGGAATTTTGAAGTCAGAAGAGGATAATGGAAGTGAAAGGAAAGAAAAAGAACATAATGAAAAGGAGGAAATTAAATCACCCAAGGCTGAAGGAGATAAGGAAGTTAAAGAACCAACAGCCGATGTAACAGCAACGGCAGTCGCTACTGTAAAGAGTTCAAGAGGGGAAGATGCCGGAATTCCGTATGATTGGGTAAGGGTTTTTACTATTTTACCCCAAATTTGTTATAAACAGAGTGACAATTAGTTCTGACCTTTCTTTACCTCTAAACTACAAAACAAAGATTTGGAAAAAAAAGTAGGGATGGATGAGATTGGATTTTTAGTTCGAGACATGACAAGATGGGATTTTTATTTCTCATAAAATTTTGAGACGAGATTTCCCTTCTCATACATGTCGGGAAATGCACATTTTCGACATTTTAACCAGATTTTGTAACATTTTTAAATACCTACTGATTTATGACAGATGACTGGTTAAATACAAAAATAATAATAGACAATAATATTTCAAATCTTTTATTAAAAACATTAGTAAAAACGTCAGTATAAAAAATATTAATTAGGCCTACCTTATTAAAAATAACTCTTCTGCATAGGAAACATGGTGATATAGTTCAACTTTGAAAAATACCAAATTTATCAGTCTAAATCTAAAACATCAGTCTTACTAGTTAAGTATCGAGTAAAAAAATCAAGTTGTTTACCTGTTAATTAAGTTGTCTGGGTTAGCAATATAAATTTTAAAATAATTCTTCTACCCAACAGGCAACGGAGTTGTTGAAGGACTACATTCCTGGGAATATAGAAGCTTCGGCAAAGTTTGCACTGTTCTTCTGCATCCTAGAGGAGTCGATGAGTCTGGGAGACAGAGTTCTTGTGTTCTCTCAGTCTCTGTTCACCTTGAATCTGATAGAAGACTTCTTGCAAAGAACTGAACTGCCAGGAAGGCAGGAGAGATGGGCTAGAAACTGGAACTATTACCGTAAGTTATTGCAGCATCATATAGATGTTATAGCATTTTGTGTTGACAAGAATTCATTAAGTACATATTTTTGTTAGGTTTCTAGACTTGTCGCAGTTACAGTAAAAGCCTGCTAACCTGGTATACAAGGGACGTAAATTAATCCGGGATTGGTCTAAAGGTCTGAAATATTTTAAAGCCAGATAATCACATTCAACAGAACTAGAAGCAATCAACAGACGACAGGAGCCTGGAGCGAACAGCAGATGTCAGGAGCATGTGGTTTTAGTTATCTCTTGTTACTTGACACCATTAGTAAATAATTATAACAACTGATAATACCCAGCCTTAAAGATATTACATTTAATTTTTTTTCAAATTCAGCCTTAACCCAATTAAGTACATCTCAATTAATTCTAGTGTGTGAATGCCCCTTAAAGAGTTCACAATATGAATTTCTTAATTTTTTACCTGTGTAAAATTTCACAAAAAGGGGCATGCAGAGCATAAATCCGAGCATATGTGGTTATAGTGTCTATCAAGATCTGAAAGTTTACAGTTGCAGTTTTGTAAAATACTCGGAAAATTTCCTTAAGACACTTTGGCCAGTTTTTTGTGTAGTAAATGGTAAAAAAAACTGTTCCTAGAACAAGAACTGACTCAGTGATTGTGGTGATTTACAGGTTTGGACGGCAGCACCGGTGCAATGGAAAGAGAAAAGCTTATCAATGAGTTCAACTCAAATCCCAACATCCACCTGTTCCTGGTGTCCACAAGAGCTGGGTCTCTGGGAATCAACCTGGTGGGAGCCAACAGAGTGGTGGTGCTTGATGCCAGCTGGAACCCCTGTCACGACACTCAGGCTGTCTGTAGGGTATACAGGTGAGTCTCCACGATATCGACATTCAAATCTTTCTGTTGTATAAAGAAATGTTGCTCTTAGCTGACTGTGACTGGGAAACCAGGAAAATATGGAATAGTACATAAATTATTATGACTGATGGTTTAAAAGTTGTATTCTTTAAAACACAAAAACTTTGTTGAGCTAGTGCTGCTGCAGTTTTATAATCAATTTTTGTTTCTTTTTAGGTATGGTCAGAGAAAACCGTGTTTTGTTTACCGCCTTGTGACAGACAACTGCTTGGAGAAAAAAATATACGATCGGCAAATCAACAAGCAAGGCATGGCTGACAGAGTGGTGGACGAATGTAATCCTGACGCCCATCTTTCTATCAAGGTGATGCTTGTTACATTGCTTTCTTTGTCGCACGTCTTACTGGATTTCTAGAATAGGCCATATGAAGTGTCTCTCCGAAATGAAAAAATACAAGTATAACACCAAATGACATGGAGAGAATTGTTACGAACATATTTGTTTGTTTTAACATATCTACTTTAGTGAAAGTATTAATTGATTGACATTAGTCTAAAAGATTTTCTCATGTTTGCAGGAAGTGACTAACCTCTGTTGGGACAATGAACAAGATTCTGATGCCAAGGATTTCTCCGATATGAAGGACAAGTATATTGATGTTGTCATGCAGAAAATGCTTGAAAGATACAGCAAATTCTTGTCCAAAGTGAGTAGCCTAATTTTGATACTTTAATATAACAATGTTTGTAGATTTTGAAAACATATTAATAAAAATTAAACTCTCAGATATATTTTGGTTAGAGGAGTACCTATAAAAAGATAAAAAGCTCACATACGGTTGTGAAGGAAGGTATACTTAGATAATGGTTAAATAGTTTCAAATTGTTTTAAAAGTACATTTTTCATATCATTCTCATGTGACAGATAGTGTAGTGCTAATGAGCATGGGGATACATTGAATAAAGTAGAATGTTTCATCTCATTCAAATTTCAAACCACCCTAGCCTGTTAAATAAATTACTTGACTGATTTTCCAACAAAATGACTTTGTCTTTATATAAGTTACTTGTGCTTGCAGGAGCCATTCCAACATGAATCACTGCTTGTCGATCGCAAAGACAAGAAACTGTCTCAGGCGGAGAAACGACTGGCCAAACGAAGTTACGAGCTTGAGAAACAGGCAGCAAACAACAACACAAGACCTACATACGGCTACTACCCTGGCAACACCTCGGGCGTTGGGAGGTGAGTGTCATGGAAAAACACTCATTGTGCTAGTTTCAAATTGTTAACTTTTAGTAGCCTAAAAGTTAACAAGACAATTTTTTTGACTGTTTAAAATATTTAGGAAATTAAAACCTCTATATTCCTATCCTAAAATATGAACATTAAGAAGGAACTAATTGCAGTTTGTACTGTAAGGTTTCTGGAGGAAAACCCCTTGGCTTATGAATACTACATTAATGAAGAAGGAATTAATAAACAACTAACTAACTTAAGAACTAAGAGTCAAATCAAATAAAAATTTCTTTCATTTTGTTTCAAATTAACAACTTACAGTCATTTTACAAATATTATATCTACAATTAGGACTGCAATTACTAACCAGTAGTTCCAGGTAGTTGTAAGCACAAAGAAAGTTTACAACATAATAAACTTGGTATTTCGCACCAACAAGGGGCTTCTTCATATGCTTAGCTGAGAAATGTAGGTTGGGAAATCTGCTTTGAATAATATAAAATAAGTATCCTCTTCTAGAGGTTATAAAAATAATAAGAGATATTAAATACTAACCAATTAATAACCATCATGGGTATTCATCGTAAACCAAGAAAGTTCATCCATGTTTTTTTGGATAGAAGAAGCTCACAAGTTTTACAAACTACCAGAACTGTTTTTAAAGGGAAAAAAGCAACTTGGCTTTGTAATAATTATTGAGGAGAAAGGAAGGATACACAACTAACTCACCTGAATAAAGAGTCCCAGGAGGTCAATAGAACACTTAAAAAGTACACAATAAAATGTAATGATATTGATAATGATTATTTATTTGTACATAACATACAAATTTGTGAAAATCACATGCACAGGTGCTTCGTCTTGATTTCTTAAAAATTGATTGTCAGTCCTTAATTATTCTAAAATAGGGATGGTCAAGTCTCGAAATTTCGAAAAATTTTTGGGAAATTTTAATTCTCGTTACACAAAGACGAGATTTCTTTTTGGCCGAGATTTTTATCGAGACGAGAATAAAAAATAAAAAAATAAAAAAAAATAAAAACACCTGCAGAAAGTCAATGCAATACCCGCAATACAGGAGTGTGTTGTAGTTGCGTTTCCTTTGCGAAGGCGTTTTTATTTAATAAATTCTTTTAATGTAAATATTACTTTAATTATTTTAATAATATTACTTTAATAACATTTGAGAAGTTTTGTTAAGTGTAAGCAGTGTGAGGAATGTTTTATTACTATAAAAAGTCAAAACAAGTAACTATTTTATAAAAATTAATATTGCTTTTATTTTATGATTTATTTTATTTTAGGATAAGTTGAACTCTATCCTAACTGATATCACTATGTTTCCTAATCGTCTAGGCATTTTTAATAAGTTAGGCGTGATTAATAAAAAAATTTTATGCTGATGTTTTTTAGTAAAATATTGTAAATATTCTTGCCTATTATCATTATTTTTGTATTTAAACAGTCATCTAACAATGTTACAAAATCAGGTAAAAATTTTGAACGTGCATTTCCCGTTGTGTATGAGAAGGGAAATCCCGTCTCGAACTCGTCTCGAAATTTTATGAGAAATAAAAAATCTCGTCTCGTCTCGTCTCGAACTAAAAATCCAATCTCGTCCATCCCTATTCTAAAACATAAATTAGTTCCCAAGATGTTGATCACAGTCTTAAATTTAGTGCTACATTACAGCATATTCAAACATAACAAGGTTTATGTTCGCATGTAAACTACCAGAACAACAATAGATGCATCTGTAAGTCATAACATTACTAATTTTACATTTTCCCACCTCAGAGGCAACCCACTGATGAAGCCGATGGCGAGTGTACGTCCGATGCAGGCAGAGCTCAACAATCAGCTGATTAGAGATGCGACCAGCGGCCGACCCAGACAGTGGATACCTGCAGAGGTGTGGCAGAAACAGGGCATGAGTGCCCAGGAAATGACACTACCTCTAGGTATGGGCAAACACTTGTTAAATTTACATCTAATGGCATAAACAGTATACATTTTCAGTGCTCGATTTGTAAAAAATTATGTTCCGGAATTGTAACCTATTTAATGTGATTTGTACCAATATTTTTATCTTAACGAAAGAGAGGTAGGCCTACTGGAACTTCTTTCCACCGCGTTCCCCCACAAATCGAGCACTGTATATTTGTAATATCAACAAGTGTTCTTGTTATCAAAACAAATTTATTAAAATATGGAATTATATTATAAAACTTCCTAGCTTCTTGTGATTTTTAATTAGGCTAACTTGAAAATAAATAATAAAAATAACTCTTGTTACATCAGGAAAATATTTTTAAAATGATTGAGTTTAGTTAGTTCATCTTACTAATGTCATGAAGTTTTCAGTAAATTTTCAAAACACTTCAGTAAGAATAGAAAACTTTGCCTATAAAGTTCTTGTATGAAAATTGAGAATGCAAATGTCTCACTAGTAATACTTGAAAAATCTTAGTTGTTATTTCTATCAAACTTCACCCTGAGGCAGCAAACCTAAGTACTCATTAATGTTATAAATCTGACAATGTTCTGGTAATATTTGAGTGAAAATCCAATGAGGTAAATGGAAATTCCCTTGGTCTACAGATTTGCTGCGGCAGGGGTATTTAATTTACTAGTGGTTTTGTATGGATAAATTAGTTTTGTTTATTCAGAGCAACAAGTTTTATTCTGGAAATTTTGAACCTGTTAAACCTCTAAATGGCCTTGCATTTTATTTTCATGGGACATAATAACATGGGACATATTTCTGTAACATAATAAATAATGAAATAAAAAATGTTTATTTGAATTACTTTTAAGTTCATATTCAATGTCAGTTTCTTCGTTAAATACAACAAAATCAGAAAGCACAAATTGTAGATCTTTAGACCAAGCTAGACAAATTTCTTTCTACTACTTAAGGATGATTTACCTGTTGGAACAGATGTAGTTATACCCACCAACTCACCTGACCGGTCGTCCATCGTGCTGAAGGCCGGACAGAAGGTGATGGTGCTCAAGTCACCCAAGGGTATCTACATGCAGTTGGAGAACGGCAAGATCATCGCCATCCGTACAGCGTTCAAGGTCGGCGGCAAGGGAGAGAAGAAAGGCGTCGCTACCAAGGAAACTCCTGACGGTGTCAGGAAAAGTAAGTGTTCAAGCTCTGATGGAAGTCATATCAAACATGATCATGAATTTAATTAGTTATTTAAAATTTGAAAACTAAAATCTGGTTTCAAAAGGATATTGTGAGTAAAATAAAACCACCATCTGGAACCAAATTAGTTTCTTCGAATTGGAAAAACAATAATTACTTCAACTCAAATCAAACACCTACGGGATCTGAAATGGTGATAAAGAAGTATTCATTTGGAACCCGTGTATGCCTTCAAAACGAATCCAAACCAACATATTGTAAAAAAAAAACTATATTTAAAACTAGAATCCTGTTCCAAACAATTGTTTAAAATCATTATTTTTTTTTTAAACGATATATGTCTATTTTTATAGGGCAGAATGATAAAAGGTTTCTTTGATTAGGTTTTAAAGGCATGGTGTTTCACTTCCACTTGTAATTCAGTATGTTAAATATTACTTTCTAAAAATTATTAATATTCTCACAGACATGATAGCCCAATGGCAAATAGTATTGAGTCCAGTAACGATCTTGCTCGGAATGGAACCAGAGACTTTGACGGTGAGCACTACCTACACAATCATGGTTCTCCGGTTGAACCATCAGTTGTAACTCAAACTACGAATCAAAACTAGTAGCAAATAATGATAACTATATGCAGGTAAACCCATATTGATTAAAATAATCTAAGAAAATAGTAATTAATTGGGGCCTGAAATATTTATAATTAATCATTTTTGTTGTGCCAGTGGTTGTTCAGCCAACCAGGCAGCGAGCCCCAGCCAGTCTGCTGCCACTGAGAAACAACTCGAACATCTCCATCATCCCTCGCGGCGGAGCTGCTGGTCCCCGGGGCCCCAACAAGCCTCTCATGCGCATGCTGGGCAACAACAGAGGGATTCAAAAGCAGCCCATCGCCACCGCCAAGCCTTACTTTGGCGAGGGATCTGCTCATCCCCCCGTCACGGTGGGTTACAGATATTTTAAACCCTTTGAGGTGCATCTAATAAAAGATCACCCGTCTATTCAACTGCCTTAGAAACTGTCCAATGTTCATTTTAGTTTTTTTTTTAGAAGTCTTTGTTCTTGCAGGTGTTCATATTCCTTGATATATTTCGCCATTGATTTTGCCTTTTGTCTTCAGTAATCTAAGTGTAGGTCTTAAAAACTATTATTGTTCACGGACTATAGGCCTATGAAACAACTTGAGTGTTGTTGCTAATAACAAAATAAATTTTTTTAAAACTTTAGCATGAACAAACTGAACACTTATTTGAGTACAAGCTTTTACTCACCAATTAAATAGAAGACACTATATTTTAACTGTACAGCAGGTTATGATTGTAAATTAATCTTCACTGTTTTTGTCTCATTTAGGTAACCGTCACCAAGAAAAAGATTGGCGGAAACCAGACACCTTCCACCAGCACGTCACAAGTTGATATCCTGCGGGACCAGAAACAAGTGACGGTCACACCCATCCCACCTCCGAGTCCAAAGAAAACGGAATCCACACAACCTCAACCTGCCAAACCGACAGAAGACTCCCCTGTGGAGGGGTCGTCCAAGCAGGGTGAGGCAAGTGGAGGAAGTGAACACTCAGGAAGCAGTTCGGAATCACAACCATCGCCTGCGCCGACATCAGTAACCGACGAGGTAAAGTGCCCGATTGAAATAAAACCGATCAAAGTACCGCCCCATTCTAGTAATAAAAAGGAAAAGAACGTCAAAAAGACTGAAAGTCAGGGCAACAAGGATTCTAATACAGATAAAGAAAAGTCTGAACCAAAATTACCCATTCTCCCTCAATCTTTGAGTAAAGATTCTTCGCAGAAAATATCCATTGAAGAGAGAGCTAAAATGGAACCAAGTTTACAACCGGTTGTTTCATTGCAAAATTATAAGCATATTGGCTTGAAGAGTGATAAAACTGTACGAATGACTGATAAGAAAGAGAAGAAGAAAGATACCAGTCCTAAGGTCTCAGTTAATCCCTTGCCGTTTAAAAGTGGCTCTTTATCTATCAGTCCAGTTAGTAGCAAATCGTTGGCTTCAACACCTCCAGTGTTGTCTTCTACGTCTTCAATTTCCATCCAACCTGTCAAACTTCCGGCTTCAACTTCTGTTAATCTTGTCAAACCACACTCATCGTTTACTGTGACGCCGGTTTCAGAGGCTGACAGAAAATCTGAAGAGAACAAAGAACCATCCATGTCAATTATAAAGATCACAGAAAAACCCTCGACATCTTCTGTGACTTTAAATACAAAGCCTGAAAATCCTTCCTCTCAAACTAACTCTTCATCAGATAATCAACCTGTCGCATCTGTTAGCATCCAACCTATTAGTCAGACACCAAAATCAAATCCAGTTCAGACTACGACCACTGTAGTTCCTCCCACTCCTCAAGCAAACACATACACTTCTGCTGTGGATTTTAGTTTGAAGCCTGACTTTCAGCAGCAGTTCCAAGGAGCCACTAGTAATTTTTTCCCAGGTTTTCCCCGACCACCATTAGGGTTTCCTGCGGCAAATTTTTTCCAGCCGAGGAAAGACGCTTCTGGCAAGGATTTACCTGCAGGATTACCTCAGTTTCCGTCATTTGATGCAGCCAATTTCATGTCTTCAAATCCGTTCTCTGCCGCTGTGTCAGGCACAGGCTTTCCGGGGGTCACTGCTCCTAGGCCGAACAATCCCTTTACGGCGCAAAATATGGCCCAGCCGTCCGCACAATCTGCTTTTGACGCCGACTTTACGAGGATGTATTCAGCTTTTCACAGGCCAGAGCCTCAACAATCAGGCACAACCGGTTTCAACCCTCAAAACCCCCTGAATCCAGCTCAGTTCAATCCCTACGCTTACAGTCCATTTTTAATGCCCGGTTTTCCTCTACCTACTGCCACCCCTCAGTCCAATGTAGCACCAACATCTCAAAACCAGTCTCCCACTCAGTAAACACCAGGAACCAGTCATGCATTAATTGTTATGCAATTGATGTTGAACATTAGAATATGTATTAGGTCTGTTCTCTTCGGGAACATGTTTTAGTATCTTAGTAGTTGTGAATGTAATTGCAACTATAAGCTGTATACACTGGCAAGTTATACATGTGAATTTTGTACATATTTTGTATAAGATAGTGTGTAATATCAATGTAAGTATTATATCCCTGTCAATTTATTTATTTCACTATTAATTGTTTGATAGAGTTGATTAAGTGAGGTTACGTGAATCTGGTGAACGGACAATGGAATGTATATAGTTATTAGATCAGATGGTTCCTTTCCTTCACAAGACACTTTATTCAGACAAAAATTTTCAACTTTTGTTTGTTTGATAATTTTTGAATCAAAATTTTGGTTCATTATTATTTTTTTAGTTTAACTTTTACTAACGTTCATCAGCATCTTCAACTCATCCAACTTTACGACTGTGAAATTCTCTTATTGGGTTTTAAGATAACTGCAGTTATATGTATAACATCAAAATCGTTGAGTGTTGGATTTTGTTTTACACAGTTTATAAAAATAATATCTTTACACTAATGTATAGAACTTAATTATTTTTTGTAAATATTTAAATAATTGATTTAAAAAACAACTTTACAGCAAGTAAATATCATAGAGAAAGTAGTTTTTTTATTATTGAAAAATGACCAAATAACAGTACTGTAACAGTACTTTACAAATTGGACACAAACAATAAAAATCTAATGTACAATACAACGGAATTAGTAGTTGTAGATTTAAGATACTTGGTGCGTAAACAATTTATTTGCAGTCCTTCAGATAAAAAAAATAATTCATTGTTTAATTATATAGAACTATTTTCTAGCCTGGTTTTCATGTTTCTTGATTTTTCTCTTTTTTTCAAGTTTCCCTCATTTATGAAAGTGGTTGAGTTTTTTACTTTATTTATGCATGATTATCTTTGTTTTGTACTATAATTTCATGTTTGTTTTTTTCAGTTTTGATGAGGTGAACAGACTGCGCTAAATGGATTATTTGTGTGGCTTATTTTGGTTACTTGTAGTCACTATAAATGTTTCTGGATACATCCGTTCTCCGCTGTTCATACAGAAAAGGTTTAAGGTAATTGCTATGCTACACAACCCCAGTCATAACGAAGTATATATAGATTTTAAAAATAATACTTATTTTAACAGTTTGTAAAGGTAGCTTAACTTTTATATGAAGTTAATGAAAAAAGAACAAGGTTTTGCTTTTGAATTAACATTAATAGAAATGTTACTTTACCTCCTTGATTTTTTCTCGTGCTTAATTTTATAGTAATTTGATTTGATTTCAGTTGTACTATGTTAGATTAGTTTTACTATATATAATGACAGTAGAGTCTCGACTATCCGACCGCGGTTAACCGACATTCCAGGCTTTAGGGAACTGCTATTAACTGTTGGTTCAATGCTACCACAAGTTATATGAACTCCTCATAACTATATCTCTCTGCTATTTCTTGTATCTTCGTTATTCAATATTTACCTTGGCAGTTGCCTCTGCTCTTTATTGTCGTTTGAAACTTACAGAGGCAACTTTCAAAGTAAATGTAAATACTCATCAATATTGTTCTTGAATCTGGATCCACAAATAATTATGTTGGTTAAAACAAGACTTGTGGCTTTGTGGAAGAGTATCACTTTATCTTACATTTGACTGTTAAAGTAGTGGGGTTTTAACTTTTCAAATTTGGTTTAGTGTTAGTTTTCAAATAATAAAATCCCAATAGTTTTAGTAAAAGACAAACTTAAAAGCCTCAAATAGTTTTCAAAAAGACGTTTTATCAATTTGATGATCATGTGTATCCGACCTTGATGCTGGCAGTATAAGGCAGATATTCGAGATTCTACTGTGACACTTACATATTTGAAAGTTAAAATAAAAATACAAGTCTTAGGTTTTAGGTCTGATACGTTTTTTCAATTGTGTTCTTACTAGCTAAACAGAATTAACAATAGTATTGTAACACTAATCAATATTTAAAAAAAAACCACTTCAGCAAACCTGCAGACTTCGGGAATTTCCATTTGCTTGATTGGATTTTCACTCAAAAGTTTCCTTTAAGTTGTCAGATTTATTCTTAATTTAAATAACAGTTAGTTTAATGAGTACTTGGATTTGCTGCTACAGTTAAGGTAATAAAGTGTGTATTTTTAGTAAAGATGTTAGCTGCTTGGTATGAAATGAAAATGTTGCTAAATTGTATTTAACTATAACAATAATCAAGCAAACTACAACAGATAACTTATTCTCCATAAGAATAACATGAAAATTTAAAGTTTTTTTTTAACTTACCTGTTTCTGCTGTAGCCATTTAGAGAATAACAACGCTTGAATGACTAAATTTTTTTTTAATTCTTTAACTTATGGACTTCAGTTACTCCACCTGATTTCCAACTGTTACACTTTGTGTTAGTTACTCAAGTCAAGTTTTGGAGATCATCACCCACATTATCGTTATAATTGAGTTTTCTTCTCAATTACTAAAAAAAACTTGAACAATTTTGTAATGGGAAAATCTTTTTTTTTTTTGTTTTCAGGTCTCTTCATAAAAAATGTTCTTTCATTAAACTTGTGTTTTCACTTAGCATCACTTTTGGTTGGTAGTTTTATTTATTGATCAAGAACACATGTTTATTTCTCTCAAATTAAAAGCCTAATTACTACAAAGAAACCACTTTCTTAGATTTGTGATGTTTGTATTCAATTTAAGGAAGATCATTTTGTTTCGCTGTTTCTACCCAAACCTAATTACCTGAACATTACCTTTCCTTCACTCTGTGTGCAGCATTCTGTGACTGAAGTTCTAAGGTAGAAGTTTTAAACGACAGGCTTCTTTGCTTTATTGTATATTTCGCAATCGATGTAGAGATAGTTTATTTTTATTGAATTTTGTACTATATTATTAGCATAGGGTAGCTATAGTTTCGTTCATTATGAGTCCTACCCTTTCTTATTTGGTGATTTCATCGCACGAAAGTGATTATATTTTGTATATTATATATCCGGTTCTGTTTCTTTGTGAAAGAGTTTATATTTATTGATTTTTGTTCCTCAGTATTGTACAGATATTTTTATTTTCTACGAGGCTGTAAATAGAGTTAACCTTTCGTACTATATTCCCTCTTGTTATCTCTACTTTTTAGTGACAATTTTAGATTAGCGTACTTATGTGGTGTCGTTGTGACACGTTAAACGAAAATGTGCATTTTGATTTTAGTATTGTAGTATTAAGTTTCATATTCACTTCAGATTGGTTATGTGAATCTCCAAGTAAAGAAATGTTGCTGTGTTCCCAAACTAGGAAAATTAGTTAATATTCGTAAAAATGAATCAACCAGTGGTTCTTATTATTGTACCTGTAAAATTTTCATTTTAGAATTAAACAACTTCATGTGTGAATTATTTTTTAATTATAAACATTTTCAATTACTTTAGTTTAGCTAAAATGTTTTAGAGATTTAATTAGTGTTTATTTTAACCTCGTGGCTGCAAGATGTATGTCTTGTAACTAAATAGATCATTTAAATTATAAATTTGTATTGTATACACATTAATTGTGCTGCTGAAATTATTTTTAATTGACAATTTGGTGTTAATATGGTTAAACATATAACTGTAGCCAATCAGCATTTGGCTACATTTCTTCAATTTACTATTGATGAACCATTTTATATTACAATTAAATAATTTTTACTATAATATCAATCAATCAATCAATCAATCATTATCAATCATTAAGATGGGGACGACACTTAGGTGCGTATTTTAACCCAAATATGAGCGAAGGATGAGTGTAGAATGGTGTGAGATGATCTGTGTAGCTTTGTTACTGACTAAGATCAGCTGTTTCATTAGCCAGGATCATTTATTTAAAGCCCAATGATCAGGAACAGCTGGGTCCAGTTTCGAACCATCAAAAATCTACTGACTTTTCTCAGGATCGAACCGGTGACCTTTCGATTAGTAGGCGAGCACTATAACCACTCAGCTACCCAGCCAGTTATTTGAGTATATGAATACGATACTTATCTATTCATTGGAAAAAGTCAAAGAAATATTTCTGTTATCTGCTTTGAACTTTTTAACTTGTATGTACACACAAATGTGTTTGAAAGCCAATTTTAAAAGCAGAAAAATGTTATAATCTTAAAGTTAATTTTAAAAACATCTGTAGGTTAAAAACTTGTCATTTCATTTATATTTTTTATGTTTTTATTTTTAAATGTAAATTTGTAGGAAATGTAATATTGACCAATATGGATTTAAAATTACACCATCAGTTCCGAAGCAACAACCAGGGTGAATGTAATTTTTCAAAAACCTCAGGTTAATAAAATAAGGTTTAAGCCTACAGGGTGTTTATTCATCCAATGTTATTATCATGTTTATGTTGCTCATCCAAAATTTTACCTTTGGAACATCTGACAAGGCATTTGCTCTTTAACCTTATCAGTCATAATTGCTGTTCTGGGATTAGTACATTAAATTGTTCAACTTTTTATCGCCTTAATCTTCACATTATGATGATGCCATAGATGTTTACATCAGTCCCCTAGTGTAGTGAAATTGTTCACCAATTTGGAGTGAATGTGTATGAAATTGAGTTCTATGAATTTGTTATTTTACGTTGTTTTTAGCATAAGATTTTTACGTCATTATTGTACAAATTTATTAAAAATTGAATCCATCTTGGTTTTAGATGTAAAATTTTGTATTTATTTTCTCTTAAGGACTTGTAAGTTTTAATATGTTACATGTTAAGATATTAAATGTGAATATTTATGATACACGAGCAGAATTTAGATGTGAATTCTGTGATGACACCGGTCACAGTGTTATATTATCTTGGTGCAAATTAAAATAGGATTCAGACAAAGTATAATGGTTTTATTTTACTCCCTGTCCTGACAGTCTTTAACCTGTTTGCTGAAACTTAAGGAAAGAAGAGAGCATTGTAATATGCTACTTGTGGGACCAAGCATACATTCTTGGCTTGCTCTGTGAGTTTCACTTTCTTTGTAGACTTACATTATCCCCAACCCCGAACAAATTGTAGCAGTTTTGCTTCAGGGACACAGCTTGAACTGTGCAAGTCCAGGTCATTCGTCGGGTAGAAAAGATTTGCCCTGATTTGCTTTAACTTGGCATGTTCCCGTGGAGGCTCTAATGTCCTTTTAAATAGCTATTTGTATATTAAGAGCGTAAAGTACGTCATTTTAGCTTTGTGCAGCAATACATTTCGAAAGCGGCAAAGACCGTTTGTACTTGTAACACACAAGATTTTTTCTACCTCCATAACTAACTTGCAGGCTAACGTCCTTGCAACTGGGGTGGGGGGTTAGTATAAGAAACACTAGCTCAGGAACATCTAGCACTGGAAATAAGAGGATTTATTAGAGGGAAACCTGTATGCTATTTTTATTTTAAAGCAAAGAGCCAGACTGAAACCTAAGAGGGTTCTACCTGGTCAATTAAAGATGGCGGCTAAACATGCTAATGTTCCTGAACATGCCTCTACAGAACATTCTAAATAGTTATTTTTGTAACTAGTGAGCAAAGTGGCCGCACACAGCGAGTGCGGAATGTTTCTCAAGTGCAGCAAAGGGCATTTGCGCTTGTGTTACACATTATATTTTTCCTACAGCCACTATAAAGCATATAAATAATTAAGTGTTTCAAACGCTATACAAAACGTTAGGTTAAACCCAAGCGATGAGCGGAATGGGAAAACCTTTCCCAGCTGATTATAGTCGTAAAAAACTTTGGATGTTACTTATTTTCAAGAGTACACGTCAGTAATAAAATAATTTTGTAACTTTCTTGCGTGCACCATGAAGAAAAAAGTTTGTATGCTCATTCATACTTCTGTCTTGATTATTCAGGAAACAGATTTAATGAATCATGTTTTGCAGTTTCTGCTACATATTTCTTCTGGTGTACACATATATTCACAATCACTGAGTTCATTATTCTCAAACATGTTAAGCCCACTTATAAATTATTCTTTCAAATACTACACTTTAGGTTATGTTCAAACCAAGGGATGACCGAAAATAGAATATAAACACGAAATGACAGGTTAAATCTAGTATCAATCAGCTGATCATAGTAGCAGTATCTTGAAGTGTTGCCAATTTATTTCCAAGACTACACGGATTAAGTGCATAATTAAACCACACAGTTTTGTGTTGTTTGGTTGGAATACTGGTATGCGACAAAGTAAGTAAAAACAGCAATTAGCAGCTTTCTGTACCATAATCAGTGCAAAGGAAGCCAACTTTGTCGGGTGACTGTAGGAAAACTAATTTGCTTCAAATGATTGTGTGCTCTTAACATATCAGAGCTTGTAGTGTGTGGAGCAAATATAATTTTTACCTATTATTTTAGAAGTTAAAATAGCAAGTAAAAATACTAATTTATGGATTTTCAAAGTGATTTTGTAAAATACTCAAAGAAACAATTACAAAGTTTCAGTTCATCCAGTGCATAGTTTGGATCTTTGTGAAAATTTTACAGTTTATTTCAACTCGATAAACACTTAAATAATACCAGGAGTTTTTTTTTACCTATGTTCACCTGGTAAAAAGCCAGCTGGTGGAACCCACTTAAACAATACAAACAAGGCCTATAATTGTATTCAGTTCTTGGAGCTCTGTTTAAGATCCATAAGCCATGGTATTGAAGTCTCCTTTTTTATCAGATGTCATTCTTGATATTCCTTACTATTATTAAGGTAAACAAATAAAACTACAATTCAGATTAATTTTATAAATTATTCATTTAATAATGAGAAAACCATTTCAATTCCACATTAAATGCGATTAGCAATGCATCTTTTGATAGTACCAACTGTACAACAAAATTTACTGACTGACTAGATTAAAATATAATACAAAGTCTAGAAAAATATTACAATACTATTAAACTCTGTACACCATTTACACGAGGCAGTCTGTATATTGAATTGTGCTCAATACCTCTTACAACCGTTACTTTATATTTGGTATAATCTTTGAATAAATCAGGAACTATATAAACAAAATAACATTATCAAACCACCCTTAACATATAAGCTACCCAGTAGGCCATCACAAAATCAGAAAATGCATAGTTTAACATCCAGATAAAAAGCTATGAATTAAAAATTCTTCTTGACAAATTATTTGAAACAGTAGGGACCATGTCATGTGAGTAAATAGATTGTTTATTTTTACATACAAGAATTGTGGAAACCATAATACATCCTTTGTAATAAATCAAGGGGTACGATGATTCTTTTTATAAAAAAATTATAATCAATGGTGTAATGTCAATAAAAACAATCAAAGTATGATGTTTGTAATCAAGATAAATCAAACAATTTGCCAACCTAAAAATGAACTTCTGCTAAACAAACTAAAAGCTATGTTACAATTTATTATTTCGTATTAGGCCTTTAGTTAGTTACAGCACCAAACGAATATTAATTTTTTGAAAAAATTGCATTATTATAAGGATAGAAAAATAATTAATTGTTCTCAAACAATTCTTCACACTCATCGAGCAAAACTATTTCGGCATTCTGATTTAGCGAGGCTCTACTAAAAATTGCCTAAAGCTCCAAATAATAGAACAGTAAAATAACATTAAGTTGTATAATACTAATTAAACTAAATTATGTTAGAATCGATACCATTTGGTAAAACCACAAACTCAATGTTAGATACAGTTTTTGGTTCAAACACAAAAATACTAGCCAGCATTGGAAACAACACATTATTATATATACACTAAAATAATATCTTACAAAATATATTTCATATGTTTGTGTTGCAGGAAGACGGATTGGGGACATACTGAACAAAAGTGAAATACTTAAAAACAAACAAAAGTTTAGGACGGCAGGTACTCTTTCTACTTTCCACAGTAAAAATACTTTCCAAGTGAATTGAGCTTAAAGATTGCTTCTATGTAAGTTTAGGCTGATATTAACAACGATTCCTGAGCAATACGATTGGAAGAGATACATGCATGGGATGGATTTCAGTGCATAAAATACATTCTAGATAAATAACAGGTAACAAACAATTTTACGGACACTTTTCTTAAAAAAATCTTTAAATAACTTTTCTTTATTTTATCTTTTAAAAAACCTAGAAAAAATTGACAGGAGACTATGTGTTTTAAAACTTGCTTCAACCTTGGATACTAAGTCATAATACTTTACAATCAACAAATCAATATATACAGAGAATAGTTAACATATAACATAGTAACAAAATAAATAATGTGCAAAAGTAGAAAGTAAAATGCTCAATATAATTTGTCTTGCAATAAAATTATATAAAAATAGGTAAATTTATAATTAACAAATACTAACTAAAACAATGTGGACCCAAGCTCAATACCAGTGTCCTATAACTAAAATTTACCATTAGGAAGAAAATAAAAATATATGGAGGCAACATTTTGTAATTTAGATTACTATTCTTAACTTCAAACAGTTTACTGTGACTTTTAAATTTGATTGAAACAATATCATGGTATTTGTAATTATTAAATGAAAGTGACATTTACATTTTTTTAAGAATACTTAGGTCAAATCCTTTTAGCGAAAGAAGTAGCCTATTTACCTATGGTGAACAATTAAAATGGCAAATTAATTTTTACATGAGAACTTGGAACGCCAAAGATAATTAATTGACGAGTCACCCTTACACAAAATTGTACAGATTTATAGCACAGACAAACAAAAAGAAATCACAGCTTATGGCATTACCTTCCAAAGTGACTAGTAAAGGTTTACGAGCATAGTTAAATAAAGAGTTGTGCTAGAGCAAATTAATTGTGTGATCCAACTAAATACTGACCCATGAAATTATAGTGCATTATGAAATAGAACAAAAATCAACAGAATACTTAATGTCATAGCTGATATTTTGTTGTAAGTTGTTGTGTGTTTTGAATTTGCAGATTTGTCTATCTTATTCGTTATCTTTAAGAATAAGAATTGCAATAATTTGAGTAACAATTATTGTTTTCATCTGGCAAAGAAGACTTGTTTCCATCTGTTATAATGGTTGATGTGAAGAAAGGCGAAAGGCTGTAACAATTAATTATCTTATTTCAAGGTGCACCTCTTCTATCTCTGTTCTGTAATCTTCTTGTTCAAGCATCTCCATCTTCATTTGCACTAATTTCCTCATGTAATACAAAAACTTGTGCCAATACTTCTCCACAGTTAGTTATTCTACCAGGAGCGTCAGAGACAGGTAGACCTTGAGTCTTTCCAAGTGATTTTTTAGACTTTTATGATAATTTATTTCATCGCTTGTTCCCATTTATTATGTTATGTAAATACATCTTCTAAATTTTGATTAATTTTATCAAAAAAATGTACAACTATTAATGATGGACATGTTTATAAAACACACAAAACTAAAAATAAAATATCAGCTGATGTGACACTTTACAATGAGGAAGAACCTAATTGGATTAACAATTTAATATTAACGACTAGTGGTGAAACAGATTTAAAGCTTTCATTTCTTATCGAAGAGCTGCAGTTTGGAGCGCACGGCGCCCTCGCATATCATAAGGCGGTGGTTAACGCCGCGTCGTGCTGAGTGTTGCCGTCGCGCGTGGTAGTACTCGCGCAACTGATAGTGGTGTGTGAGGCTCGGTGACGGAAGATCACCAGACTCCCACTTAGAGCTGGTGGACGCTACGGAGCCTTGCTTCTTCTCAAAATACTCGACAATCTTGCTGATGTGTTGAGGTGGCTGGGGACAAATCACATTAATTGAAGTGTTTAATTATTACTTATCTCCTGCTTGTAGGAGTGCACATCTTTTCGATGATCCTAAGCCGTTTGCAGTAAGAGAAGTTTCATTGAAGGAGCAGGGGGAAGGAGGAAAATGCAGAGGGAGAGGGAACACTGTGCATAAACTAACAGAGTGATTTGGCGAATAACTTCTTGGCATTTCCAAATGACGCATCCATCTGGTTAACCTTCTAAACACTTATACAGGGTGTTTCACGAGAGGTGTCTCAAATTGATTACGGAAAAACGGCTTAACGTACAAGGATGAAATAAAATTATTTCCCGCTAAATCGACCCCAAGGAATAACGTAAAAATATTTTTAACTTTTTCCCAATACAGGGTGTGCCAAAAACTGAGGGTCACTAGTTGAATCATGTTATTTGGGTTTGACGTGGTTTAACACTTAATGAAATGGAGCCTTTAGTGTTAAACCCAAACAACATGCATTTGATATAGGAAAATTAACAAAAACTAAAAGAGATACAAGGCAAGTGTAAATTACAAATTTGTTGAGAATTTAAAAACCTATAAAATTATATGCCACTTGACATATGTTGCTATTTAAAAATTTTGAACAATGAGCATTCGCAAATTTAAAAAAATAAATTTTTTTTTTGAATTTTTATCATTTTAAATAACCGTTGCTTGTAGCGTATCAAAGTAAAGCTAATTTCATAATGAGTAAGAAAATCTAACCGGAGAAGCGATAAATGCATTGGTATAGGAAACACAAAGTATTAAATAAATATAGATTTAAAAAAAAAACTGCCGCCATTTTGAAACGGAAAAAGATATTTAATTTCTGTTTTTGCCAAAATGTTTGTCTATCAAATACCTTTAAAATGATGTATAACATGACATATTTACCTTTGAAAATTCCAAAATTCGAAGTAGTGACCCTCAGTTTTTGGCACACCCTGTATTGGGAAAAAGTTAAAAATATTTTTTTGTTATTCCTTGGGGTCGATTTAGCGGGAAATAATTTAATTTCATCCTTGTACGTTAAGCCGTTTTTCCTTAATCAATTTGAGACACCTCTCGTGAAACACCCTGTATAAGGAACCTTCTATTTCATTTCCGTATCAAAAACTACAGCGTTGTTGAGTCCCAATGAGAAACCCATTACTGTCTCCCCCCAACCATATACCCTATTACTGTCATAAGCCCTGGTCCCTAAGTCTCCTGATGAATTCTAACAACCTCAATATCATGATCCCAACCTCAATAATGATCAGAGGGCTCTCAATAGGTTTTCCACGCTCCTATTAAATTCAGTTCTAGCAATTTATGTAATATTTTAAATTTTAACCCTACTTTGTTCTGTAACTTTTTTATAATAGTACAATCATTATGTTTAAGGTATATTTTTTTTAGTACTTACTCATTTACCACTTGTCAATACTTTATCAGAAAAATATGCAATCAATATGAACACTTATTTCTCTGAGGACTTTAAAGTTTTACTCAAATAAATATTTTTTAAAACAATGCAATGAAATCTATCAAAGAGTAATATCCTACAATCTATAAATAATTCAGTCTTAATTGTCTATTGTTTGAATTTTTTTGTTACTTCCAGTCTCAAATGCAGACAACTAAATAGTTTCACCAACAGTTTCAAATGTACAGCTGAATAGCGACTTGTACAAGAAATTTGTGACAGATTTGCTGCTTAATTTTTCTTCCCAAGCTTACCTGGTTAGCCCGCTCGTCCCAGCTAGGCAGGTCACTGCCACCTAGTGAGGAGATGTCCTCAGAACTGTCAGTGTAGATGGAGGAGGATCGCTTGTGACAGGCTGCGTCACACCTCAGTGTCACTCCTCGCAATGGTGTCGCAATGTCATCCAGCGAGCACGACACTGTCGCACCAGAGTCCAGGAAAAGGGAAGAGGAAGAAGAAAGTGTCACTGATGATGCCGTACCTAAATCTATACCTGCAAAATTGTTGTTTGTGTAATTAATCACCAATCGTCCAGATGAGGACGCCACATAGGTGTGTATTTTAACCCAATTATGAGAGAAGGATGAGTGTAGAATGGTGTGAGATGATCTGTGTAGCTTTGTTACGTACTGACTAAGATCAGCTGTTTCATAAACCAGGATTATTTTAAGTCAGGCCAATGATTAGGAACAGCAGCTGGGTAGTTTCGAAACGTCAAAAAGCTACCTTTCTCAGAACTCTGCAAGCTCTGAACTAGACAAGCTTATGTTGAGTAGGTGAGCCTTATAACTACGATGTAGCAGCATGTTATAATGTAAGAACATTTATTTGGTATTCATCTTACAAATCCTTGTGATTTACAGTCCCGCCCGTTCTTTGTGATGGAGTCCATATCCACCAGCAAGGCAGATTTGAGCCATATTTTACTATTAAAACTTTATTAAAATGCCATTACATGTATGCCTACACCTGTAGAATACTATGAGGATACATTATGGAAGTAACCGATATGTATTTGGTAGATGGTGGAAGATCTCTACTCAAAAGAAAATTCACTGGTTTTCAGTCATATTTGACATTTTTTTATGGAAACTGGTTACAGGCATAATTACTTTGCATTGAGGTGGACCTCAGAGATAAATAAAGTAGTACACATAGGAAAGTGATGGTAGCGATACAATATCCTAACAGGCAAACTAATGCCTGATTAATCGGATGAGATTCCGGTTCTGGTCCAAGTTAAGATGAATAAAAAAAGAGCATTAAAAAAAAAGAGCATAAAGATCAACAAGTAAGTAAGGTTTATTAATATTTTTACAAAAGAATTTTGAAAAGTTAGTTGAATAGTTTTAGACAAAGATTTAAAATACGGATGTTTAAGACTTAAAAAAGATTAAGGATATATTTATACTTCTGTTTTTCTGGTGGAATTCTAATAATTTTGCCAATATTTCAAGACAGAAATTTATAGATATTAAAGCGGTCGAATAAGCTGTCTACAAAGATTGTGCAGTTGAAAATTCTCAATTTTGCTACCACTGCAAGAAATATTGAGGATTTACCATTCCTTCAAATCACTGTCAAATGTTTTAAGGAATTGAAACTTTAATTTATTACACAGTACCTGGAAGACAAAAGTCCTCTCCTACACTGCTGAAAAACCCGGACTCGCAAGAGCCTCTTCTCCGGAGAGGGACCACAGGGGTTGAGACGGACGGGAAAACAAGGTCTGGGAGGCACGCCAAGTTACTGCTTGAGGCACAAGATCTGCAACCAATAACAATAATACTAGGACATAATACAGTGGAACCTCAAAAACAACTTTGAAAACTAGTGTCATTTTCAAACCACCTAATCACAATCACCTCGATGACAAGTCTTATTTAATAATCCCTTGTTATCGAGCTTCTCCTGTACATTAAATCATCTAGGCCTACTTAGTTACCACAAAATGGACTCTATCTTAACTAACTTTCACAGGACCAGATTTAGGTCAGATGAATAAAACCGGCAATTATGTAAACATGTCACATACTGTAGGAATGGATGTATTATTTTTTATATATTTATTTGTTTTGTACATACGGCAAATGCCAATTACAATGGATGACACACAAATAGTCGTAGTACATTAATTCATATATTGAAATATTCATCTACGCTAAACCTAACCATGCTAGAAAAATTTGTTTCAGTGTGACAAAGATGAAGCAAAAAGTAAAACATATTAAGACATAAGTAACGCCAGCAAAATAAATTCTGTGTAAGGGTAATATAAAGCAGGTGACATCCTTGGTTCAAAAATATACTGTACTCCAGTAACAATTAAAGTGTGCAAAGTGATTGGGTTGGTGACAAAACTGTACCAATTTACAGAACTGTAGAAAGACAATCTGTGTGTTTTACAGTAGGCAGGCATACTGCATTGTGTTTTTACTCTTGAAAATATAAATATCTTGTTAAAAAAGAAGAAGGCTATTTAATTTGTTTCATTTCATTTCTTGTGTTAATGCTGTATCAATTATTCTTCATATCACTTGACTTGCAAGTAGTGTTTTCTTCTAATTCGATAAGTCATTAATACCTTGTCACAACACACCAGTTTCAACTCTGTTTTTTCAAGGTTTTCTTCCCAATAATTTTGATGTCCAATTGATAATTTACTTTCTCTTTGTAGAATGTTGCTTTTGTGCTTATGGAGACTAAAATTTAATTTAAATCAATGTGAAAACATGTTTTTTTATGTATCTAAATTTATTTCTGTTAATCTGTCAAAAATTGTACCTATGTAAGTTAGGATTTAAAACAAATATTTTAAATATGGACCAGCGATGCTCTGAAAATCTCTGGAATCTACTGACATTTTACGTATCAATCAAGTTATCTACTGTCAGTCCTAAAACGCACTAAAGAAAAAATTAAAATAAAGTTATTAAAAAAATAACAAAACCATTATGTACACCAAAGTTAGTTTAATCTTAACAATTGAACAAAAGGTTCTGAACTAAGGCTTGCCACAAAGTAACAAAAAATTTAGACAAGACTCAAATTTCACAAATGTATTAAAAAATTGATACGACAATGGTAGAGAAATTTTTTGAAGGTTTTAAAAAATAGCTGAAGAGTTGGAGACAGATACTTCTTTGGCAGAGGGTAGGATGAAGGTATTTTGGCAGGAGGATTTTCGATAGGACATTTTCAAGTCTCTGAAACATGGTATGATTATGTAATTTAAATAAAGAAAAATAGTTATAACAAGTTAGTAATTTTTTATTCTTCCGCAATCACGGCAAACTCCTGGACATATTTCACTGTCACGGAAACGTCATCACAGTCTTCTGTGATCGAGTCAAGATTTATTGACTTAATTTGTTTTTATGAGTAAAACTCAAGTTTGAAATTTTTTAAATGAAATATTTGAATGTTTTGATTTTTGTCTAGTGATTCTATTTTGATTAGTTAATTTGGATCATTAATGCATGTTCATGATATAATACTTAACTAGTGATGGGCGGATCCAATAAAATGTCGGTACTGGATCCGGATCTTGAAAAATTTGGATCCAGATATGTACTGTCATAAAGGTTAAAAAAAGTAATATTTACAGAAATCTAATTTAAATCAAACTTTCTTAAATTAAATTAGTAATGTTTAAAGGTTAATGTATTAAGATATAGAATAACATAGCTTATATGGCTAGGGAATGACACAGAATATGTCAACGTCTATAAATTATATGGCTAGGCAATATCCCTCATTTTTGGTGGACCCTAAAATTTTCAAAATCTTGAAATAAAACTTTTTTTAGTCTTGTGTACAGAGACACAGTTAAGTCTTGTATATGGACATAGATAGTCTTCTATCCGGTAGTCGGATATCCGGATCTGACCATCAATATACTTAACTAATAATTTCAAATTACCACTCACAGTACCCACATTTCGTTAAATAGGCCCTGGGGTGTACCTTCTAAATTTGAAGTAAAAAACAAAAAGGCTAAAAAAACTACTTGATAAATACCTTAAAGGGTGTTGCAGCGATGTAGGGGATGTTTTACTATCTGAAGGAGGAGTGTTCGAGGGTGCTTTGAACAGAGGGTGGTTGTAGAGGGATGCTCGCTTCCTAGCAGCTTCACAGACCACTCTGTGTAATGCCTCTTCTTCCCCCGAACATTTTGATAATACTTGATTTCTTCTCACATTTAGTCGAGCAATAAGTTCAGAGGTAACAACTGACCCCGTGTTTCTTCTAGTGAACGTAGGAGATGAAGGTAGAGATCGCGGTTTACTTTTTAAAACTGCACAGCACCTCGATTCCATTTTATTTACACAACCTAAAACCGCAGTCTTCACAGTCAAAACATCCTCATCCAAGGAACTTTGGGAAAAAGGACTCAATTCTTTTGATTTTTCGCTCGTTTCAAACTTTTTCTTTGATTTTATTTGTGAAGGTTTAACAACGGGTTCGACTAAAACGGAAGACTGGTCTTGAGAATCTCTCCTCAACGCGTGTATACCTTCTTCCTCGAAGATTTTCCCCCTTTCGAAAGGGGCTTTGGGTTCTAGTTTGTTTCCTGCTGATAACTCAAACGGCTTGGTTCGGAAGGGCGAGGGAGAGGGCAGTTCAAAACATGATGAAAACAAGTCGGTTGAGTTGGTTGATGCGAGGATTTTTTTCACACCCTTGAATTGGCTGAGCGTTGCAAACGGGTTGGCCTTGGAGGGGAAAGGCTTGTAGTGAGGGTCGTTCTTGGCCATCGTCTCTCCGACATGTTTCAACATCGGACGAGCTGTGACAAAGTGACACCTGGCCTTGTCACTGGGAGCTGTGTGCGGCGGAAACACGATCATACCAACATCTTCTGACAATGACCTGCGGTGAATCACTGAAACAGATATCAAGATTTTCAGTAGCTAACAACTATCATAAAAAACTGAAAGGCAACGTATTGTTGAAAATGGAAAATATAAAATTGGTTTCAATACTTAAATTTAACACATATTAACATGTAAGTAATACACAACTCTTAAATAATTAAATAAAGTGTCACCGGTTCAATATCCTTTGATTTTTCATATTGAACAGGAAACAGTTTATTTGATTATTTAAATCTTCAATATCCAGTAGTAGGAAAGTGAACACTGAAACAATTCTTTTTTTTTATGACAAATTAATTTAATTTTTTAAAACATCCATTACTTTCACTTTTATGTGGTGTATAGTGTATACAGTGATTAAAGAGATTTTACTAGTGAGGTCAGTCCAGCCAATGTTTCCCTCTGGTGAGGTAATTTTCAACTTCACAGTTTCAGATACAGACTATAACAGTTTGCAGCAATACGAGCAGAATATCATTTAGTGTTGCCATAAAGTATCATTAGTGTTTATCCATTAAATTGGACATAAAAATAAAAAATGGAAATTATGTGTTGCTTTCCAGATTATCAACTTTAAACTAGAGGTGTGCGGATATCCGAAAAATCGGGTCGGATTCGGTTCGGTTCGGATATCCGTATCCGAACCGAGCCCAAATTCGATATCCGACACTATATGTTATATATCCGACTTTTTCGGATAGACAATATATTTTGACGTTTTGGACAGAAAACTAAATCTCCATAACCATCATTAAATAAATAAATATAGGATGGAGAGGACACAGCTAACTCACCTGATGAAAGGTTGCAGACGAGTCAAAGAACACATAAAATCACACACATAATATACTTAATATTTTGCCTCTTTCAGAGGCTTCTTCAGAAGTAGGCCTAGATGGTAGTTACAAAACAACAGTTTAAATAGGATGACACAGTTTGAATTCAAAATGTTAAGTATATGAAATATTAAGTATATTATGTGTGTGATTTTATGTGTTCTTTGACTCCTCTGCAACCTTTCATCAGGTGAGTTAGCTGTATCCTCTCCATCCTATATTTATTTATTTAATCCAAGCTAAATGCTTTTTCCTAAAAACATAACCATCATTAGTTTCCCAGGACAAAATTACAGCAATACGTTTCCAACGACCTAACAGCAAACGGCAAAGAAGCTGTATGATGCAATACCGATAACTAGTTTAGTCGTTATCGGCTGTTTTGCTTTATGATTAGATCCATCTGGAACGAACAGACATAAAGCAGAAAAGAACTACCATGGTCAAATGAAAGTCAACTCGTGCTTGTCTCGCTCCTGATACTAGGGGCGCTGCGTAATAGTTTTTTTTACAGTACTGTTTCAAAGTAGAAAAATCTAGCCTACTACTGTGATGTTACGTAAACAATAAATTAATGTTTACCGAAAAAAAAGTCAGAATAGAAACAATAGAAAGGCAACACAATAGAAGGGTGGGAGGGGTTGGGCAATGACCTCGAAAGGAGCGCGGGTAGTGAGTCAAGTAGGACCGGAGGGGGAAGGGGTGGGTAAGACCTTGAAGCTATATATAGACTTGCACTACTTCCCTAAACCTAAAGGACTGGCCGGCGAGTGGTATTCCAATCACAGGACAAGATACGTTGTTTTTTGGGTATTCGTTGCCCGGTTTGACTTTGGATTGTCTTACTGTGTAGAAACTTTGAATAATAAAAAATAAAGTTAGAACTAACCACGATTATTTAGCATTGATTGTGTACATATTAAATGATTAAACGATGGGGACCATGGATATATACAAACTTTTGTCGTGATTTTAATTTCAACATCAAAATACAATATTGCACAATCGTGATATTTTAGGTCATTGACCTTTATCATGCATCCGGTATTGCTGTTTCAGAAGAGAAGCACGTTGATCAATTATAAATTGATATTCCCGTAGTTAAAAAGAATTATTTTATAAACCTATAAAACAAAATCATAAAATCTTACATAAAGATAACAATAACAGAAATTGTAAAAAGGGTATAAAGATAACGTCATTATTCTTTCTCTTTGTTCTTCTATTTCTTGGGTTTCCCTTCATCACGCATTCAACAAGTTGCCATGGTTACTAATCACCCATGTCGTTATCAGCTTTTGTGACATAGCGCACAGCAGGGGGTGAAACTTGCCGAAAATCGGTAAATTTTGACCTATTATTTGATTACCAATGAATGTACTTTATTGGTATTTGGTACTGTATTAATAATCGGTCAAAATGGCTGATTTTTGTCAAATTTTACACCAAATTTATTAAAATTTCAAGGTGAACATTAATAAAAAACAATTATTACCAAATATTTTTATTCATTTAAAAGATTGATTTGTGGTATTGGGTTCCCCACTGAGTACAGCCAAGCGGCACTAATGAGGGTCGAACCTTCTTGGGGGTGAACAATAGACAGCTTATCAGACCCGACCCTCCCCAGTGGTCTGGAGAAAGCTTGTAAACAAACTATTGCACAAGCGGGCTTGACATTGGGCTGCTTCAACTATAATTTTGTCAAATGAACTGTGATGTTTCAAAATCAAAAACAATAATTTGGGACCATACTGCTTAACAATGGACTGCAATTAATTGTTGAACATACAATCCATTTTTAACAAATTAAGATTATACGATTCAAATACAATTATAAAAATTATCTTGGTATTTTACTTGGGGTAATGAAGTTATGTAGGCTAGTGTAATTCTCGGTTAATCAGGGTTCTACTGAATTATGTTTGGCAGTGAATAAGTGTAGAATGCAATTTATAAATTCAGGGATACACACCTTTTACAGAGTTATAAAGCCTAATTGCCCAACATCAAATCGTGAGCTAGAGCCCAGCTTAGTGCATTAGTGATGTTTTCTAAACTTGGCAAACCCACAAAATGCCACTTAAGGCCAATAATCCGTTCCAAAAACGTAAGGAAATACAATGTGAAAATAAACTTGAGATCGAACTCCTTGTCTTGTGAGAACCAGGAAACAACATTAAACATAACCTCAAGTAAACAAGCCCAAACGTTTGACATCAGTTCTGCTGATCTAAGGTGATGTGTGAAGATTTCGGCTGCTATAGTGTGCTTAATTCAAGCAACCAACTTTTGAAAATAAATGTCGTGAATTGTGATTTTCAAGAGAGAGAAAACTGTGGACTTGGTTAATTTGAAATTCTATAATTCAAAATCGTCATTTAAGTTTATTTACACAGCTTTACATTGTTTTATAGGTTAACGCCGAACTATCCGAATCCGAAAATATCCGAATCCGAACCTCCCAATATCCGATCCGATCCGAACCGAGCCTCAACTATCCAATCCGAATCCGATCCGAAATGAAATTTCACTATCCGCACACCTCTACTTTAAACACTAAAGAGGGTTGGAAATCTAGGAAACTGGATCCACTAGGCTGTGAGCAAAACGGGGATGACTATCAACATTAGCCTATGTCCAAGTTACCCATGATACTTACACTTGCGGCTAGTAGAAGCGGTGGGAGGGAGTGTTGCGCCAGGAAGAAACTCCTCACTACGAGCTGCAATGCTAGTGGTGGGGGGACGGGGCCTGGCGGAGGCACTGGCCTCCTCTATCATGGGTTGAAGCAGAGCCACTACCTGCGTGAATGTCGGCCGGTTCTTCGGCTCAAACTGGAAGAGATCAAAGAAAATGCTGTATTGATTTGTATGTTTTTCATTACAGGCATAATTACTGACATAATCCTTTCTTGGGAAGGTCGGAAAAACCTAAGGTCAGATAATGCAGAAAATAAAAATTTGATAAAAATCATACTAAAACATGTTTGATAATGTAGCAATGTACAAATAATGTGAGTATCCCAACCTCAACTGTTTAACACCTATTTAATATCCCTTATACATAATTAGTTCTGTTTTCTACATAAGAAAAAAAATATTGACTTTTTTGTCAATATTTGTTTGTTGGTTCAAGTTTGTTACTGCTAAGGAAGGGAAAACTAATAAATGGCTGACTCAACGTGATACATTAAAAAGACACTTAAGTAAAATCAAGAAATGCTACGGACAAGACTTTTAGGCTTATGTAGCTTAATGTTAAAATGCCCTTTGTCATTGTGTTTGTATTAAATAAATAAATTGAATTGAATATTAACAGTTGCTAATTGTTTGGTAAGCTGGTAATCAAACAATACTGATATTCCAACCTAATACAGGACTTCTCTAAAGTGTAGTGTTGTTTTGTGACCTTTCTTGGTGTATCTATTAGCTCCTAATGTAATCTTCTCAGGTATGCATGCTCTAAGACAAACTCTATTTCTAAAAAAAAATTCCTTGCAAAATATTTAATATCTTTCAATTAAGAAAAATGCCTAAAATACAACGTGGAAAGGGACTAATATAGAATTACTTATACGTTAGATCTACTCACTTTGCAACAGCTGAAGGCTAGTTTGAGGAAGTCCGGTGGTGTAGGAGGAGGGTCTGTGCAAAGCTCGATAAACGCGAGGTAGTCAAGACCGAAGTTTTCCGTTCGAGGCAGGAAGTCAGGGTCGGCTTCGATTCTAGCGATGATCTCACACAGAATGATGCCGTAGCTGAACACATCCGAGCTCTCGTCATACCACTGACCTTTGAGGCACTCCGGTGACATCCAATACGGGGAGCCAACAGTCGGCAGTCTGTACCCCGACCTGCAACATGGTTATAGGTTCTTAATAGCTGGATGGCAAATCCTAACCTAATCACAAGTTGCAGGTTTGATCCAGAGAAGTCAGTGCATAAATTTACATTATATGTAGTATAGCGTTTACGATCATTTAAAGAATGTTTTGTGTTAATATCATGGCAATTTAACCATTTGGTTTCATTTGAGTCAATTGCTGGTATCCGTAAAATACTAGAGTTTGATTTGTGATTCGATAGTAACTTTCTGGTGGTGATGTCCAGTTTGAATCCACTTTCTCTGCAGTGAAAATTAGTTATTTTTATGTAGAATAAGTATGTTACTCTGCTTTGATTTTTGTCAATTCAACTTTTATCATTCAAACGATACAGGTAGGCCTAACTGAATTTAAAAATATACATACCACTTAAATACATACTGGCCTACGAGAAACACCTGTTCTTGAAATTTAAAATAGCTACTTAAATACAATAGTTTTGTTTGTGTTAGATAAACATTGTTCTTCTGTAAAATAATGCCTCAACTGATGAATTTAAAGACCCAATAATCGAGGAGCACATAATACAGTTTTAAAAGTTTACTTGTCCAAACTTATAGGTTAAATACTACTATTTCCAGTAATTCAACATTTATTAATCCAGCCCAAATGCATCCCATGAGAGTCAGGAAAACGAGAATAAATTGTTTTGTAAATGACAAAACTAGTTTGTTAAAGACAATTTAATACCGTGGAATTTTAGCAGCCAGCCCAAAGTCCCCGACCACAGCCATCATTTCACCTGTTGTTTCATCCTTCTTGACCAGTACATTCTACAACAAAAAATCATATGTATGAGGAACAAGACATTGTTAAATAAACAACAATTTGTACTTGTTAGTAGGCCTATTGTAAACTGAGTTAATTTTAATATAATTGCATGCAACAAGTACTGACTGCTTATTTCTGCAACAAACAGATCAATGGCAATAAATACTCATGACTGAAATAGTGAAATGTTCACTAATGTCATAAGATGCATTAGAATGGTTGGTCTATAGCAGATAATTTCTTTTCCTTATTTTTTAACCTCATTAAAACTCAAATAGTTGCAAATGATTAGGGGAAATCCCCTTATTTAAAATTATGAAACACTCCTTAAACCTCAGATATAAGTGTTACTTTTCTGACATTTTTGTTAAAATATATGCAACGTTATATTATTAGAAATAGGCCTAGTAGAAATATTATTTCATTAAAAAAAGTATAAGTTACCAATCCACTAAAAAAATTATTAAATTTCCTTGCATCAACAGGAGATTTTACTATTACCGTGCATAGTCTTAAAGATGAAGTTTCAAATAATCCAAGATCGATCAAGTATATTGGAGCCAAAGAAGATTTTACCTGGTAGATAATTCTATTTAAAAAATAAATAACCAAACAATTATGACACTTAGTAAACATAATTACATTAAAAAGACCATGTAATGTTTTGAAATCAACATAAAATCAAATCTTTTATCTCATGCAGAGTTATTTTAGTTCCTGTTTATATGGTACTGTCTGGATGTCAGGGCTACATATAATTATAATATAAAATTAGTACATTCTAAAATTAGCAGACTACAGGAAATGAAACACAACAAAGAAATACATTACATTATCAAAAAATTTCTTCCTCTAAACTAATACCGTTTATCTTTTCAACCCTACCTTGGATGTAAGGTCTCTATGGAAGACGTCGCGAGAATGAAGGTACTCCATTCCCCGGGCTATGTCCAAAGCCAGCTGCATCCTCACAATGAATGTCAACTCAAGGTTCCTTGCTTGGATCAGCTGTTCTAGGCTTCCTCCATTGATAAACTAAAACAAAATATCAAGAATCAAATCAAACAGAACTTCAAAATGTACTGATTATTTGAATATAAAAAGAAATTAAAAAAATTAAACATTATGCCTGAGTATTGGTTTGGTGGTGAGCACTGGTATGTGTAGTATTATGAATAATCTGTATTTTCATGTTATAAAATTTCTCTGTAGAAAAAATGTTAGTCTTTATAGTGGTATCTGAGATTGGAAACTTGGTTATTTATCATTTTCCATAAGCCAAAAAAATGTTGATTAAAATTGTTGTTGCATCTATGTGTGTATTTGCGACAAGAGGATTCTGATAAAAAGTTAAGAATTGGCAAAACTAACATCTAATTTTAGGAAATTGTAAACCAGCCCAATCTGACTATGTAAGGAAATGTTTGAGGAGAGAAGAGGGGTTAACCCCCAACATAATTTTTGTTATACTTAATTACTTTAAATAACATTTGTTCAGTTTTTAAGCAATATAAAAAAAGGAAACAATTTACCATGTTGAATTTATCTGATGCCAATCAGATTGCAAGTTATTGAAGTATTAATGCAGATATTACATCTATGTTATCCTTACGGAGATTTTCCTTACATAATGAACCAAACAAAACTGAAAGTTTGAGTGTTTTGTCGCTTCTGATGGTTACCTTTGAACTAGCTTCACCTATACCCAAATAATCTAACCAAGCGATACTAAAAAATTGATTTGAACACTCACATTTAAATGCATACAAAATTAAGAAAGCACTGCATTTTAAAAGCTTCAAATTGAAAGAGTTGGCAGCTTGATAAAATTTGAATATAAAAAAAAAAGCATCAACCCTTTGGTATTTGCAGGATAGTTCATAAATGTTAAGAACTGGCTGGTTTTTGTCTGGCGGTAATTTACACTAACTACAATCATTTTCCAATAATTATAAAAAAAACATAAGACATATTTTTTTCCTAATTCTGTGAAAAGTCAATGCCACTGTATAAGGAAATGAAACTGTCATCTGACTCTTCACATGGACATAGTTATCATTGACCTTGAGAATGATCTATCCCTGGACTGTTTACCACTAATGTTTATAAACCAGTGATGTTATCTCTGAGTTGTTTGTTTGATACAAAAGATGTTGTCAAAGCTACATATCCTCAATCCTCAAAACTACCAGTTGATGTCTTCAAGAGAAAAAGAGGAATTAATTTTGTATTGGTAATTTACGTTTTGAAAGTATTATGCTGATATGATAAAAATAAAATACATTTTCCAAACTTTTTGATATATCTACACTTATACTGTTAGAACTTTTTCTACATTCAAGCAAGGAGTCTCTGATTGGCCTGATGTTTCACCTAAAACTGAGTCTGTCCCTGTTGCTACCTGTGCGATCGGTCAACTTTTGTTAGAACAGGCCTTTTTTTATTGTTAAATGTTTTTGTATTTTATTGAAATTTTGTTCATGTTGTACTGTGTTTGCCTTTTGACTAGTCACTGGTATGAGTTTACATATACCAAAAAGTGTTGGAAGATATATTTGATTATTTATATACTTTTGAAGGTTAAAACCCTTTCATAACTATTCCTTAAAAATGACATAAAAATAATAGAAAAGTTATAAGTTAAATGATAACGTAAAAAAAATATATTTTGAATGTTTGATCCCAAACACAAAATGAAGATAACATTACAGATCAAAACTCATGACTACAAAACCATTTTATTTGGGAAAACTTGGTCTTTTATAAAAATAAAATATACTCTTAACTAAAATTATTTTACTATTCAAAGCTCTAGAAAAAATGCTGCAGTTTTAATAAGTTACTGAAAAAAAAACATTGAAAACATGTTTAGTATTATTAGTTTGTCTATAATAACTAATACTGCATAGTTAGCATAGACAGTACAGTAGCCAATTAACTTACATAATTGGGCACACAATGCTGAAACAACTGTTGGAAATAAAACATTGCGTGCAAAGAATACATTTGAAGTATCAATTGAAAGACACAACGCAAAAGTAAAATATTTTTTTGTTTACCACTAGTTACTGAATGAACAATCAGTTGTTTATTTACAATTAACTAATTAATTAAATGTATGTAATCCTTAGAAATATTTCAGTATTTTTTAACCTGATTTGGTTTCAGGAAGTGACTTCGTCATGTTCTATTAAGAATTACTCAGGTTAATTAACAGTCCAAGTTGTATAGTTTTAAAACAGGAAACTACTAAAGCACTGTAAAACATGCAACAAAACTACGTAGTTATCCCTAGTGCATTCATTACTTTGCTGTAAGAAATATACCTTATCTACTATGAAATGTTTGTGCAAATTAAGCAAAGTCTGTATTAATAAAGTTTGTCTGTCCACTGTTTTATTTTTAATGTTTTTGTAATAGCTTCACTAGGTTTCCCTCCAAAAATACTTGTAGCTTAGCCATTATTAACAACACCGCAATGATACTTACTTCCGTAAGTGCATGAAGCTGGCCTGCATGAACACAAACCCCCATAAACCTGCAAAATTGACATCATAAAACATTACAGTCTTGCATAGTGAAGATTTCTCATAGACCACTAAATACATTTAGCTTTCTCCACCATGGGAGCAAAGTTTTAGAATTAATTAACGAGGATTAACAAAGAACACTTAAAAGAAAACTATTGAGTTTTGATGTTGTGCATTATGAATATAAAATAAATCTGAATAAACAAACATGTAAAAACATATTACCAAAGCATTTTCCAACAATTCCTCTAGGGGTATAAAACTTTAAAACAGTTAAATCTTTTTTTTTAATTAAAATTCTTTCAACTTTGACAAATAAGATATGTCAAGCTTATAGTAGGGCCTACCAGCAACACCTAAATTGATAAAATTTGGAAAATAGTTTCAGTTTAAACTAGGCTATAGTAAAATAGGAATAAGTTTAATATCAAATATTTGAAAGGATAAACTAGTTATTACAGTTTCAGTTTAGGGAAAATCCATACCAGTTACGTAATAAGCCGTAAGGAAATCATCCAAGCAAGATCATTATATATACCGGTATCCTACATGTTTGCACACAACTACATACAAAATGAGAAACTAAAACATTTTATAAATTCCCCACAATATTTAGATCCTTGACAGTAAAGACTTTGACAATGAGTCTAATTTAATCCATGTTATTGAGGTTCAACTGCAACTTGATAAATTGCTAACAGCAATGTAAAAATTTATTTTTTGTAGTAGGCTATTTTTTTAGGTACCAGTATTTAAAACCATTTATCCAGTAAAAACAGTGCCATAAAACACAGCATGGGAAATACAGCAGATTGCAAAACCCAAAGTCAACTATGTTAATATTAGAACAGTAAAACAATCTTTGCTCGAGATAAAAGTGATAATACTAACATAGGAATTACCAAGACAATTTCGTCTATCAGTCCTATTGTTTACCAATAAAAGCTAATTTAGAAAAAGGGTAAATTGTGAAAAACAATCAATATTGGGACAGTAAAACAATCTTTACCCAAGATAAAAGTGGGAATACTACCCAAGATAAGAGTGGGAATACTAACATCTTACTAGTCAAGACGATTTTGACTAACAGTAATATTGGTTGCCAATAAAAGCCAATTTACAAAAACATCTTACTAATCAAGACGATTTTGACTAACAGTACTATTAGTTGCCAGTAAAAGCCAACTTGCAAAAAGTGTAAACAACAAGAAAAAAAAATTAATAATATTGGAACAGTAAAACATTCTTAACCCTAAAAAATATTAGGAACACAAATGGGGGTCCATGGTTCACGATGGGCAACATAAGGCCCTGGATTAAAATTGTTTTAAACAAATTGTTTAAACTATGCAAAAAACAACAAATTTACAATAGGGCCTACACAAAGCAAATTTAGTAACTAAATTTGTAAAAAACAACCATTTTGTACATACATTTTCAACATTTTTCAAGAGAGGACCTACGAACCCCCCTTTTTTAGGGGAGTTATTCTGTACCCTCCAGTCTCCCAGCCCTTATGGAAAAGTTAGATGGACGCCGATGGGAACACTAACATCCGAAATACCTACCAAAACAATTTTGACTAACAGTCTTTTTGTTTACCAATAAAAGCTAATTTAGATATTAATTAGATCCAGGCCTAGTAGGTTAAATTGTAGAAAACAATTGTTATTGGAACAGTAAAACAATCCTTACTCATGATAAAATTGGTAATACTGATATGATTTTGTCTAGGTTAAATTAGTTTCCAGATGTTACGAACCCATTAATAAAACTCAATTTATAAGAGGTTAAATTGTAAAAAACGATCCTTTAATAATATTGGAACAGCAAAACAAGACCAGCTTATCAAAGAAAGTTCCTAACTAACGGTATGATTTGCCAATAAAACATCATTTAGGAAGGGATTAAACTGGGGGAAGGCACTAACTGGTTATTTGGTTGCCATTAAAACCCCATTTAGAAAGAGGTTATTACAATAGTTATTATAATAATTTTGGAACAGCAAATCAATCTTTACCCCAAGATAAAATTATGACTACTAAAGTCCAACTTAACTAGACAATTTTGACTAAAAATTAAATTAATAGCCAATAAACCCCGATTTAGGAAGAGGTTAAAATGTAGAAAACAAACATTTAATAATATTGGAACAGTAAAACATTTTTTACCCAGGATAAAATATACTAGCATCCAACTTAACAAGATTTATGATATTTGACTAACTGTTGTATTATTTTCCTCTCAAAGCAGATTTAGAAAGAGGTTAAATTGTAGGAAACAATAATTTGATGCAAATAAGCCCTCTGTCCAGGCAAGGCTGTAGTACAGATGGTACAGGCAGGGTCGCCAGGTGATTCATATACTGGTGACCATATGGCAAACCAGGTCAAGATCACCACAGGCCTTAGGATCCACCGATCCTCGTTTGTCAACCGTTCAAACAATGTTACTGTTATTGAAGATAAATTACACCTTTCTAATTAAAAATATTCTTCAACACTAATTTGTTGTCCATATAATGTGAACATTAAAATTATTTTTATGTTTGGTTGCAGTCTCTCTTCGTTTTTGTAAATATTTTTTGGTAAAAACAGTTTGTACTGAGACACGTTTAAGAAAGGAATTTTAATTTAGGCCTACATTGAAAATCTAGATTAGTCTAGTGTAAGAATTTTTTTTTACCACACAAACAATAAAAATAAAATACCATTTGAGAAAAATACTATTCTAATGACCTAACTTATAATTTCATATCCATTCCATGCCCAGAAAAAATTGTATTGTCTATTCTACATCCTACCATTAAAAGTGCAAATTAAACAACCCCCTAAGCCTAAACCTCTTTATATTGTTTTGCACTTTAATTTAAAATAATTTAAACGGCCACAGTTTGTAAGTAACAAGATTTTTGAAGTGCATGTTGCTTTTAACTTTGCTATGCATGCCTAAGTTGACGTGCACACTGATTCTATAATTACATTTTATAAATAATATTCTGATTACCCAACCATGTCTGTGAGACATAAACGGTGTTAAAGATTTAAAAGTCGGGCAAAGTATTAAAAATGTTGAAATACTCACCCTAAAATGTTTTTGTGATCCAGCTGTTTCATCAGCTGAACTTCTTTGAGCATGTTATGTCTGTTTGAACGGAGTTGATTCATCTTTAGAACCATAACTTTACCCGTAACTCTATGTGTAACCTGGAACAACCATAAACCATTTAACTTGTGAGTTGTGAGGAATCATTGTATAACCGGTTTTTATTTTAGTTCGCTGTACTTTCGTCCTGATATGGGGTTAGTCAATAAAAAGTAATCATCAATCAATATCAACATTGGTTTTCTTATTATTGAGACTAAAAACATAACATTTCTCAATTTCTCTCCAAAACCATTTTGTAGGGTTAAGAAAACAAAAGATTTTAGTATAGGCTAGCCTATTGAAGTGTTTTGTACAATTATTGGCTACACAGAAAATTAAAAAGGACAATATTTAAACTTAAAATTTCCATTTTATTCTTATAAAGAATAAGTAAACTGTTGTAGTTTGCTCTTTTATGGATATATTATATTGATCAAACTTGGCAAATTTATTTACTTTATACTAAGCTTTTGACTAAAAAAAACACACTTTTTACCCTCCCTGTAGCAGCAAACCTAGGGACTCATTAAACCTAATGTTACTTAAATAGGCTATATTTAAGTGAAAACCATATCAGGCGATTGGAAATTTGCTTAGTCTGCAGCTTGCTGCTTAGCTTATTTTAGAGCTATTACTGTTTTTCTCTTTGTTATTTTTTAAATATTTTTTGTATTCTCTAAATAGGCCTAAGAGTAATTTTCAGTATGTATATATTGTGTCCGGTTGGTTACAGAGTTAGGGATGAAATCGATAATTTAAACGGAGTATAATAGGTTGGTTGGTCTGAAATACAATATATCTGGTGTTATATTTTTAAATGTTGTGGAATCTTAGATTTCCCTTTAAATTAAAAGGAAAATCTAAATTTCTTAAAATATATCTAGCCTATAATGCGTTGGTCAATTTTATATAACTTTTTTCTGACAAAGGCAGATTCAAGAGTACACCACATTACATAACATAAAAATAAAAATATTTACATGGATGTTCAATATGTCATTATGATTGAAAAAAAAACATGTTAAAACTTTTATTGCTTTTGGATATTTTGTGAAAGTGTCGGGTAAATGCAGTCATTTGCTTATAAAATATTTTTTAAACAGTTAGACTCAGTTTTACGCTAACAGGGACAAACAGGAAGAATTAGTGCGTTTTTGAGATACAATTTACGAATATCAATTGGCCTTTATTGATTTTTAGAATAGTATAGGCCTTACTTCCTGACCATAATCTAACCTTGTACTTTTGTTTTTCATCCTTTTAAACAAAGGCATTTTTAAATTGATAGAATTAATTAATTTTAAGAGTCTTTTAATGCAGTTCGGTAATAGCATACCGGTACATACAAATCTAGTAAAAAATTATAGCCTAATTCAAAAAATCAACCCATGAACTTGTTACTTGTGTTTATAAAGTACCTATTTAATATTTAACTATTAGCTAAAACAGTCATTGTAGGCCATTCTGTTCCACTGTTGGGATATCTAAATTCTAGGAAATATCACGGAAAAAATTCAGGCACTGGTGTAAAAAAATAATAATAATATAAAAAAAACCTGACAAAATGTAGCCTAAATAATAACTTGTATTGTTTTTTTTTCACAAATGTTATGCTATCTGTTATGCCGTTTGTAATCAAATGTAGCCTATTTGTTGACTTCAATTAACAAATTATTATTTTTTTTATTATTAATAGAAGACCCATGCTGCTCAATTAAATGTATTATTATTCTGAATATTGATTGACTGAACTTTCAAACAGAACTCGATACACATACAAGCGCTAATTGAGGGAAACCAGCGGAATAGCTATACAGTGCGGTAAAATGCTAAGAAGCAGTGAGAAAGCCCAGGCAGCGAGGAAGCATAACAATTTATTGGAGAGAATGAATGAGAGGGGAGCGTAACGTAGCCTGATCTCCATCTAGAATCTGCTACTTTCACTCTTGTTTTAACCAACTATAATAATACGGGAAAGTGCCGCAGTTCACACACACCAGGTGAAAGCAATAGGCCTAATTAAGATTATCTGAGGATGCAATGCCTCTTACACCTGCCCCAAACGCTACCGTTGTTAGTTGTTACATACGAACAATATGATACAATGTGTGAAAGTGATCCGACGCAGTCAACCTTACACTAAACCTGTCCGATGGCTTTTTTGCTCTCTGTGTTTCACACTAACTTCCACAGATGATAAATGTAGTATGATTTGTGGAGAGAAAACAAACATCATAAACCAAATTCTGATACAGCTGTAGTCAAATTTAATTTATTGATTTCATTATAGAAATAAATTTTACTCACAAACGTTTTTGAAATCCGAATTTAAAGTTCGGTACTCTATAAATGTTTTCAAGACATTACACTTTTTAGGGTAAATCACTAGGTACTTCTTATATAATCATTCTTTTAATGTAATTCTTAATTTATTATAATTAAGTTTGTATTAGTTAATACTGTAGGTATACCTAAAGTTAAATATTTCTGTAGGCTTACATCTACCTCAAATCCAATATTTCAGTTATTAGGTATATTAAACACCATTTGAGAAAGTACAATTGTACCCTAGGCCTAAGTATAATAATCAAGTCTTAAAAAAATAATTTATAAATAAAAATACTTTTTTCAAATCACCACGTTTTTAAACGCACAAAAAAGTACAAAATAATTTATAAACATGTAGATAGAATATATATTTTAAGATTTAAAACAAAAAATGTGGTGCGCATCCAATAAGTTAGCTAGGCTAATTTAAAATCATCATCACATATTGAACTATTATTATTTATTGCATACACTCCACGTTTTTAATTTTAAATCTTACAAGTATTTATTCTCTCCACATATTTATAAATTATTTTCTAACTTTTTTGTGCGTTTAAAAACGTGGCGTTTTTAAAAAGTATTTATTTAATAAATTATTTTCTAATATTTAGTCTTTAATGTGTAAATATGTTAAATCTATTTTATATAGCCTGTTAATACATATAACCAAAACCTTATTATGTGTAATCAGATGTTTTATTTTTGCTTTGAAATATTTGTTTTTTAGAATCTCTCGGGAACAGAACCTGTACCTATTAGTCCTGTTTGTGACTAAGGCCGACATAATCCTTAGACACAGCTGTTAATTAATAGTGCATACAGTCAATTAATAGCAGCAGAGGTCAAGTTTGGTATCTAATTAAAGGTTTTATTAATAAAAATACATTGCCGCAAACCCAAACTCAAACGATGATGATGATGATAACGTTAATGATGTCGCTAAAACGTATCGTTTGAAATTTAACAGCTGAAAATAAGTGAAATAGAAATGGTTTTGGTTAAATCCATCAAATTGTAATTGGACACTAGTAAATACTAGTGCACTTGTTGCTACCTCCCCCCTTCGGTTTCATGTATTCCTCTCAATCAGTTCAAACCTAGGAGGATTAAACATTAATGTTACCTAATTAATGTTAAATCCTCCTAGATTCAAACCTGAAACACCCAGATCGAAACTCGCCTGTCGTTATTTTACCATCGCCTTTTTTTAAATATATTTTTCAAAAAAGAAAGATTATATTGAGTTACTTTAGATTTTAAAAATATAAACGTTTTATTTTGTTAAAGATTTATGGTGATACGTAAATATTGTGGTGTTGTAAAGTATGATGTATTCTTATAAGTGAAAAATGTAAGCTGGTAATACAGAAAGATGTTTTATAAATAATATGAATGTACTGGTGATCTGTATATTCATCTTTTTCTTGTTCTTAGAACTGTAAATTAAAAGTCCACTCAGCAGTCGCATCGTACGATGTAGTTCTTTACATGCGTTGCGAAATGCTAAATTTGCCGTCCTCTTCAACCCAAGTTATCTATTGAACCACTGATTGTAAAAAATATATTTTACGCATCACACTTTTGGCTACAACTTTGCCGCAGACAAAACCTCTCTAACCCAAAAACAAACAAAAATCTCGCATGCTAACTTTTTCATGTTAGAAATCACGATTTAAAACTATTTCACCATACATATCAATTTTTATTAATTAGATCGGTAAATAGTTTAAAGTTCCAACAAAATAGTCATCGAGTAGGACTAACCAAGAAGCTCTGTGCCAATTTTCAAAATTTTAGTACAACTTTAAGTACACCAAAACACGAAATTATTGAAGTCATGCGTCGAGAGGACTATCGTTGTTTTTAACAGATTATACTTTTGACCTTCCGGCACTGTTGACTCAGCGAAACTGAACTTATATTTTATCTTATTTTGTTATATTAAAACTGCTGTTGCATTAGGTCAAATTCCCAATAAGTCAATTGATTTAACAAAGACCACGTTTTTAGCTCGGACTGTACTATTTGACTTACTGGGATTTTTTATCTACAGACACTGCAAACATTGTAGTTTTTGACCTAGCGGCACAGGTATAAATTATTTGACCTTCCGGGACTGTTGACTTTCTGCAACACGTCCATATTATTTTGGATAGAAAATTTAAAAAGTAGGGCCTATTAGTATAAATTAAAGGATTACAAAACTTACATTGTTCCTCAAATGGTGTGACATTCTAAAATCAAATTTATTTTAAAAATGTTATGCACTTCTTGAAAATACAGTGAATTTTAGTAGGTAATAAAAGTCGTAAATATGATAGAGTGTCTAAAAAAATAGAAAGTTTTAAAAGTTTATAAAAAAATAAAAAATCCTAATCTATGTTGGAAAATTTGTGGTACTTATTAATCTTATATAAGCCTATGTAGGCCTATGTATTTTCCCTCCTCTCCCTAGCAAAAAACCTTATAAAGGGTGTTCAAAAAATGTGGGGACATATTTTACCTAGTGATTCCTTAGGTCAAAGTAAAGAGAAAATCAAGAATAATTTGTTTCCTAAAATCGCTTTGTTAACCAGATATCCACCATTTTTTATTTTTTATATAAACATTTTTATCTGTTAGCGAATTTCCCATATAGGGAATAAGCTATTACCGTAGTACTCATGGTAAGACCTGGACCCGGGACCGATTTACTTTTTCGTTTTGAGGTCCCTAGAGGCCAAAAACACCATCCGTTCAAATTCATATAAATTTATATATATATATATAGGCCTAGGCTATATGTTTCTGTTAGCACGATAACTCAAGCAAAAATGATCCGATTTTGATGAAATTTGGTATAAACGTGTAAACCTACATTTATTCAAACGAGTTCGCAAACCAGCATGATCGGACTATGGGAACTGGGGTTTACGGGGTAAAAATGGGGTTTTCCCATTTTAACCCAAAAAACATAAAATTTTGTAATTTGTTTCCAAACCATTTTGTAGAGCTTAAAAAAACAAATTAGTATATTGAACTGAGTAATATTAGAGTGCTGAGCTGATAAACGGGAGGACCGGGTTCGAATTCCTCCGATAGCACTATCTTATTGTCTAGGATTTTTTCATTATCAGCAAGTTTGGTTGGTTTGGTTAGGTTATGACCTTTAAATTTTATAATTAAAACATTATAAAATTGAATTTGAGCCATTATAGTTTTAATTTTATGATTAGAACTATTTTTTCGATTAAACCTTCATTCGATTTTTCATTATCAGTACGGTAAGTTTGGTTAGGTTATGACTGTTTAATTTCATGATTAAAAAAATATATAATTAAATTTGAGGCATTTATAATTTTATTTAATGAACAGAACTAATTTTTCGATTAGTAAACCTTCAATAGTCAATCAGAAGCTTCCAAATGACACTGTTGGCAAAATTAATCCTGAAAAACAAATTTTGTGTACTTTCTCTACTTGAGGTAAAAGGGATGATACTAAGCATAACCTAACCTAACCAAACCTAACCTACCCTAACCAACCTAACAATCGTAACGTAACAAGCAACATGGCAGTGCTACAACAACCAATGAATAGGTGTTGGTTTTTGAAAATTTTCCCAATTCCAAGCAAATTTCCCATACTAATTCTCCCAACTAATTACCCATTATTTCCCGTTAATTACCCTTAAACACTTTAAATTACCCTTTCCCCCGCCTAATTTTTTGATCGATAATAAAACACGTTAGATGTCTCCCCCACCCAAAACCCCGAATTCCCACCTGTCCCCTAGTGAGTTCGGGGTTATTGCTGGTAGTATCACATTGTCATCGCTTATTTGATGTCAGATCCAAAGAATTCTTGCATATTCGTGATTTGCTTAATATTGAGTAACCACATGACGTGTTTTGGTAAAAAAAAATTTTTTGGTAATTTTGTTAGTTTTTCCGCGTAATAGTAATTTTTTCACATTATAGGCTAGTCGTTTTTCCGCGTTATTATCGTTTTCAGCGGAAAAAGAACTCAGTGTTGAATTTAGAGTATTGAAAAAAACTTAAAAAATTGCGTGCAAACAATAAAATGGATAGCCTATTAGGCCTAAGTTAACTGATTTTTTTTAAACATATTTGTATACAGGACTCAAAATACTACTAGTATGCATTAACATCTATCAGAGAACCTAGTTGATTTAACATGGAATGGCCCGAAACTGTTCTAAACTAACCTAACCTATGTCTAACTGTATGTGAGTAAATGTGGGGCATAATCTAAAGTGCAGCCTATAAAGGCACTCATGTCTTAGTTCAAGTCCGCTTGGTCTGGAGACAGCGAGAGATGTGAGTCACCAAAAAGACATATTTCACTCTTATGAACAATTGATAGGAGGTTGTTGTTGAAATGGAGGCATTCCACTGAAGAGGATCTGTGAGAGCGAAGATACCCACTGCTTTCTCTCCACTTATTGACTTCGGCCTAAGTAACTTAGTTTATTTTCCTGCCCGGGCGATAAATCAACCCTCTTGAGAGTTCAAAACTCCTGATAAGATAATTCGAATTTAGGCTAATTTACCTTGGCCCACGAATTTTGAATTATCAAGAGTCTACTGTAGGTAGTAAATTTAATTAAAATCTGAGATACAGTAGTCAGGTTAAATTAAGTAGCCTGCAGTACCTGTTTTGATTTGAAATGTAACTACCCGGAACTTTTGTTAGGCCTGTGTTCTCATACTTAGGAATTAATCAATATGGTTTGCGGAAAGAAAGGTCAACTATAGACTCAGTAGGTATTTAAATTAATGACAAAAATTTATGAAAACATTAACTTAGGACTGTCTCCTTCTTTTATATGACATGACCAAGGAGTTTGATTGCCTGGATCATGAAATACTTACGACCAAGCTATAATTAAAATTGGTAGGAAAAATCCCCTGGACTGGATAATGTTATTTCTTAAAAACATATACTAAATTGTGAATATTTGAAACACCAGTGAGACGAATGTTATACAGACGTTTAACCCTCCGAGCGTCCATCGTCGAAAAATCGACGCGCTACACACTTTGCGCGAACATCGTTTACGGCGAAGGCTCTATGACTGACTGAATCGGATTGAACTGGATCGAGTTAGGTATCGTTCTTCTCGTTATATTCTAAGCTTTCTCCAGAGGTCTGTCTCAGCGCTGTATGTTTTCCGAGCCGATCGTAATTGTAGCAGACAGCTGACGTGCGTATTTGTAAATAGCTAGGTTACCCTCGGACCGATGACTGATGTGTTTTATTACGTTTATCATTGTTTTAGTGTTAAAAATCAAAAGTAGTGATATACGTGGTGCATTATAAGAAGATTTAAGTGATTTTGAAGGGCTGGTTGATGATCCTGAAGAAGTAAAGGTAGTGATATTGATGTAAATTATCAGCCAGATTCCTAGCTATGGTTAGGCTATGCATTCTTAGCTAAACGCTATGTACTGAAATCTGTTTTTTGCCCATAACTTATTTATTTGCAAATCTACTTTCTTATATTATTATATATTTGTAATCCTCATAAAATTAAGAACAAAGTGGCTATTTTCAAATATTTATAGGCCTATAATTTATCCAATTTCATTGAGAGCAAACTTAATTTTTTTTGAAAATTTTCCAAAATATTTTTTTTTACCTAAAAATTTTTTTTGAAACAAATGCTCCTTATGTTTTATTTATAATATTGAAGACCATGATTTTCCAAACAAAATGGTATATAGAACAGTAGAATTAACATTGTTTTAAGCTTCTCAGATCGGTTTTAATAAAACCTTGCAAATGCGCCAAAAATAGGCGGACATTAAGGCCTAAACTATGAACACTCGGAGGGTTAAATAAAATGTCTTGGCTGTATCAACACAGGAGTCCCGCAAGGATCAAATCTCGGACCGGAGCTGTTCCTTCTTTATTATATTAATGATTTGCCAGAAGAAATCCAAGACAGGGAACTATTGATGTTCGCAGATGATGTGGGACAACTTACCTATGGAAAAGACTGTATGACAGTTATTAAGAAAACTCATGAAGGAATTAATAAGATGGTTAACTGGAGCACAAATAATAAAATGGCACTTTACAGTTTAAAAACCAGTCTAATTCAATTTTACAATTAGGAAAGAACCGGACTATTCACCACTTTTAAAAATGGGAGATACTCACCAAATACCTAGGTAAAAGAAAAGTCAGCTAAATATCTAGGAATAACCATATCTGAAAATTTATCCTGGGAAAACCATGTCACAGACACTACCGTATAGCAAAATAATAGTTGTGTGCCATCTTATTTGTAGACTCCACAACATTATTGACAAAGATCCTGATGCAAATTTATAACGGTTGCTTCCTGGTGCTTCGGTTGTATTCCGGTGTAATTGCCTATGGCATAATAGGTAACTCCCCTACTATGGGGAGGCAGCACTGAAGCACAAAGAATTCTTATACAGTATTACAAAAACGAGCAGTAAACTTAAGAACAATTTGTAAAATGAGAGGTTGAGACTCCTGTCGAGATATCTTCAAGGAACTTGGCATTTTAACCCTACCAGCAGTTTATATTAACTTGAATGTGCCGTTAGGTACTGCTAAAGCCAAACCAGAATATTTCACTAACAACAATATAGTATTCATAACTACAACACCAGACGAGCCAGAGATCTACATGTACAGCAAGTAAGAACAGCATTGGTTAAAAGGAGTCCCTATCACAGATGCATCAAAATTTAGGCCTACAATTAGTTGACCTCAAAATTTAAAAAATGAAGATCAAAATGGCCTGAAGAAAAAATTAAAATCTACCTGGTAGAGAAGAAAATATATACCTAGGTAGCCTAATGTAAAAGAATTCCTTGAAGAATAATAATCCAAATTCCTATTGACCACCACGGTGTAGATACGCTTCCAGTGGGATAAATCCAAGTATCAACTATCAAGTAACTAAGGGACTATATTAAGTTAAGTTGGGCCTCAGTTATTCTGTTATTGTGTGTGCCTGATATCATTACTTCCAGTTATCATTAAAAACTTCCCTATAACTTATACAAATTTTGTGGACAATTTTACACTTGAGAAAGTGTGTTTAGACTGAGGTCAATGTTGTACATTCCCTACTGGAGTTTAAAGTTACTGCATATCTTGCTTAGGTTAATATAATCATCTAAGTTACTAAACATAGAGAACCAAAAATGAAACATCTTACCTTAAAAACTTCAGAGAAGAAACCAGAACCAATTTTTTCTAGAACAAAATCGTCCAGTCGGTTGAGACCAGATACTGCATTACGGAGTGCTCTGCATGATGACCCTGTAATCCTGGAATCTTTATCGGATCCGCTAACATCAGCCGCCATGACTGGAGGAACAGGAATGATGGGGGACATCACTACCGAATTATCTATCCCACCAGGCTCACTGGCCGTCTCATGAAACCCACTATCACGCAACATCACACTTTGCACTTATGTCACCGTTTCAGTTTCTATTATGTATGTCACTGTACACCTAATACGATCCAAAAGTGTAGAATAGTACACAACCATGTCCTGGTTTGCTTCAATTGCAAACTTCATTAACTTAAAATTACACTTTTTTCTTCACCTGGGCTAACTAAAGTATTTGTAGATATTTGTCAACCAATCACCTTGACCTGTAAAAATTAAGAACATCAATTGGCTTAGTAATTCAATAAAATTAGGCAATCAATACTATGGCTACAACTTAGCCAATGCTTAAGTTTGACTAGTTGAACGAAATAGCCTACTTAAGTCACTTTTAACTTAGGTACCGGTAGCCTATCTCTGCCAAGGCCTTAACTTAAGTTACTTTACCTGCATGGAAAAGGAGATTTACCGTAACCAAAAAACAACAACAAGATTAAGCCTAGATTATAAGAAAGAATTAGACGAGTAGGCCTAAGTCAGCAGAAGTGTTGAATTTATTTATTTATTAACGGATAACTTAGGTGCACCATTTTTACAAGAAAATACAGAAAAAAAATACAGAAGAAAATACAGGTGAAAAAACTGGAACCAAACAAGATTTCAAGAACAAGGTCCCTTAACATTGACATAGCCTATTTATATTGGACCTACTTAGTATCAGTAACTTACCTATAACATTAGGCCTATAGGTAACACAATGAAATTAAATGAAATGAAATGATATTTATTCGTCTATAGACATTAAGTATATAAATGCATGAGACACAGTCAAATTATATAAATACATGCTGGAAGAGGCACAAGTCAAGTTCAGTCAACTAATAATAATAGTAAACAATTAGTGTACAAGGTCTTAGGATACCCCTACACATCATGCAAATAAATAATGGTACAAAAACAGATAATCATAGACAGGCTGAAAAAGAGATTCAAGGCTGGAATTAGATAATTATATGTGGTTATGTTACTGGTTGTAAAGCATAAAAATCATCAATCTTAAGCCTGTGTCACACTACGCTACTTTACTAGCAGCTAGCGAAATAGCAGCTACTAAGTAGCCAATGTGACATAGGCAGTAGCAGCTACTAAGAGTAGCACGCTAGTGAAATTTTACTAGCATGGAAAGTTGAACATGTCCAACTTTCCGTGCTACTAAAGTGCGCTAGTGAGTCACGTGACCAACTAGCAGCTATCAAGTAGCGACTGTCGCCCAGTGTGACAGCTTCAATAGCAGACTAGCGGCTACTTGCACCACGTGCTGTCTGCCTGATTTGTTTATTCTCGTTCATTTTGAATAATTTCTGAAGTAATCATGAGTGATCCGAAGTGGGGTGGGGGAGATGTGATTAATTTTTTGAACCTGTATAGAAAATATCCGTGTCTTTGGGACATAACCTCTCTTGAGCTAAACTAGTAGTAGCAGCTAGTGAATAGACGCTACCAAAATAAGTGTGACAGGAAAAGTAGCTGCTATTTCAGTAGCTGCTACTAGGTAGCTGCTAGTAAGTAGCCAAGTGTGACACAGGCTTTATACAGGGGGTTTCTGAAAAGCCATTCATAAATTGCATTCTTAAAACTATGTATTGTAAGGGAGTTGAATTATTCCTGGCGATAGTTTATTCCACAACTTTCTACCCATCTTTTCCAGTCTTGTAAAAGGAATGTCAAGGTTTCCTCTTTCCCTAGTGTCAAAGCAACGAAAATCACCCCTTAGACCAAAGGATTCATGCAACTTAAATAGATAACAATGCATTATAGGCTAAATTTAAAGGTTTATCACAGTCAAAGCGTTAAAGTTAATAAATAATGGTTTACAATGTTCATTTTGATCTTTGTTGAATATAGTTCTGATAATCTCTTTTTGGGCAACAAGAACATCATTGATGTGGTAACTATTTCCCCAAAGGATTATCCCGTAGCTTAGAATTGACTGGACAAGTGCAAAATAAACATTTTTGAAATGATTTAGACAACAAACAACTGCTCTCTTAAGAGCCTAATAACTTATAATAGCCATTGCTAACTTAGCTTTGGGGCATTCAATTCCAATTTTAGGATGGACAAAAGTTAAGTTACTACTTACCTATATCTAGGCCCTGGGCCTATTAATTATCAAGTAAGGGTAGTTTACACAGTTCTAAAAGATAACAAATTATTTAAATAACTCTGAACATGTTCTAAAAGCTAAAATATAAACTTAGCCCTCCAAATTAGAAAATTAGTTAGGTTGGCTAAGTGAATATTTTCCACTTAGGAATTCCAAATTTGTAATAGATGTCCACACTTACCATTATATTTAACGTATCCAATATTGAAGAACACATATTTTTTTAACTGATGAGCCAAGCAAATAATTTAAATTAATTACACATCACATCCTCTGACATTGACATAACTGAACCAAGTAAAAACTTTCAATGGAAACACTATCTCTACTATTCTCTGATCGCCATGATAGTCTCCACTCTCCTCTCCTCTCCTCTTCTCCTTCTCCTTCTCCTCTCTCTGTTTCGTTTCGTCTTCGTCTCTACTACCAGACCAGCAGGCCTAGTACGTTTTCTGTGCTACTGCTACTACTCTCTTCTCTCTTTTAATATTTTCTATCTTCTCTTGTAGATAGTTGTAGAGGAAACCAAGGAGAAATTTTGTGGGTACGTCAAGTGTATGTATATTGCATAATAAAAATGGCTATTGATTATAAATCTACTTATCTACTCTTAGGTGATTTGTAGTCAATGACATTGCAGATCTTTATCTCACCATAATATGGTGATATATTATATTTGAACTCCTGAAACCTCTTTTTGGGGTGGTGTTTAAAAATAAAAATAAATAAATAGGAAATGTTTCTTATTGTGAATACGGTAAATAAACCATTTTAACACTACTCCATTCATCTACCATTTTTTATAAACCGAATGAAGTATTCACAAACTGTATCAAAAGATTGACAAAGGTAAGTAATATCGTAGAATTATTGTTTTTGGGAAATATAGGACCCCCACTTAAAAGATATTTGATATTCCTTGTGGGATTCCAAGTTATTGGATGTGCAGTCCTGCAGTGGGAAAGAAGTGACAATATCATATACTGACTTTATTTGCAAATCTAACTTATTTATTCAATCTCTAAGCAGATTTGGTACTATATGGTATTATTCTTTCTTGCATACAACCATCTAAATTATCACATGTTGGTGATATCGTAAGAGTGCTTTCACAAAATATTCCCCCGTATCCAACCACCACCATCTAAATTATTTGCTCCAAAAATATATCAGCCTCGTACTTTTGTTAGGAGGTATTTTTTTTGGAGAAGCTCAAAACCCCCAGCGGTCCCTTAAGCGCACTTATTTGAGCTAGACCATGCTTCGACTTCGACCAGCTGTATACGCTTCGTCGCTGTCCCATACCACGTCTGATGCGCTCCGGGAACGAGATCTGTTCGTCTGTCGACTTTTTCGCTTCCAATTTGGAGGCTGTTAGGAGTCTAAGCGGAGGAACGTGACGCTCTATCGGAACGTTGGTGCTGTTATCGATCATGTTGTATGTTATCTCAAATCATTATTATTGTTGTTCATTTAATTTTTTAATATTGTTATTCATTTCATTATTTATTATTGTTACTCATTTTATTTCTATTATTGTTATTCTTTTCATTGTTTATTACAGTATTGTTAGTTCCTAGTATAATATTTGGTGAGTCGGTGGCTCAGTTGGTAGCGTCGCGGACTTCGGGGCCCAAGGCAGATATTGGGTTCGGATCCAGCTGGTCACTGCCACAAACTTTTATCAGTACAGTTCACCTTTGTACTGTACCGGCTCACCCCTACTGTACTGCACCCCTTGCTTTGCTGGATACGTTCCACGCACAGATCTGTAGTCTATGTGGACGGGCAAATGCAAGGTTAAAAGAGGCCGCTAACCTCTTTAAAATATATATATATATATATAATAATAAAACACCAAAATTCACTGTTCTAGCTTAAACTGTTAAACTGCTTTGTAAATTGGTGCATTAATTGCCGTTGGTAAATAAATAAAATAAATAAAGCACATGGAGTAGATGCAAAGTACAAGATTTCAGCTCCCGTTCCCATCTTCAGCATTACTTTTAATGTGGCAGACAGACAATGGCACAACAGCACCTCCGGTTCGCGTACGTGCTCGCGTGTTATTGCGCGCACTTCGGAAACTCAAACTATTTTGTCTTTACTGGCGGCCAGTAGCTACTGGCCGTTGAAGCGTCCAGTTCCAGTACCTCATCACACGTAGACAGTAGGCGGACAATTACTGGCAGCCATTAATGGCTAGGTCTACTGGACGCCACTACTGTCCCCGTCTGCAGGGGGCTTCACGCCCGCGCTATAAATCATCTGACAACCGATAATGTAAACAAATAGAAAAGGGTTTTTAAGTGATTTGATTACATTCTGCTCCTGAAGAGTGAATATGCTACACTTGTGGCAGTGCCGAAATGTACATCGAGCTTAAACATCTACAATCTTCAAGAACCTGATAATCATATGCTCATAAATAGTTTATTCAGGCATTCCATCAAGTGCAAAAAATCAAAAGTTAAAATAAGGAAAATATATTGCATTTCCAGAAGATCTCTTGAAACTAACAAAAAACAACCGTAATATACGTGGAAATAAATATTCTTTTTAAGCTCTGACCATTTTCTAAAACAGTACCTTTTATTACAATACAAATCACAGGTACAAATACAGGTCATGATTCGAATGTATAAAGTGGAGTTTAATATTGGGAAACATAGAAAATTGTATTTACCAACAAAAATACCATTCATTTGATGTGCATATCAATCTATGCTTACATTTAAAATTAATTCCTTCTAACTCCTTTCGGGACGTCCCCTTGATATAAAACAGGCAGAAAACTGATAGTTACTTTAAAAAGTATATTTTATTTGTCGTGGTTATTCTGTTCTCTCTGTGTTGATGTACCAAATCTTATTGATTCATTTGTTATAAGGTATCAAACAGTGAAACAGAACATATAAAGCCCGTGCGTAAGTTTGTGTAAACGGTGTATATAATATAATTTATTTAATTGTGAAACATAATCATCTCCATTTTATATTTACCACAGCTTAACTGCAAGAAAAAATATGTATTATGTTAACTTATTGCTGCTACAAGACCACTACAAGACAAGTAAAATGTACTGTGGAGCCTCATGAAATAAAACCAGGCGTACACCTGCAGCAATTAGAAGAAAAAACCTTGGCAGCCTAGTTAAGTTGGTTATTATTGTTTTTGTTTTTCTTTCTCCTTCAATGTTCAATCGTTCAATCAATTAAAATTGTTTTTGTTTTATAAAATTGGTTATTGTTTGTCATTATATTTGGAAATCAAAACGCACATTTTAAGGTATTTAAATGTGTGATTTTACTCTAAATTTGAAAAGTAGGTTAGGCTATTCAGTTTTTTCCATGAGGAAAATATTAAGTTAAAGGTTAGGTTGGGCTAGGATAGCATAGTTTGGGTTAGATATTCTAAAGGCTACTTTTGGACCTAACCTTAAGCCGCATTTACACCTGAGTTAATAACATTTTGTTGATAACTTTTTAGAAAATGCGTCTTATTTGACAGTAACGTGTTTTGTAATTAACACAAATCCCGTGTGTTGTATCTAACAAATATTTTGCCACCCACCGAGTATCGGTAACATTATTTGATCTTCCCAGAATGTTAATAAAATTTGTGATTACCAAATGTTAGCCTACTGCAAATTTTTGTTGTTAGCATCCAAACCGCAATGTCACTGCTAACTTTTCCTTAACTTGGGGTAGGCTACTTAAAAGACTTCAGTAGGCCTATCTGTTAGCACAAACAACCGAATGAAAATACCGATTGATATATCGATATAATCGTTTGGTTAGTTAGGTAAGGTTAACCTAACCAAACGATATATCGAACCATCGAATGAAACAATTGAATAATCGATAATTTCATTCTGTTGTTTGTGCCAACAGATACCGAAGTCTACCTTACTTGTATGCCTATTTCTTTCCGATAACTTATTTCATGTTCTGTTTGGAAATTTCTTGACCCAACATTTGAATTAAATATTCAAAAGTCAAAACTAGCCTTTTTTTTATAACAGAGGGCCAGGCTTACAAGTCACCATAGGATTGCATCGCAGCTAGAACAGCTTATTGTGCACCCTTGTTCACAGGTCCTCATTCTCCGTCAAATCCCAGGTCCTTGGTGAACTGTGAGAGCCTTTTGACTATGGTAACCTGTTCTTCCCTTTGATCTCCCATCAATAGGCCAAGGGATCTCATACGCAGACCTTGGCACATAAATATACCTTCACAGCTTTCACAAGGTCTCTGGCTGGGGCAAGCTGTAGCGAGATTTCCCTGAAAGGACTCAGCTCCTGAACTTGCTTTACCAGCCAATCCTTTGTGGCTGCGTCAGCACAGCCTCCACCTTTCTTCCTGGAGGCTTCATTAGAGTCAGCTTTGGGGGTAACACCCTTGCCCTGCTTTTTCCCAGCATCCTAGTTCTCGGAGGAACTGGCTTTGCAGGGAGCAGAGTTAGGGTGCTTGGCAGCCCACACCAGCCTCCTCCCGCTTCTGGATAGCACCTTTTTGCCTTTGGCTAAAGCATCCGCTATCCTCCGTCTTTGCAACTCACCCCTGGAAAGTCGTTTTTCGTTCGAGGGATCTCATACGCAGACCTTGTAGGGCCGGGCACATAAATACCTTTCTCAGCTTTCACAAGGTCTCTGGTTGAGGCAAGCTGTAGCGAGATTTCCCTGAAAGGACTCAGCTCCTGAACTTGCTTGACCAGCCAATCTTTTGTGGCTGCGTCAGCACAGCCCCCACCTTTCTTCCTGGAGGCTTCATTAGAGTCAGCTTTGGGGGTACCACCCTTGCCCTGCTTTTTCCCAGCATCCTAGTTCCCAGAGGAACTGGCTTTGCAGGGAGCAGAGTTAGGGTGCTTGGCATCCCACACCAGCCTCCTCTCACTTCTGGATAGCACCTTTTCGCCTTTGGCTAAAGCATCCGCTATCCTCCATCTTTGCAACTCGCCCCTGGAAAGTTGTTTTTCGTTCCTTTCCGGTTTCTTGGAGCTTGTCGTCATCGTCAGATTTCAGTATACCTTCCTCCTCCCTTTGGGTCAGATTGTCTAAATTGTTCTTACGAATACCGGGTATCTAGGTCCACCTCCCCAGTGACCCGATTAGAGAGGTAAGGGGTGCGTACGACTGGGTTACCCCTGGTTCCCAAAAGGCTCGGTTAAGACAATTTAAATGTTTGCCAAAATTACTAAAATAGGTAGGTAACATAATTTACTAGAGTAAGGGTACAGGTTTGCTGTTACAAAGAAAATACCGTAGTAAAACCAATTGGTAGATCTGTTTCTCATCAGTTATGGTACAGTAATTTTCTTTAAGCAAAAAATTGTGTACAAAAAAAGAA